GCGAAAGTGCAACTTGCACTTTTGTCAGTCTCGAAACTGCGAAAAATGCAAGTTGCACTTTTGTCAGTCTCAAAAGTGCGAAAATGCAACTTGCACTTTTGTCAATCTCAAAAGTGCGAAAGTGCAACTTGCACTTTTGTCAATCTCGAAACTGCAAAAATGCAAGTTGCACTTTTGTCAGTCTCAAAAGTGCGAAAGTGCAACTTGCACTTTTGTCAGTCTCAAAATTTTGAGGGCTTTTGGTGTATCCCTAACCAAGGCTCACCCTAAGGGGCCACCTTTTGGGCAGTAAGATAGGTAGGTAGGCTTGGTAAGACTCCCGGATCACCGGCTCGCCTTAAATGGCTCGGCAGGTCCGCTCTAGTCGCAAGATGTGTCATCAGTAATTACATTCCGCTCCTTACCAATCAGCGGTCAGACCGGGAATCCGATCGGATAGCCGATGGAGTCGGTGATTACTGTGCGCTTACACCCGTTACTAAGCGGACCTGAAGAGTCTATATAAGACGAAACTGGTGGCCTTGGAGTCTCTCCAAGCCAGTTGTCCGCCCTTCGTCGACAACCTCTTCTTTGAGATTTACTCACTGTGTTTTACACTCCTCCCTAACCAAGGCTCACCCTAAGGGGCCACCTTTTGGGCAGTAAGATACCGTAAAATAGGCATAAATATAATTAAATTACTAGAAAATATCAAAGAAATCCTATTCAAAGTATTCTGATAGCCTATACTACCATTGCTGCATGTTAAACACCCCAGCTAGTTAAGTTCTCAGGGGATTCCTTCTATCCAGGTACTCACAGAGAATTGGAGACCACATCAGGCTCATTGTCCATGGCAGGGGCCATGCGGAGCCCAGAGCTACCAGAACTCAATCAGCGAGACTGTGGGAACTCGACCATGTTGAGTACTTTATAAACCGGCAAGGCACCAACAAGTGCAAAGTGTTTGATACATAGCGGGATCGGAGGGGTGAGCACAGCATCTTGAGCACCTGTGCCAATGACCAGCTCGAGGTTGGTTTGGTTTGTGTCGATGTCGGGAACATTATTGAGAGCACCACCAGGACCTTATTCAAAGTGTATACCACACCTATATTTTACATTATGATCATTTTTGTTGTCGGTGTCGAGGCCTGCTGAGCAAGCACGAACTAACTGTCCACCCTCGGTTTGGCCCGCCAAACTTATAGGGGGGGACAGACGGTTATGGAAGGTGCGTTAAATCTCCGACTTCCCACGCCACCGCGAACCTAAGGTCGAAAAACTACAGTAGTCCAAGTCCCACGGTAATGCAGGATGGCTATGTAAGCTATGTACGTGGCTCAGTGTGATGGATGCAGAGCCACACAAATGCATGAATGTGTAAGGTGCTAATACCACCTACTGGGGTACCTAGCACCTGTGTAGATGTATGAAGGCGGTGTTTACTTGTAGACCTCGTAGAGGAACATCGCCGTACAGGAGGCTTCTGGATGAACCAATAAAGCCGTAAAGGGTTGAATACTAGACTTAATTCTGACGCAGTGGGCAGTGTAACAGACTTGTATAATTTTGGCAGAGCATTTGAAAAGCCTCACTCTGTGGCCGTGCTTTTCACTGGGGTCCGAGGTTTTTAGGCCCGGCACTATCCTTATCCAATATTGTCTGCTGTGCATCTCAAGTTCTCAAAATCTCACGGCAACAGGCCTCTTCATCCAGGCATTTTCAACATCTTGGATGTGGGCCAGTTCACTCTTATTAGGTCAATCAATATTTATAAGATAGAGTTCAATCTTATTCGGTTGCATTCGCTGGAGTCAAAGTCACTTCTCACTGGGGATAAACCGTAACAATCAAGGCACTTTGTCATCAAACAAGTAACATGTCAAGAAAAAACAGCAAGAACCAAGAAGTCATTAGGTACACGGTCAAGCACAGTACATACACCATCTATCTTTCAAATAATCGTCTCGTACTGTATCATCTTTCGTCTTTCAATCAATCAACCTCATCAATGCTCACACCGTACCCCGATCCCCCGTTCGCATTCACGCTCGAACTCGGTCCTGCATCAGCACCCGCACCCGCACCCGCACCCGCACCCGCACCCGCACCCGCACCTGCACCACCCCCAGCACCCGGCGGAGCCCCATACCATGTCAAATCCTGCCCATGCACACCAGCCGCAATGAGCGTTTCGGGCGTCGGCTCAACGCGCACCATCGACGCGCGCGTGCCGGGGGTGCTGCCGTGGGTCACGGGAGCAGGACCCGCCGCAGGTGCCGCCTGCGGTAATGGCGGCAATGGCGGAAGCTCGTCCTCGTCCAAACCCAAGTATGGGTCGTCTTCGTCCCCGTTCCGTAAATCAATGTCATCGTCTGAGAGAGGCAGACCAGACGAAAAGCCGCCGCCGCCGCCGAGCTGAGCGTGGAACATCTCCGCGAGGAGAGCATCGCTCGAGGCTTGGGGACTGGGGTCGGACTGGGGTCCGGTTTGAGGTTGCGATAGAGTTCGAGTGAAGAATTCCTGAAGCGCGCGTTGCTCACGCTTCTCGCGTTCCTCCTCGCGCTGGACGATGAGCCGCTGGCGCTCTTTGCAGAATTTCGTGAGTGTACCGAGAGAGCCGATGAGATGGGCTTTGCTCGGTCGGTCGCGTAAACTGCACGAAATGAACACGATGAGATGTTGAGGGAAATGGATAGGAGCAAAACTCACGTAGCGACCATCTCCTTGATAATGTCCTCGCCCTTCGCCCACGGCATCTGCTCAACGATGAGGTCGAACGTCGACGCGAGAATCGCCTCCCCTTCTCCAACTTCGCTATCCTCCTCTTTCACCTCCTTCTCCGCCTCCGTTTCTGCCTCCGTCTCCTTTGCTTTGCCCTTCCCCTTCCCCTCCACAGGCTTGTCCAGCTCAGCCGCTGCCTCCAACCACGCCGTGAACCGCTCCCGCAACGGTGGCCTATACAGCTCCCTCAAATCGTCGAGCGCGAGATCACGTCCCTCGTCCTCGGGCCAGCCGCCCCACTTCCCGTGCTTCTTCGCTTTCACTCGTACATGCCGATGCATCGCCCCGAATAACCCACCAAAGCCGAACCCGTTCGCACCCCCGCCCCCACCCGCTCCCGCTCCGAGTCCTCCGCCGTTACCAGCACCTCCAGCGTCGGCATTCGCGCCACCAACGTCGTCAACATCGGCATCATCCTCCCCATCCTCTCCAGCGGGATCATCGCCTAGATCATCGGTGCCGTCGACAGGGTCCACAGGCAACTCGTGCACATTTCCGTGCTCGTCAATGTCGATGTCCCCGTCGTGCACGCCGACAAAGTCGACAATCGCGAGCTCGTCCTCGTTGTCCAGCGGGCCCACGTGGAATGCGCCGAAGCCGCCGATCGGGCCGTTGAAGCCGCCTGCACCCGCGCCCGCACCTGCACCTCCTCCGCCTGCAGCAGCGCCAGCTGCACCACCTCCGGCACCGCCCGCGGCAGGTGCAGCAGCACCGGCACCAGCGGCACCAGGGGCGGGGGGATTAGCGGGAGCAGCAGGGGCGCCAGGCTGTAGGCCCATCATGAGGTTGTTGAGGATCGCGAACGGATTGGGATTCGCGTTGGCATTCGCGTTCGCGTTTGCGTTCGGGTTGGGATTAGCACCTGCACCTGCACCTGCACCGGCAGCGCCGCCTCCGCCGGCACCAGCGCCTTGGCCGGCTTGACCTTGGCCACCACCGTTCATCATGGCAGCCATAGTAGCGGGGTTGAATGCTCCGCCTCCGATGCCGAAAAGTGGCGCGTTCGCGTTCGCGTTCGCGTTCCCACCAGCACCAGCAGCTCCGGCACCGACTCCGGCACCGGCACCTACTCCTCCACCAGCGCCAGCGTTTGCTCCCGCTCCTCCAGCAGCACCGGCAGCACCAGCACCGGCACCAGCACCTCCACCGGCAGCGGCACCGCCTCCACCTCCAAACGCCGGCAACACAAACGGCCCCTGCCACCCCCCACCGCCTCCGCCGCCTCCAAAGAACCCACCCATAAACCCCTGCGCCTGTCCCTGTCCTTGTCCCTGCCCTTGGCCTTGTCCCTGCGCTTGCGCTTGCCCCTGCACCGGCCCAAGCCCAAAGTTCATCTGCCCCTGCCCCAGCGCAAACCCCATCTGCCCCTGCATCTGCTGCCCCGCGTTCGCAGGGCCCTGCACGATCCCGTCCACCCACTCCTCGACCTTCGTCTGGCGCGCGAGCCCGTCGGGCGGGAGCGCGAGGAGGAGCGCGAGGTCGTGTTTGCTCTTGGGCAGGCGCAAGCTCGGAAATCCGACGCGCGCGGCGGCAAGGATGGCGAAGATGGTATCATGCAGCTCCGTACGAATGTGCTGTGCAGCGAGAGCGCGGTGTGTGGATGGTGTGGTTGGAGTCGAAGGCGAATCCGACGACGACACGGACGAGAAGCGGAGGAGCGCAAGGACAGCAGGCTGATACGCCGGATAATCTCTCGCTCTGAGCAGGTGGCTGTGCCCCTCGAGCAGCTCCTTGATCTTGTCGGCCCCCGCACCGTCGCGCCTGCGCGCGTGGATCGCGAGCGCGGCGGCGTAGTTGTCCGACCCGTGCGTCGCCACCTCGTCGAGCGCGGCGAGCGCGCTGCGCATCGCGCTGGGGCGGTCGTACACCGCGCCGAAGTAGATCGCGTCGAACTTGGCGAGGGAGGGTGTGGTTTTGAATATCGCGACGAGGGCTGTGCGCATTTTTTCTTCGAGGACGGGGGCGAGGGTAGTGTGGACGGGGGTCCAGTGGGCGCTGTGGCGTGCGCAGGTGCATGCGGTGGGTTGGGATGTGGAGCTCGAGGAAAGTGCAGACGTAGAAACGTCGGGATCGGACGCAGGAGAAGAGGATGGGGACGGGTGGGATGAAATTGTGCATGCGTCGGCGGGGTCATCGACGTCTCCATCCACGTACTCGACGTCCTTTTTCTTTGAACGAAGTAAAGGTCGCGTCAGGGATGTAAACATCGAGCAGCGATAACACACATACCTTCGGTCGTGTCCTGCCCCCATCCAAAATCTTCCCCAAAGCCCGGTAGCCAAAGTGCAGCTGAATATCGTCGAGCATGGCAGGGATCGAATCGTCATAGCGCTTCTTTCCCTCAGCGAGCATGCCGATGAAGAGGTCACGCCAGACCCAGAAGAGGACGGTCTCGATGCCACGAAGGCCAGTGACAGACCAGCTCTTGACGGCCTCGCCTGAGGGCTTCGAGAGCCGAACCGGGATGAAGATGTTGGTATGGGCGCATCTACAGCTTGTTTTGCCACAATAGCACAGCAAGTGAAGTGGAAGCGCCGGGGGGCGACGAGAAACAAAAAGAGGCGGCAAGTGAGACAACAGAACACGGATAAGAAAGAATGTACATACGTTGCACGGATGGTGCCAACGCGGTCGATTACGTCGGCTGCGTATAGTAGGCATGTATGCGCGATGCGGAAGTTGGTGCGGTGGATCCAAACGGTACGCCACACGTCCTGGACCCACGAGAGGAGCGTGTCAACGCACTCGCGTAGTAGGTCGTCGCGCGATGCCGAGTCGCGCATGGCAGGGTGGAGGCACATGCGATCGAGCTCGTCGATGAGACCGTTTATCTCTGCCTCCATCTGCTTGATGTCGAGGGAGGGCACGGCGCGGTGGGTGTTGACGAGCTGGGAGAGGGCATCGAGGGTGGAGCGAGACTGGTCTGAGGAGACTACAGAGAGAAGGGGGATGAGGTGCTCGTGGACGACGGAGTGCTGTGTCTCTGTGGGGAGATCCTTGAAGAGCTGGAGGAAGCTGGGACAAGGGGTTAGGGTGAGACATGGGAGATAGCAGAATAACGAACTCGTCTGTGGGATTATCGGACATGATGTCAGATGCAGAGATGCTCTGGACACCCTCCGTTTGATGCGATGAAGAGTTGTTCTGTGTGTGTCGTGATTGAGCGTGGCCTGGTTGCTGGTGGTGGACGTGGGGGAAGCGGGGGCGCGTGCAGGACGCGTGCCGTGACGTTACACTGGGTGACAGCCCCTTCCTCTTCTGGACGCTAGCTAAATGCGCCACTCTCCATTTGTTCTCTGCTTTTTGTTCTTCTTGTTTTCCGTCGCGTCGCTATCAAGCCAACGTCAACAGTGTCACCAAGAAACATTGTTTTCCGTGTTCTTCTCCTCGGAAATGACAAGATATGAACGCGTATGGGTGGAGAATGTCGGCGGAAATGTCAGCCGGACCGGGCGCTCTGTGGACGTTTAAAGGATAAGCTGCCTCGAGGCAAACCTTCCTTTCGTGGCTCTCCTCCGCCTGCTCTGATCCTGCTCTCCTCGTCCCACCAAGGCCACGTTGCTTCCGCGCGCTCCCTCCACCAACCCGCCCGTACAGCCATCCGAGGTATGTAAGGCCCTCTCGTCGCTCATTTTCCTTTCATTCTCTCGCTGTCCTGTCAACCACCGACGTGCAGCGTGCTTTATCGCGCTCAAACTGTATATCATATATCTAATCGTTTTTTATGTCTGCACAGAGCATACACCGATCTAGAATCCTCCCCATGTATTCTGGCATACAAGGTGTGTACCGCCCTCCGATCCACCCCTCCTTCCCTTCCTGTCCTCCTTCTCTGGCCCATCTTGAGACCGGGCGCGTCATCCCAAACAAACGCGTATCCGAGGTCCAAAACCTCCGCCGCAGGGCGCAACCTGGCAATTGCTCTGGAAATTTTACATCCTCTTATCTTTCACGTCTTCACATGCGCGGCGATCTCGCTTTCTTTCCCATCATACAATTGCTTTCCTGTGTATGCTGACTAAACACCCCGTCCAGCCCAAAACACCCCACCGAGGGAGATGTCTCCTTCGCCTGCGACACGCGACCGCCAGCAGCGCTCTATCAAGGCCCAGTCCATGCCCTCCGTCCCCTCCGTCATGCAGACCATGTCCAACCGCTCATCACAGCAATCGAGTCCCACCAATCACACCACCTCCTCTGCATCACACTCGACCACCAACTCGCCGAGCAACAGCAACGTCAGCCTGCTCTTGCACCAGCCAAAGCGCTCCTCTCCTGCGCCGATCACCCAGACGCCACCCCAGCAGGCGTCTCGTCTACGTGATGATCAAGACCGGGACCAGCAGCAACAGCAAGGCCGATCGACGCACTCCCCTGTTGGCGGCTCTCTTCCTCCGCAGCCCACCCACTCTTACAGCGCCTCCAACGTCCACCAGAGCATGCCCCCACCCCCATTCGTCCAGACGCACAGCCAGCCCAATCTCCCTACCATCGCCTCTGGCGCTATCAACTCTGCTCCTCCCGTCACCTACCCTCGCCCGATGGGCCACGCCCAGCCGCCGTTCATGCATCCATATCAGAGCCACAGCGTCGACGAGACCTGGCAGATGACGGACGACCTCCTCAGGGAGATCGAGCGCGCCGACCTCGCACACGCGCACGCCCTCGCCGCACAGCACGGACTGCACCCGCACGTCTTCCAGCAACATGCGCTCGCGGCCCAGGCGGCGCAGCAGGCCGCGTTGGCGCGCATGTCGCCCATCCCCGCGCCAGGCACAGGCGGCGTCGCCTACGCAGGTGGCGCAGTGAGCGGGCCGGTGTACGTCCGCGAGTCGGCCAGCCCGGCTGTGGCGATTGCGGGTGCGCTCGCGGACCGCATGCGCGAGCGCGGGAGCCCCAAGGACCCCATCGACGGCCAGCAGCAGCAGGGCAGGAGCAGGGGCGGGAGCATGCGCGAACAACGCGAGCAGCAGCGCCCGGCGCAGACGACCGGGCCGTCGACCTCGCCCGCGTTCGTGCCTCTCCCGCAGGGGCGCTCGAGCACGCCCTCGGCGTTCTACACGCCCATGACGTCGGAAGATAACGGGGCGGACGACGGGGACGGGGACTATGTCTCCTACAAGCGCGACGGCAAGGTGCCGTACTCGGGGTCCGTGGGCCCTTCTCCTCCCGCGCGGCGCGGCTCGAACGCGAGCAGTCTCGAGCTGAGGAGCACGCCCCCGGCTGGCGCGACGGGTTCGCGGGTGGCGAGTCATACGCCGCCTATGACGGGCGCGCCGACGAGCGCGCGGTCGGCGGACAAGTCGATGCCGCTCCAGGAGGAGCCCGAGGACGACCACCATCACCGCGTGCACCGGGAGGACGACGACGTGGTGCCCTCGCAGGACCGCGGCGGGCGCGATAGCCGCAACGCCGGCACAAACAGCCGCAACGGGCGTAACAGCCGCGGCGACGCAGTGCGGGGGGACGACGACGACAACACTCTCATTGAGGACGAGCATGTCGATAACGAGCGCGATCGTCATGTCGACTCGAATGGGCAGGATGACCAGAACAATAGCGATCATGAGGAGGATGGGGATGGAGATGATAGTGCGGAGCACGATAGCGGGACACCGAGGTCGCCGACGGTCGCGCTGCCAGATATATATCCGAAGTCGTATAGTCCTATGCCAACGACGGGGGCGGCGGCGAACGGGCACCACAAGGTGCCATCGATCGGGAAGCACTATAGGGTGGGCTCGACGGATCAGTTGGGGATGCGGACTTTCGACACGGCGGTGTTTCAGCCAGGCGGTGCTGGTGGGGTCGGTGCTGGGGTCGGTGGTGACACGCATAAACGTAAGTTTTGCTTTGTTTTGTTGATGACTGGGTGTATGGACATGTAATGTACTGATTATAGGTTTTCTGCCTCTGCGTGCAGAGTCTCCGCTGCGCCACCAGATCTCGCGCTCGGACCTCTCCGTGCCGCAGAACGACTCGAACCCACCGCAGCAACAGCAACAACAACAGCAACAACACCAGCAACAGCAACATCAACAGAACGGTGGGCAGCAGCATCAACAGAACGGGGGCCGCTCCCGCTCCAACGACAACGTGCACACGCAGCCGCACTACCAGCCCCAGCCGCAACACTACCAAACCTGGGACGGCGGGCGCAACACCATCGCCCTCCCCTCGCGCGAAGACACCGCATCCGCCGCCATGTCCGCCTCGATGTGGACGGACGACCCCACCGCCGCATATCTCCAGGCGTACCTCCAGTCTCCGCGCCCGAACGCGCCCATCCCGCCCACACCGCACAGCCAAACTGCCGCGCCGTCGCCGTCGCCGCTCATCTCGAGCATGATGCACCAGGGCGCGCGCGCGCTCGGCTCGCCGTATCCGTACCCGTTCTCGCATATGCGCAGGCCGCCCACGACGAGCTTCAGCGCGTACGGCGGGAGCGCAGGGCCGCTTGCGGGGTACCCTGGTGCTGCGAGCGGGAGTGGGCAGGGCGCCGGCGGCGCCGCCGGGGGCCCGCCGAGCTCGGTCGGGTACGATCCGAACCATCCGAGCGCGATCGAGGAGCAGCTGGCGCTGCAGCTGCAGATGTACGCGATGAACAATAACAGCAATAATAACGACGGCAACGGCAACAGTAACAGCTACGGGTACAGCAACAACGCCGGCGTTATGTCGGATACGTCGGCGTTCAGCCCGTCGAGCACGCCGTTCCCAGGGCCGAACTATAACCCGTGGACGTTCGCGAGGGCGTTTGGCGGGCGCGCGGCCCCAAGGGGCAGGTTCGACTCGACGCTGAGCAGCGCGATGAGCATGCACAGCAGCCCGAGCCATCAGCCTGTCAGTTTGCCGAGTTTCCCGGGGTACGGCGGCGGTGTTGGTGCCGGCGGCACCGCAGGGAGAACTCGCGGACGCAAGGCAGGGAAGAAGGACAAGTCGTCGGGACTGAAGAACGAGATCGGACGCGCCAAGTCGCGCGGGCGGCCGAGCGGGGATGCGGCCGGCAAGGTGGGCGGGGGCGCGGTGGTGGAGAAGGTGCAGCCGCCGCCGAGGGTGCAGAGCACGCAGCCGCGGGAGACGAGTCCCGAGCCGTTTTCGTCGGGCGAGGAGACGGCGGGCGAGGACTGGCTGAATGGGCCTGGGAGCGGGAACGGGAGCGGCGGGGGGACGACGTTGAATGGGCACGAGGTGAATGAGGACGAGGCGGATGAGGATGGGGAGTATTCGGGCGAGGAGATCGGGGAGGATGATGAGTGGGTGGACGAGGAGGAGGATGCGAGTGGAGACTTGTTGGATCTGGAGCTGCATCCTGATTATGTGGTTAGTGTGGAGAAGAGGCGGAGGAGGTTCGATGCCAAGTGGGAGACGCTGGTCCAGGCTGTGAGTCCTTATCCTTGCTTTCTCCGAATGCATGGGTCCTGATCAACTCCGCGTTTAGTTCAACGCACTCGACCGCGAAACCGACACAACCATGGCCCTCCTCGCCGCCCCCTCGCACACCTCGAACCTCCATGCCGTCCTCTCGCGCGGCATTCGACGCGACCAGAGCTTCCAAGCCTCCCCCGCAATGGCCTCCCTCCGGAAACACTTCCGCACCGTCGCATCCCGGCGTCGCGTCGCCGCCCGCGCACGCTCCGCCTCCTCGCTCATGGAGCGTCTCATGTCCGACGAATACTCGAACGGCGCGGGCGGCTCCAGCGCGAGCCCCGACGGCGGAAGCGGCGACGGGCGGCGCGAGGAGGATCTCAAGCGCGCGCTCGAGACGGCGCTCGGCAGCCTTGAGACGCTCCGGAAGATATACGAGGTGCGCACGGCACGGTGGGAGGACGAGATGGCGCGTATTGCGGATGAGCGGGGGCAGGTTGAGCTGCTGCTGAGGCAGACGCTGGGTGTGGGCCTGCAGAATGGGGGGCCGCCGCCGCCAGCGCCAGGGCAGGTTGGGGCGTTCCCGCTTTGAGGGTGATACGTGTTGGTGATTTACAGATTCTCGTCTGGATGTAGAGGGCGCACTAACGCGCACGGTGACGATGATGATGATGCTGACGACGGACCATGACTGATGTGATCATGATTTTTTCTGTATGTTCTTGGATAACGTGTGCCCTTTTTCCTACAGCCTATATCTCTACCTCACTCCCCAGTCCCCCTTGCCTTACCGTTTGTCCACAGTATGATCGTGTTAGTTGTATGTTTCGTAGATAGAGGTCGACATGTACCTAAATTTTAGCTTACAATTTCGTCTTTTCTGTATCATCCACTTTTACTTCTTACTTACATACATGTGTGGTTTTGCAATCGAACTGACCAATTCCTTGACACTGAACATCAATACATCAGTCCTCCGACTTACCAGTCAAAGGGTTAGGGTTAGCAATGTGATTATCGACCTCAGGCTCTTGCTCCATTCATGAGCGCTCGAGCCCGAACGCAATGGATGCCCGTGTAAACACTGCATTTATGGCACGAAACTAGGCAACCACTGACAATGAACAGTCTCAGAGCCCCCGCGTTACCGGTCCATCAGCAAAGCATCAACAGCTTATCGCTCGCGTACGACCCTGACCCCTCATGTCAAGTCTGATTGGTCGGCCTGTCGGAGAAAGTTGAGTTTGACACTTTGCGAGGCCGATGCAGCGCATACGGACGTGGCTTTTTTCCTTGCATTAACTTGCATCATCTCTGTCAGCGGACTCGCGCCCAGGTCTTCACCGTCGAGTTCCTAGCTCATCTCGTTGACGTCTTGTCATAGGATGTCGCTGCAGGTGCTATACGACAGCCAGATATCCTTGGTGAGCTCATTCGTTGACTGGGGTCCTTGTTGCCTTCCGTGCTGAACTGTTGTATAGCGTGCCTACAGTAGGCTTTCAATCGTGTTGCCGGCTATCTTTCTGGGTGTTGACTAGGAGGGTAGTAGGATGGTCGGCTTTGATGGTGTACGACACATTGTTGTCGCTTGACCAGTGAGTCAAACCGTTCTATCATGTTTGTTGAATAGGAAACAACTGCGCCATTTAGAGAGGTGCGTCTATCATGAACGACGGAGTTCAAAGGTTTGAAGAAACTCGCGTGCTCTATGGATAGGTCGAGTTCGTCTGGGTATGTATCCTCAAATTCCAGTCTCATACACGCTTCATATGGGCCGCAACTGTAGAAGAGCCCGCTCTCGTCCGTCAAAGTCATGTTCATCTGTGTACGATATGGCACCATTATCGTCAACATCATCAATGCCATGGGTGTGTGGGCTCTTCCTATGAACTGTATCAGGACCGTGCTCATCTGGCATCACCAAGCAATGCTTGTTACGGGGCTATCAACGCAGGCAAGACTCGGTCGTCGTCCACTGCAACTGTCTAACGCTGGCATACGCCTAGGCGTGTTATGTGCTTGTGAACGTGTTCAACTGGTTGCCCATTACTGAGGGAGTGTCCGTTACCGGTCAGCTCTCGACTCATAATGGTAACCCTCAAAGTGCTTACAAGTCCTGTTCGCCATACCAGTCATCATAGCACTGCGCACCCGGGCGCTTTATAACGGAAAGACAAGGATGGTCACATTTCTCAAATGTGCTGCCATGGTGAGCATCACTAATTCGTCAGGCTTCTCCATTTCTTGACTCTTCATCTCGACACCACGCTCGGTCCCGGAAAAAGCTCAACATCCTCATCGGCATCGCTGTGTGCATTCTCTTCACGTGTACCATACAGAGTGTGCCCGTTTCTGCCTATCTTCGTCGATATACTGACCTTAAGCGAAGTTTCATCTAGCCCTGAGTTTGCTGAAGAACCGTGCTTGTCGCGCGTTGCGCTCAGTCCCACAGCTATGGGAGTAGCCATCCTCGGGTTCGCTAACTTGGCTTGGTACAACCTGACGATCTTCGTCATGACATCTGTCGAATGCGTCAAACTACGTGCGTGGACCCCTCTTTCATCGCCACTTGTTGTTCACTCGACTAACTCCCCGCAGTGCGCATGAAACGCACGAGGCTCGTATGGCAGATCCTTCGGGACTCTGTTGGATACTACGTCATAATAGAAGCGTACGCCCTCCCCTTCCTTCCCCCGTCTCTTCCATCTCGTACTCATAGCGCCATGGTGTACTCAGTTTGACTATCACGAACCTGGTAACGTACGGAACCATTATCCATACTCGCCCGGGGCTCGAGGAGCTCTTCCCCGTCCCCGCGCGCGTCCTGCAGGCAATCTTCATCTCGCGCATACTGGTAAGACTGCGTCGGACGGCGGATAAGATGGGCGATCCATCTATGCTTGTGCAGGATTTCTCGATGTACGAGATGGCCGACGTCGGCTTGGCACTGCGTTAGCCTCAAGAAAACGTGCTAGAAATCCGGCTTAGTTCTTTCGCGTGAAGCATCGGCCATTCAATCAGATTATTCAGTGTAGTATGCTCGGTTATCATATCACTTTCGCTAATAAGACTTGCAGTAGACTGACTGTATGGATCACCCAGATTCTCTACTTTGGCTGATCTCAGGCTGATTCAGGCTAAGCCTTGTAAGTAAGGTGTTCTAGTGGTGTTCTACATCCTGCCCGACGCAGCTTTTCGGACCCGAGTTATGTGATGCACGTATTCTGCTGCGTTTCTATTCCATGACTTACGTACGTATGATGGCTCCTTCCCGGAACGGTGACCACCAATCTGTTGGGCCATATTGATCTCCACATATTCGGGCCCACACTTTGGTCCGTTGAACAGTCTCGTACAAGGGTGCCTCTTGTTCTCTGGATGCTGATGACATATGTATCAACTCAGGCTAGCAATCACCCAACGTTTCTGACCAGCGCTAGTAAGTATATTTATTCCATAACGAACTAACAGTCTGAAAACTAAGCCCCCCATGCTGAGTTGTACGGGAATGAAATTGCGAATCTCATGAATATTTCCGATTTTGAAGGAATGAGGCCAATAAACAAGAGATCATATCATTCCGTCACGTACTCATCTCTTTGTATATCAAGCAGCCGCTCAGTGATCGACGCGACGGGTCTCCCTTGGGCCCAAACAGCAACTATAATCGCTCTCGACTGCCCCACGAGAACGCTACTATGTAAAAGTACAAGTCGCTCAAAGTGTGTACCTAAATAACCAAAATCCTGCAAGTTTATGTTTATGTCGATAATCCGTTTGTGTAAATACGCTATCTGGTTTAATGTCATATGTGTAGTGCGAACTTGTCTAAGAAAAAAACCTCCCTTGAATCATGATCGTTTCGTGAAAGACTGGAAGTCGAACCGACCAAAACCTAATGCCTGCTAAGAATACAAAGACTGCCGACTTCCAAAATACAAAAGTTTCGATTTCCTGCTTTGCGATGCCCATGCCCATGCCCATGCCAAAACCACCTAACCCAGTGCCTACCTAAACCTAAATTGCTGAAAAGTCCGTGTTGAACGTGAAAATCGAGGGTTCTCGGCCGAGGGACGAACGTCTCGAGCTGAACGAGTATCCGTGCACGCAAGAACCTAGGGCGAGCGATGGATACGGGAAAGAAGGCTGTTGAAGAAGGCAGGGCACCGTGTCGAGGGCAGATGAGTTGGCACGTCGAAGCTCGCCGCGCTCACTCGGTCTTGCGCCCCGCCCGCTTCTTCTTCTTCCCCTTCTCGCCCTTCGGCGCCTGAGCATGAGCACGCGCCTGTGCCTGGGCTTGCGCCTGCATCTGGCTGTGCATCTGACTCGCCGGCGCCTGCTCCTCGTCCATGAGCCCGAGCACGTCCCCGTCGTCGCCGACGCTTGTAAACGTCTCCGCGCCCTCGAACGCCGCCTGCCACTCCGGGTTCCCGATGTCCTCCCCGTCCTCGTCGTCATCCTCTTCCTCATTCTGTTGCCCTCTTGTGGGCTCTTCGTCTTCGTCGTCGCGCTCGTATAAGTCGTGAAGTCGGTGAACTCCCGAGCGGACGAGGGAATGGGCGTAGTCCACATCTCGAACCGCCGCAGCGGGATCATGCACGCGCGTACCGGCGCCCTGAGGCGGAGAGGACACGAGCGTCACCGTGTCGTCGTGCTGCGCCGACCGCCGCGCCCCAGCGCGCGAGTCAGTATCGGTATCGAGCACCGTATCCGACCGCGTACTCGCACTCGTCCCGGTCCCCTCCTCCGCTGCCTCCTTCCAAAAGTCCTCGTCCTCTTCATCAAACTCCAGCGGCACACTCTGCCCTCCCACAGCCCCAACACCACCGCCATCGCCCGACCCACCGCTCAAAGCGCTCGCAGCACCCGCACTCTCCGCACTCCTCGACGGCCCCAGCCGGGGCGACCGCACCCTCCCAATCTCCCTCCTAATCCTGCCCAAACTCCCACTCACCCCATCCGCCACACCCCGAATCGGAATCGACCCCTTGAAGCTCCCGCCCCGCGCACCGGGCGACCCTCCATTCGGCAGCATCGGAATCGGCGCACGCCCGCTCGGCGAGCGCTCCATGCCCGCCCCGATCGCGCTCGCAAGGCTCTCGTCGAACGAGTGCGCCTGCGCGCCGGCAGAGCCGCGCGACGTGCGCTGCTCGATGAACTCGTCCGTGTGCGCCCCGCTCGGCTCGACCTCGCGCCGCACGTCGATCTTGGGTCCCGTGATGTTGAGGCGGTCGCGCTTGAGGAGGCCCGCGTAGTCCTCGCCGAGGGAGTAGAACGAGAACTGGTGCGCGAGGTACACTGCGCGCGGGACGAGGCGGAGCGAGCGGGAGGACGTCGACAGTTCGGCGTGCGAGAGTGAGCTAGAAACCAAACACGTCAATGAGTTTTACTTGCAATATGAAGGAACAACGCACATAGTCTTCGCCCCGCGCTTCCCCGCACCATCCACCCCAAGCGTAACCACACTCCTCACCTCCTCCCAATCCGCACCCCGCCGAAGCTGCGGCCACGTCGCAACATTCACCTCCCTCGCCACAAGCTCCAGCGTCGGCTCCATCATCTGTGTCAACCCGCTCTTCTTAGCACCCGCACTCGCACCCGCAGGCGGCGACGCGCTCAACTTGCCCGCAGCACCCCCACCCGACCCCGGCAACGACATACTCGTCGCGATCCCCGATATTCCCGAGAACACAGCGCCAGCCGCCGCCGCCGAGCCGGACCCGAGCCTGTTGTGGGCAGATGAGCCGGACCCGCCGCGCGCGCGCTGCTCGAGCACGATGCGCCGGAGCAAGAGCGTGCCGTCCGCGGGATCGAACACGAGCACGTCTTGCGCGCCAACGAGTGCACCACCCGCGCTCGACTCGAACCGGAGGCTTGCAGGGAGCGCGTGCTGGTCGTGAACCGGCGAGAGGAACGTGTGCGCGAGCGCAGCCGGAGGTGTGCCCTGCGCCTGCTTGGGCGCGCGAAGACGAACGAGCGGGGCGAGCTCGACCGAGAGCGGTTGCTGCACACCACATCAGCACCCAATTCCACCCTGACAGAAACAAAGAAAAGAAACACTCACAGCCTCCAACACATTCCTCACCCTCCCCTGCACATGGCTCGCCACATCACTCACCCCGCCATACGGATTCGGCGCAAACACATGCACAGTCCGATGCCGCGTGCCCAGCGCGACCCACCGCCCGTCGCGCGCCGCATCCACACTCGCGATCGCCGCACTCGTGCGGCCCCGGCGAAGATCATACACGTGCCACGCCGTCTCCTCGCCCGTCCCTCCCGCCCTCCCACCTGCATCGCCACCGCCCTGCCGCTGCACACCCACGGACCGCCCGGAAGACCCAGCCGCGAGCGCAGCACCCGTCGCAGAATGCCTCTTCGAACGAGCATGTCCACGTCCATCGTGCGCCTGCGCGAACGCGACCGCCGCACCCCTCGTCGCCGCCCCGGGCCTGATCTGAAACACCCGCGCCACCTGCCCATCGCGCGGCATGACAAGCACGCCCGTCCCGTCCGGTGTAAACTCCACATGGCTCGCCTGCTGATTCACGAGGGCGATGAACTCGGCGACAACTCGCGGTTGCGGCTGCCAGTACTCCTCTTGAGCGTCTTCATCGTCTCCTCCTTCGCCCGTGGTCTTCTTGCCGTCCCTGGTGACATCCTCGAGCAACGGCGCCAGATCCAGCACCGTCACAAGCGCATCGCCCACCGGCCGAGACGAAGCGCCCCCGCCCATAGCCAGCGCGATACCTCCCAGCCCCAGCCCTCCTCCCGCACCGGCACCTCCGACGACGCTCGCAGGACCCGCAACGCCCAGATCCATCGGCGGCGCGCGCGGCGGCGACCCCATCGCAGACGGCGCCGCACTCGTCCCGCCCAGCGGGGGACTCGCATACCCGACGCTCCCCGCAGGCGCACTCCTCGAATGAAACCCCTGCTGCCCTCCCCCTCCCCCTCCCCCTCCATACCCATACCCCGCCTGCTGCTGCACATAATACCCCCGCGCCTGCACATCGCTCTCCCTCCTCACCCTCTCCCTCTGCGCCTGCGCCTGCGCCTGCTGCTGCTGCTGCTCATAATACCCCCTGGCACTCCCATACACCCTTCCCCCAAAACTCATCACCCCGCCCAACACCGAACTCCCCACCCGCATCGCCGCACTCCCCACCGCCTCCGTGTTCACGCTCCCTAGTCCTCCCAGTCCACTTAGACCGCCGAGGCCACCCAACCCGCCGAGACCGCCGATCCCAAACGCCCCAGACGACACCGCCGACGCACTCGCCCGCCGCCCATGTCCGTGCCCATGGGCATGGCTAGACGCAGTGCGCGGATGCTGCACAGCCGGCCTATGCGCGCTGTCGTTCACTCTCGGCGCCGACACAAACGCCAGAAGCCGACCCGACAGCGCGAACACCGGGAGCGGAGTCTCGGGTGGCGGTCCGCCGACGGAAGAATGCAGGTGCGGGTGCGGGTGCGAGTGGGGATACCCGCCGAAGGAAGGATCTAATGGTGATGATACAGATACATGTTGATTATGAATGTTGTTGTGGAAGTTATTGCTGTCGATGTTGAGATTATAGCCGTTCATGTTCGGATTCGTAGAAGACGTTGAAGAAGGAGAAGAAGAAGACGCATGTGCAAAGGCATTAATGAGCTCGCAGGGTACGCTATACAGCGGCGCGAGCGTCGCCGCCGAAAGAACGTGCAGCGTCGGAGGGTGATATGTACTCTGTTTTTTAAAAAACCCGCAAAATCAGCTCCATCTTCCTCGACGAGGAGAGGGACTCACGACGACAAGAAACCGCGCGCTGGATATAAACCTATCTACATTCCGCACCGGCACGCGCGCCACAACCTCATGCGTCCGGAGCGAATACACACTCATACTCGTCGTGGTCGCGCCCTCCGCTCTGGCCCTGTACCACGTCGCATATAGTCAGCTTTGCTCCCTAAGTCAAATCGAAAAAACGCACACGACACCAATCAACGGAGCATCCCCCACCACTGACCCGCCTTTGCCAGTAGACCCGGCAAGCACACCCGCGTACACAACACGCCCAAACGGCGCACCGCGGACATTGAGCAGCTCGCTGATCGCGCCGAGGTCGCTGCAGTCCCAGATCTGGAAACCGCTCGTATAGCCAATGAACAGGAGTCGTCTGCCGCCACGCCACGTCAGTCAGCATTTGGTGTTTCACAGCAACGAACAAGGAAAGAAACGCACCGCTGCTTCACGCCCTCATCCAGCACATCCCATCTCGCCCACACCACCGCATCCCCCTCGCCATCACTCGGCAACGTCGGATACCCCGCCCCATACACACTCCCGCGCTCGTCGTCCTCCGAGAGAAACGTCGCAGCCTGATCGACCGTCTCGCCATAATGCATCTCCGCCGTCAACACAGGACTCATCGCCCCGCTCCCGCGATACATCCCCCGGCTCCGCGCGTACATCCCCGGCTGCTGCGCCACGAAAGCCGGCGACGAAGGCTGCTGCGCGCCCACGGACGACAGCGGCGCAGGGACAGGCACAGGCGGGAGAAACGAGCCAAACGAGACGGGCTTGGATACGCGCGGCGGGGAGGGTGCAGCGGTGGGGACGGGGATCGCGGAGGGGACGTAGCCGCGGACGGTGCGGGAGAAGGTTTCGAGCATCGTTGGTTCGCTGGGAGAGGGGTGCGATGGTCATGTCAGTTCGCGGTGTTAAGATAGACGTGATGCAAGGAGGGAAACGAGGTGGGTTATGTCAAATGAATGGAGGGAGGTGATATCAATGGAGGAATGAAAGTAGGCAGGCAGGTGCGGGGGTGCGGGGTTCTGGTGCGCCCCACGGGGCGGAACACAGGCACGCGGAGGCTAAAGACACAGGAAGCTGATGCGGCCACGCCACTACACGGGCGTTCCCGCTACCCCATTTCTCGCCCAGTCTTCACAATATATCCAACAAAAGGGGGGATTGAGTAAAGAAACTCACCGCGTAAGAACAGGCGACCGCACGTGGCCGCTCTTGACCTTGCCACCGGCAGCCGAGAGAGCGCTCGGCGCACGCGGTGGCAGACTGACGCTGAGATTGACGCTCCGCGGCGCAGGCACAGGCAGCGGTGCATTGAGACCTAGAGGTGACGGCTCCTGCTCGGGCGTCCCCGTCGTCTTGCAGATGATGTTGGGGTGAGCGAAGTGGGCGTCGTGCAGAGCCTTGTTCTCCTCGTTCAGCGCGTGGCTCTCCATCAGGCCTTCTTCGTCTTCGTCCTCCTCGTCGAGTTCTGCTAGGAGCTGGTGGTGAGCCTCCGGCGGCGCCTCTGCCAGCTCGTCCGGGTCTGGGTCGATTTCAAACTGGATGTCGTGTGGCGTCCAGGCGGGAGAGGCAGAAAAGGAGTCGTCGAGGTTGAGAAGGGGAGGCTCTTGGATATGCATGTTGTCGTCTTGGTTCTTTGTGTTGCGTGCTGCATTGCGTCTGCGAGAGGGCATTAAGCAAGTGTTGTTGTCGTAAAGTATTAGGGTGTTGTTGTGGAAGATAAGAAAGGAGAGAAACGGAGGGTCGCTTGTAAGTGAATGCAAGAACCCGGTATACGGTGTAGAGTAGGTAGAGAAAAGACTTTGGATGGTAGATGGATGAGTTGTGGTGCTGTGGTCGCTGTTGTGGTCGGGAACAGGAGCAACAGTGAACACCAGTCAGACACTCGACCGAGTCACCCCAGCCGCTCTTTCCTTATCCGGCCTCTGACGCACTTCCGTTGACCGTGTCACGTGACCCCGATCCCCCAACACGTTGGTCTCTCCTCCTCTGCTCGTCCGTTGACATAAATAAAGACCCCCGAACGTTGCAGTTACCATACACGTGCGCAACATAACCCGCTCTCCAGTGGACCAGGTCTTGCTCTGGCCACGCACCTCAAGGCAAGCCAACCGTTCTCAGTTCTCGAATTACCAATACGGCGACTTTCGGGAAGCTGAACCGCAGGCTTCTCGCGATAAGGTCCATTGATTCGCCGTCCACAAACGTCCTATTCGTCCCGAAGATAAGCATTCCTTCTTCTTCCGTCCGCAACAAGCGCCACTATTCCCAAGTCTGTCCAAAGGAAGCGAAGATAAGGCTTGCACGTCCTATCTTCTTACTTCTAATCCAGTAGCCGTGCCGAAATTTGACGTCCTTTGACTCGTTCTATCGCCGGTTGAAGTCACTGCCCTTCAGTTTCCCCGAGATCCTCACTACAATCCGGCATTTGTCAAGTCTTCACAAGTGCAGTCACTGTCCAGAACCCCGGTGGTGTCTCGGGTCTGTACACGTCACAATCTCTCACTACTTCGGTACTCCAGTATGTTCGCCACTTGTCCAGGCGCTCTCCGCAGAACCAAAGTCCCCAAGCGCGTCCAATCGAAACCACTGAAACTCGCACCACCAGAAGTTCCAGAACATACATGTCGAGCCCCGCTCCAGAACAACACGACGCACACGCACATCTCACCCTCACTAAGTACAGCAGTGTACAGCTGAAACGTACCCCTCCTGCCCAGGCTATCCAGCGCCTCCCATTAATCTTCCGTAACGCCCACCCTAGACACACTCTCCCCCTGAATCTACGAATCCATCTCCCACAGCGCAAAAGGCCGACATGATCGCCACACAAACCCCGACCTTGACCTCCCGTGCCTCGTCATTCCTTTGCGCACGTTCAGCGGTGGATGGTACACGGGTGCCCCGGACATCGACGTCATGCCTCGGTGCGACGCCATGACGGGCCTACCGACTAACCTCATCGACGTTCAGCTCAGGTCTCTACATCGCGACATCGCTGCTGCCATGTAGAAGTCGAAAGTGTCCGACGTATCAATCGAGAGCGAAGGTTCGACCGAATACAAGGCGGTGATTTCGGACTCGCGCTCGTCGCGGACACAGTGGGCTTCACGGCGACAAATGCGTACGGGCGGGCGCGGTAAGTGGCGCCCGAGCTGCTGCATATTATGGCGCCGTCTGGAGGATAAAAGCGCACCGAGTAAGACGCGGGGCTTCGCGTTCACCCTCTCTTTATTCAAACTGACGCCGCGTCGCCCTCACACCATAACACTTCGCGCAGATCCAGACCAACATCGCACTGTACGTCGACCCCGTCACTCGAGCGCCGTTCAACGAGGTCTAGATATCATGCGGTGTGATGCTGTACAGGCTGCGCTCCGACGCTGCGCGCTCCAGCGCTAATATTACTAGTACTGACAGCTCCAAGCCCAAGTCAAGAGTGGACGGCGCCATCTAGGTGCACGCGCCGGAATGCGGACCGCAGGAGCGGTACAGCGCTGAGTGTCTTGAGTACTTCGAAATGAGAGACCAGGTCGGGTGATGTAGGCGCGCGTGGTGGCAAGAATAGGTCGTATGTTCCTTCTGCTGTTGCATTCTTCGACGCTTACACAGGAACCTTGCATATTATCCTGAGGTTGCTATTAATTCATGTGCTAATTTTATCACAATTTATAATAAATGCATTAATAATTCTCTCAAATCTCCATCGCGCCTCCGCTTTACTCTCCCGCCACTCTTCTAGAAGGAAGACATTCGCATTCTCCGTTGCTGCAATGAGACACTGCACCACCGACACGTTCTTCACTTGTTCAAGCACCCCGTAGAAAGACGGCCCAGCGCCTAGATCAAGCTCTCTTCATAACAATGCATCGCATACAACGAGGACCTGTCGTGCCATGGCGATGACGACGGCGAAGACAATAGCGAAGGCGATGTCGAGTAAACCCTCGGGACGGCATTATGCATCTGCACGCCTCATGCTTCCTCACAGCAACCCGCCCCTTCTTCCCTTTTCACTGCAGGCTTCTCCTCTCACCTCGCTGATCCCCCAGCACCTCCACTGTTCCAACCGTACCTCTCCCTCCCCCACCCCGCACAGAAGATCTCCACACGAGCCACCCTCTAATTCGACCTCGACCCTAGGCTAGGCCAAGTCACAGTCATGGACAGGCGCTACCTCGCCCCACCCCGGCCCCCGCGCAACATGAGCAACCCCACTGTCAGCGCACTCCCGAGCCTCACCGGCCAAGTGTGCAAGTCCGGCGGGGGCGCTGTTGGCGGGGGCGGGTTCGGAGACGTTTTCATTGGTGTGTGGGCGAGCGGTGATGGGGCGAGTCAGAAGGTGCGTCGGCGGTGATCGTATTGGCTGGGCGGGCGTTTCGTGGTGTCTCGGTTTCGGTGGCACCGCTAACGCTAATGCTGATGCGACGTTGTACCACGCCTAGGTCGCGATCAAGACAGTGCGCCTGCACCACGGCGGCGACTCGGCGCGCGTGCTCAAGGTGAGCTGGCCAAAGTGCCTGTATACACGCACGCGCTACGTGAACTCACCGCATCCACCTCCCTCTCTCCATCTCCATATCCGTCTTTCCTCTTGCACAGAAGTTCAAACTCGAAGCCAACGTCTGGGCCGAGCTCAGCCACGCGAACATCGCCCCCTTCCTCGGGATCGCGACCGACCTCGGCCCGCGCCCAGACATACTCTCCGTCATCTCGCCGTGGTACGAGCACGGCTCGCTGTACGCGTACTATGAGCGCGAGTGGACGAGGGGGCGGAGAGAGGTACCGAGGAAACAGCGGGACAACTTCGTGCGTACTCCAATCTAGATTCTGTCCTCGCCGCGTCACACTTACACTTCACCCGCCGCAGATGCTCGGCGTCCTCTCCGGCCTCGTCTACCTCCACACGCGCTCCCCGCCCGTCGTGCACGGCGACCTGTCCATGTCGAACGTCCTCATCGACTCTGCGGGCCAGCCGCGCCTCGCCGACTTTGGGCTCGCGCTCGTGGTCGACACGCCGGGGTTCACGACTGTCAGCGTGAGCGGGCAGGCAAAGTACATGGCCGCCGAGCTGCTGCAGTCGGCGCCGCCGCCAGCGATGGGAGGGTTGAGCGCGAGCTTCAGTGCGCCGAAGAAGACGAAGGAGACGGATCTGTGGGCGTTTGGGATTTTAGCGCTCGAGGTGCGATTTGTTTGGCTCTTCGTTTCTGTGTCCCTGTGCCTCCATCGTCTCTGCTGTTCCATTGGCCTTCTCGCTGTATGCCCTCCTCACTTACTCTACCCCATTTCTCGCATGCGTGCTTGAGCTTACCGCGTTTCTGGTCTTCCCTACCCACAACAACCGGACACACTGATTCTCTTCTAACCGGCGTTGCCTTATTACTACTTTTCCATATCAACATCCGCTCCTCCCACTCCTCCCAGCCATGACTCACCCCGCCTCCCACAGATCCAAACCAACCTCGAGCCCTACATCGATGCCACAACACGCGCAACGCTCAACGAAGCCCAAATACTCCGCAGCGTGCCCAGAGGCCTGCGTCCCGACCCCGCGCGCTTCACTCCCGCCCTCGATCCCTCCGTCCGGTCGTCGTGCACGCACTGCTGGGATGCAGACCCGAAGAAGCGATACACGGCCGAGAAGCATCTGGGGTATTTGACGCGGCCGAGGCGATGATCGAAGGTTTGAAGGGGGAAGTGGGATGTTGGCCTGGGATAAGGTGTGGTTCGATTATGCATTCATATACCCGCTAGAGTTGTATCATACGGTGCCATTAATGAGCATATAAGTATCTGGATCAACTAAGCGTGCTTTTCAGGTCGTACAAGCAACCGATCGACTCTCCAACGACGCGCACCAGGAACAGTTCCTCCAGGGGCAGGGTTCCTCCCGAATCTCTTTCCTAGACCACGAAGCACATTGATCATCGTCTGTAGCTTCCCCTCCAAGTCACTAGTAAAGGGACTAACGCCGCCGTTACTTCCCACTCTGGGCGCAACCGAACCCATGAAGCACAACGCCGCACTCTTATCACAGTTCGATCCCTAGACTGCTGAGACCGCTTGAGGGTCCAGCTTCTCTTTCAACACAGCATTCTCCCACAGCTAGCGGCGCACTTTTGGAGGTTCGACCCACACATCTGTAAGGGCGCCTTGATATAGGCAACTTCTCGTCCGGCTTGTACAGCATCCAACTAGACGCCCAGGGAATTCGAAACGACGACCTTGTGCCAGAATACAAGGTGCTGTGTAGCCTTGAATATAATTAAGAACCGTACTCGATACACGCAATCGCAAGCCAGCTCCTTCTTGTCCTCTCGCTGAGACTCGTGTTCCCACTACCATGCGCCTCCTTAGCTGGATCCTCCAGTTTGCACTGTTATTTTTATGTGTGTGCCCCTCTGCATCGGATGTAGTGCAGCATCACACAAGAGGTGTCGAGCAAAGTGCATATCTCGACTTTCTTTGTGCTACACACAATGTGCTGATGCCTTGCAGGTCTAATTAATAACGGTGTCCCGTCCTCCACGAGTAAGTCAACGTCCCAAACGCTATCCTATCGTGTCTAAGCTAGTAATTGTTTTAACATGGAGGCCAACTCTATACGGAGTCCCTCAGAGTGCGTCCCGTTGTCTCCTTCCAAATGAAGTGTCACTAAATGCAGCGCAGTCTCTTTTCCACTCCAGCTCTACATAGATACTCTCGCCTCATTCTTCTTCTGGGAGCACGCAGTCGCTCTCGAGAACAAGTTTCGAGAATATACGAACTGCGAGCTGGAGAAAGCCAAGGAAACCTCCGAAAAAGTCGCGACCCAAATTACCAGGATTCACTCCGGATTGGACTACATCATCAATGCGACGGCAGCAGCACGTAAGGAACTCGAGCAGCAAATGAAACTGCATGACTTTACCCTCGAGGACTTTTCACACGAACTCGAATATGTGTCTGCGGACGTTCTTGTATGGCTTCAGAAAGAGTTTCCACCAATGGATGAGGCTCCGGGTCACGAGGGGAGACAGAGGATAGCGAGCAGTGCGTTGGAAGAGCTGGAAAAACGCGTGGTAGAAGTCGGTTTGAGGATGGGTATAGAAGAGGCGACCTTGAGAAAGTTCTTCGCGGCCGTAGGGCCACAACTAAACCCCACAAAATCAGAAAGCACTAATGTCACTTTATCACGCAGGCGATGTTATAGAGCAGCACCCCGATCTCGCCACAATGGTTCTGTTTGCAGCAGTGGGCGTAATTCTTCCAGAGAGTCTCTTCCTCAAGCCGATCGGCAACTTGTTTGGCTGGGGTCCTTTAGGGCCTAGGGGAGGTACCGGTTTCATTTGAGGGTGCCGTCGTGAAAAACTTACTGACTGCAGCCCATACAGGCTCTTTTGCCTCCTGGATACAAAGGCGGCTTTATACGATAGCCATTCCCGCCGGGAGTTGGTTCTCTTTGCTCCAACATATTGGGATGAAGGGGATCTCAAGATGGGTCTGTAGGCTTACTGCAGGTGCCCTGGGGCTCGTCCACTCCCTTTCCGTAGGCGAACGTTGCTTTCCTGAACGAATGGATTCAAGTATTAACTGTAGCATCGACCGGTCTTCTTTGTTTTGTTGATGATTGATATCTTTTTATTTTATCTTCTGCTGAATCGCTAATCAATCAAGTAATGTCTGTCAATGAATGAAATTCTGTCGAACTACGTGTACATGTAAAATGATTCCCAAAGAACCCAGCTACGCTTTCAGTGCTATAGACAGAACTGCTTGCCATGGCGCCGGAACCAAGTCAGACCTTTTAGCGTGTTGGTCCCTATTGTATGTCAACGCACGATGTCCCATAGTTTGTCAAAGTGCTTGTGATTGTATACTTTGCAATGCTAAGGTCAGACACGCGCAGGCTCTACCCAACCCCTCTTGTCGCTCCATCTCGATACAGATACAGCTTTTGTGCTGCCATAGCACGTCAGCGATCTCTCAGTCTTAAAATCAAAACGCACAATGAAACTATGCTAGATCAATGAAAGGTTTACCGAATAATCGAGCGTAGTTTTAGAACCAATACGCTTATCAATCTGATAATAAATAAAATGCACCTGTGGTGAATTGAGCCCTGTGCATCCAATTCCGAAGCATAACCCGTGTCCTCGGCTGGATTATTGCTCACCGTAAAATTTGAACCAACTCCGAGAACCAGAAGGAAGGCGAAGATTCGGGTCACTAATCACGTTCAGACTGTGTCGGTCGTACTCTTGACGATGATAGAACGGGACATACTTTAGGTACTCGTGCTCTATTATATGCGATCGTGATTAGGCCATACGACTAAACCTTATCTTGCAACACGAACAGTATACATGTTCATTCCCATATGGTATCACATATTAGTGGATTCCGTATCCCATGCTATATTGCTTATGATACTACGCACATAAAATCCAAGAACTTCGTGACAAAAGGACCACGCATCGCCAATCAGATGCAACATTTCATCCCAGCCCTTCAATACTTGTGAACTCGTAGTCTGTGAGCAAACCTAGTCAACATATGATATCGGATTTCAATGGATAACAGCTGACCTTCCTAATATCCATAACTCTCTCGAGAAACTGTGGGGTCCAATGGAGCCTCTCGAGTCTGAAGATCACTAATAGCGAGAAAACCAAGCGCCGTTAAGGAAGCCAAGAACGTGTATCTGGAGTTCAGCGGTCGGTTCAGAGTTTATTAGGACCTCTGCGAGATGCTGTGGCCAATAAAGGCATGCACAACGCAGTGATGGAATAATGACCATGTTTCGAGCTTGCTTGTACATATCGTTACAAAAAGATCATGGTGGACTATCCGACTCCTCTGATGTGAAGGCTCTTTTAATGATCAGGAGGTAGTGTTGGGGAAAGTGAGTATGGGATGTCCATGGTGGTATATGAAGTTCGCTGGATCGCGTGCTGTCCCAGAGATAACCACGAAGCGAAGGATGATATATCTGTACAGGAACCAAAACTTCCTCTGGTGGTATATGGGCAATGGCCGAGAGGTGTGCGATGTTTCTCCGTACTTCCCTCTCAAATAACTCAAAGATATCCGACAATGGGACGGGTTAAGCCAAGGTGATGACATCTGATAAGGATACAGCGCCAGGTTCACGATCAGGAGGTGGACAGTCGCAAAGAACATGGCAATGGTCGAGCCGATATTTCCTACATATCGATATCTGTAACATACACCCTTCCTTTGCACAAGCTATAGTTAACCTCAAGACAGTTTCTAGGCATTTCTGCGGAGTCAACGGGTCTGACTATTGTTTCAGCAACAATGAGTTGACCCTTTATACGGCTAGAAAGCTAATGACTTCATGTGTGTAGCGTCAAAATCATCGATTCTGACAGTAGCAATAGTGTCCATGAGTTCTGGTTTTTGAGAGACGGTAACGAGCTGAGGAAGAGGCCGGTTAGTTGGCACTGTGCTCTGCTCCCCAGGTTATCGCATCGCTTAGCATCTTCCATATTCCATCAAATATTGCCAAAGATGCTCTGATCTGAAGACAATGATCGATATCAATCACAACAACTGTATCCATATAGCAGTCCAAAACGTACTTGCACTAGCTCCTCCCAGCATGTTTGACCTGCTAAAACGATCCGATAAACGTTCTTGTCGACGTGTCCCATCCCCGTACCAGAGATATACCGTGGGAAACCCTGGTTCTGTGGCGATGCTTCGGTTCTTGTTCTATATCTGGATACACAAGGACCCACAAGTAGTTAAGGCGTTGGCGATGGGATACCTTGTAGCGCACATATCACGCTCAATCTCTACCTTTATATCAGCAGGGCAAAGTGCATCATCTTGCTGCTCATCTCTCTACTTCCACCTATCGTGATCTTTTGACACGTCATTCCGAAAGCCGATACATACAATGAATCAAGCTCAAATCACTGATATCACCAGTCAAGTCACAAAGCTCGAAGTGCATCAACGCGGGGGAGGTTCATCTGGGGATGTTTTCTATGGAGAGTGGAGAAGTTCCCAAGGGCAGACTAAGGTATGTATCAGAGTCTTTTCTTCGTTTCACAACGACCATAATTCGCGGTGCTACAGGTCGCGATTAAGACTGTCCGCGTATGCACAGATGATCCAGCAGAGATCGCGAATATTCTACAGGTCGGTGGGACATCCTTACAGCAATACACGGGCTAGACAGGTTGCTGATGATCGTACAGAAGTTTATGCGCGAAGCTCGTGTATGGGCGACACTCAAACACGAGCATATCGTTCCATTTTGCGGCATAGCAAGCGATCTCGCGCCAAGGCGGGGCATACCATCCGTCATCTCCCCTTGGTATGACAGTGGTTCTCTGAGGACTTACTACAATCAACATTGGCAAGATGGAAATGGTGTTGCGGTGAATACGCGAAAATCTATAGTGTGTCTCCTTCGTTCACCCTTTCTCTTTTCTTCGTGCTTTTCGCAACAACAACTGGTGCTAATTTGATCTCGTTCTATCTTCGCCTCGCTTAGATGTTTGGCGTTCTTGACGGCCTCAAATATCTGCACACACGCGATCCGCCGGTCGTCCACGGCGATCTCTCCACGCAAAATGTCCTCATCGACGATAAAGGTCAACCACGCCTTACAGACTTCGGATTGTCGGTCCTTGTCGACATCCCTGGCTTTACAACCGTCACGAATCGTGGTACGTACAAGTACATGGCGGTGGAACTTTTCGGGGATGGTCCCGGCGGACCTGGAACGGTACCCAAAAAGACGAAAGAGAGCGACATATGGGCATTTGGGATTCTATCACTTGAGGTACGTGTTCTTCACATCACACGAATCAAGACTAACTCTCTGAATTTTAGATACTTTCCAACCTCGAGCCGTACGTGGCCCCTTCCGGACAGTCTCTTAAAGATGCGGTGGTGATAACAAACGTCCCGAAAGGACACCGTCCAGACCATGATCGTTTTAGACAATATGTTGATGATGATCTATGGGCGATGTGCAAGTCGTGTTTGAGGACTGACCCCAGAAATCGGTTTACCGCAGAAGATATTAGCAGGAATCTGGCTGGGAAATGTTGAGAGCGACTTGTAGTATACAGCACGTTTAGCCCAGCTTCACGCATTATGCTATCCAGTTATCAATGTCATATCTATTTAAGTCAACATGCTGCGCTATCATAAAGGGCATGGTCGACACAGGATGAACGTAAGTACTGACTGAACATTCGAGCTACTAATCTAACTCTACGCAAACAGATGATAGGCAATTTCATAGCGTATCAATTTATCCAAGTTTGTGCCAGTGGCATGACGAAATCAGCAAGAAAATCCCATAGTCCATGATAGAACGTCCGCACGAATCTATCCTTTGGAGTACATGTATACCCTATGTCCTGTATCACCGGCAATGCGATGCTCTGTACCTCCCAACACTGATCGGAATTCTACGACATCAGCATCTCTGAACTTTACATGCAGAAGAAGAAAGTACACCATACCTAGGGACCAACACCCTCCGAGTGGTGTCAATCCTGTATCATCGGAGATGCACCGATGGCGTCCGTTTCCCTCCTGAGCAAAAAGGTCCTCTTATTGGTGCCTGAAAGTCCGCCCTGTGAATGCGTCGCCCCTCGAATCCTTACTTCCTTGAGCAACGGAAGTCGCGCTTATCATTCTATTTGCCCCCATACGGCCCTAACAGCCACCATCACAACGACTCCTAAGGTGATCAAACCGCGAATCGCCGTTGTGATCCTCATGATACGGATGGAAGAAGACCGACGAGAACTTAGTGCTGCATCGCGTTGCCCATGAGGCCTCTACTCTCAAGATGGCTTGATTGCAGGAGTGTATGAAATGTTTAAGTACAAGTGGCGCCATCGGGCAGTACGTGATTGCGAAGGAAGCGAGAGAATTCTGCAAAGATGAGCCACAGGCCGCCGCAGAGCGTGGGGTGCACCTCAGCCATCTTGAACATTTCGAACAATGCATGACGAGATCCAGGAACCCACATACGAGAATGTGATGACGTGTTGAGCGCCTAAGTTGCAGTCGTTCAACTGCCAATGATACCGGCGAATACAATGAAGCCCGTTATGTAGAGACTCAGAAATAACCGTATGAAGACAGCCACGGAGTCATTAATCGTCGGAGCAATGATCATGATCCACGCCAGAAAGAAAATGAAGCTGTGAGTATCGTCGAGGCCGTACAGTGCGCAGGTACAGTACAGCTGACAAGGCGCACCATGTGGCGAGAACGTATGATTGGCAGGCGTGTGTACTACCCTAGTACTGCATTTGATGACCAGAGAGAAGCAATTAATGGCCGCTATTGAGGTCTGCACCTGCTGTGCATGAAGACTTGATACAGGTCCAAAGGTCATTAAGCGAAAGACGGGCATGAAGACGCAGAGTACAGCTATAGCGCTAACCGCAAATTTATTCGGATTGATGAAGGCAGCACGGGTACTGCATAGTAACGAAGAACTGACCGATCGAATATAGTCCATACCATTGTGTACTCGGTAACAAATCTGCGAACCGCCTACGGTACCAGAACATAACGATTCATATTGGTCTGTTTAACCCGAGATTTTTCGAGAGATATTGGCTCTCCATTTCCGCCAGGAACTAAAAACAGTTGAAAATGCAAGGATAAAATTCAAAACCCCGGCGGCTGCAAAAACTGATATCCCAAGAAGCCACCCCAGCCGAAAGCAGAGAACAGAGGGTCGGTACCGCAAGCAGAGCAAGTAGCCGGCCTCTGAATCTTTTACCCTGTACACCACGAGTCCATCACACGATTGAGCCTCGCCAGGTATCATAGGCCATAAATCGATCTACAGGAGCTGTCCAAAGCCCTCCCTCGGTCCTGCCGAGCGTGCCGTTTGCGAAGCCGCCAGCATTCCGCAGTCGGAGTCGTACCTGCCCCGACAGCCCATTCAAGCTGAGAGACAAAAGGAACCGCGTTTGACCATATTTCGCCACCTCGGATTCGTCCAGCCAGCCCATTCACTGCACATACAACATGCGAGCCGAGCACAAGTGCATGCCCATATATACACACAGCATCCAGTGGAGCTCGAGCTGTCATTACCTACGATTCGTCCGAGTCGGAGGAAGCGCGCGGTCGCTTCGAGAATCAGAAGGGCACAAGGGGAGCCCAGTACTGGCTAGCGGGAGCGACCAACAACGTAGGGAAGATGTCCTGAAAAGAGGAGCGTGAGAATCGAATGCATGCAAACGCATGTCGCACGACCCCGTGGGCCGCGGCCGGCGGCACCTTCCTTCGTCCGTCGGGATATAGCCTGCGACGCTCCGCTCGGTGAAGTCACCGAGCCCTAGTAAACGCTCGAGCGCCAGTACATACTCCAGTACGGTACTCCAAGCTCCAGCGACATGCTGATACAGCATGAATTAAAGGACTTCTTGCTTTCCTAACTCCTTGAGGTATCTAATGGATGTGAAAGATTAGCATGCTCAAAGCTAACTTTGAGTTCTTCCTCCTTACTGCATCAAAATTCTCAAAAGAAATGAAGTACTGCGCTCGAAAGCCATTTAATTCCAAGAAAGCAATCTCATAATAATAACAGTTATATGTACCAGTAGCGATTTATACTTGTGCGTTATCCTATATTCATGAATTTGCATGATCTACAGTATGCTGTAATGTGTTTGTTGCGTACGATCGTTCAGAGCAAGAAAGTGGTTGAAACCAAGAGCACAGTTATATGTACACGGCGTTGTTTAGCATTCAGCTTTGCCACATCCTTGTAAGCAAGAAAGAATCAAAAAAGAAAGAAAAAGCAAGAAAAACATTAAAGACGAGCACTAAGTCGCAAATGCAGGTCGCAGAGCAGTCGACACCCGCGTGTCCGTCATCGAGCGCGCGTAAGCAGGCAGAGACGGGCGGTACGTATAATCCCCGCTATGCCCATTCCTCGAGTGATGCGAACCGTGCGTGTAGTAGGTCGTCTGCGAGGTCGATGAAGCTGGCTGGCGACAAGGCGACGCAGGTCGAGACCACTCCGACTCGGATGAGCTGGAGCTGGGCACAACCTGGATCTTGCGGGGCCGCTCATCCTCATCCTCGTCCTCGGAGGCGCTCTCGCCGTCTGAGGGATCTGCATCGTCCACGTCCATAGCGCCATATGGTCGCCGCGAGGGAACGGATCCGGGTCCAGGTCCAGACCCAAGCAAGACAGGCTCGTCGTCCGAGTCGCCGTCGCTGATACTGTGCGTCGTGGTCGGCGGGGAGATGAGCGCAGCTCTGGAACTAGCGCCGCTCGCTGCCCGACGGTGTGAGGTAGCCACCATGCCGGCGCTAGCGGAGTTGATACTGGCAAATTGGCCAGCGCTGCGAGGATCGGGTCGGTGCGTTTGCACGAAGACGTCGAGTTCCTCTGGGAAGGGTCCGGCGCCAACACGCGAGTGATTACGCCAGTGCCGGCGCATGTTCGAGTTCACGTTGAACTCACGGCCACACCCTGGATACGGGCACCGGTACGCTAGAAGACGCGAAGGAAAGCAACGAGGATCGTCAGCACATGCAACACACCGCAAGAACGTGAAGCCCGATATACAAAAAGAACAAGAAGAACAGGAAGTAGAAGAAGCATGGAAGCGAATGGACCAAATGGAGATCCGAGCCGCGCAGATCGAGCGCAAATCCGACGGCACTGCGGAGGACGGCGAGCGGCAATTCCGTGCCGTCAACCCAGCAACCAATTCCATAAACGCCACCAACGGGAAGCGAAACAAGCGAGCCGAGAAGGACCCTCGCAATCGTCAGTGATCCAAAATGGAAGGTGATTCGTCGACAATCGCCTCTCTTTCACCTCTTCACCAAGGCACGCACATCGCGTCGATCGACAAGCGAACCAACTGTCACGCGCTGCGATCTCGCCCCCCGGGTCCCGAGTCAGGTCGGCCGCCGCCTGCCGTCAACTGCTCGTGTTGTACACTGTCCGGGAAAAGGCAAAGGTACCGACAGGCTACGGGAAGCCGCATCGGATGCATGATGCCAGCCGTGACGCCCAGGGCAAGGGGTTTGGCGCGCGTCTGCCACGGCTGGGAGAGAAAAAAATAGAAAGAGAAGGAAAGGAAAACTCAAAGGAAAAAATCAAATGAGAAATAGTCGTCGCGGTGACCTCATGCCCATCGTCTGACCAAGCGGCGCCAGAACACTGACGGCACCATGACGAATTGGAAAATATATATGACGAGAAAAAATCGGGAAAATAAAAAAGGCGGAAGAGAGCACTCACGTCGCGCGCCCGTGTGCGTGTTAACATGGATCTTGAGGCTACTCGGCCGGTTGAAGCGCTTGCGGCAGTGTGGGCACTCGTGCCGCTTGCCACGCCCCTCGTTGCCGCCGCCATTGCCCGAATGTTGCCCTGCATGACCCTGTTCAATGATCTTTGGGAACCCGCGTCGCGAGCCGTCGACGATGGTGGGCGCACGGCCCGGCGGATCGCTGATCGAGAAGGCGAGCATCGAGCCGGGTGGGATAGATGATGACGCCGACGCTCCAGCGGAGCCACTGGGGGGTCCTTGGGAGGGGTATGGATGCTGCTGGTGGACAGCCATCATTTGCGCTTGTCCGTGGGTAGGCGGGGCTGCGGAGTAGTGGTGCTTCGATGAGGAGGGCTCGCCGCCCTCGCGGAATGTCACCTGGCCTGTCATTGGCGCATTGGTGGGCGCAGGCTCGTGATAATGGTATCGTCGCGCGGTGCTCATATCGATGGGCATCGAGACGCGGAAAACTGGTGCGATGCCTGAGGTGTGGGCCATGGAGTGGGTGGGCTGCGCGACGGGGGCAAGATTAGTTGCACGTGGGTGGTTGCGTGCGCTCGTAGAGGAGGCAACGTGCTCCAGTGAGGACCCAGCTGGGTCTGCACGGAGGACGTTAAAAGAATAAGCAGGGCTTGTAGTCACGGGACCACGGTGGAGAATTTCTGGGGATGATGAGTGTGTGTGCATCTGAGCCTCGCCTGAGCGCGAAGGTGGTGGCGAGGGAAGAGAGCCACGGTACTGCGGGTATGGAGAGGTGGCGTAGCGTGAATGTGCGTGGTACTTGTCGGCGTTGCGCATGGTCGCCGCATCGGTGGCGCTCCTCATTGCAGGCTGCGGCGAAGACGTGAGTACATAAACTTCCTACGGCTTTCTACGACGGTTAGAATTGTAGAACTCACCGATCTGGTGGACTGTTGAGGGGAGAGGCGAGCTGTGGGTTGGAGGGTGCTGCGTTCGGATGAGCCATCCATGTCTGGGAGGAGGAATGAGATGGAAAGTAAAGACGTGTTGCATTATAAGAGCTTACCGGGGAACATCTCTCGAATCGAGGGTAGAGCGATGCCGGGGCGGGACATGATGGGAGATGTGAGCATGGTAGTCGGAGTGGGCTAATAAAGGCGGGGCGAAGACGGTGGAACGAGACACTGCCCAGGCGACGAGTGAGATGATTGGGGGGTGGAAGGGTACCAGAGAGAGGCGGGGATGGATGAGGCGTGAATGGAATAGATCGAGCAGATCTGGGTTGCAGGCTATAAGGCACTATATATATATAACCGCGGGAGAACGGTGATGAGATGGGATGGGGTCAACAAACGTAGAGCAACAAACACAACAAGCGCTTGCAACGCCCTGCGCCCGAAACAGTTATCGTATCCTCGGGCTTCAAACGCGCGCCGATCGTCGCTTGCTCGAATCTCGCGCCCTTTTTGGTCCTAGATGCGGTGGGCAAGGAGCACTCTGGCAATCTCCGTGCGTCACAGCCTTGGGACAGCAAGTGATTTGGCAGATGGCCAATCCTTCCTTCACGCGCGCAGCTGGGGGAGATGTGCCTTTTGGACGGCAAGCTGTTGAGTGACCGTCGTTCACAGGAACCTGTTCGGCGTTGGCACAGCAAGCTTGTCAACGGCGGAGTGTGAAGGACTGGCTGGCGTGTAGAGCGCGGGGGTGGAAGGGGAGCGAAAAGAAGAGAAGGGGAGTAGGGTGGTATGACGGGGGGAGTAATATATGCAACGGCCTAGTGTCCGGGCTGGCCGATGTCAGGGAGAGGTTGTGTCTGTGTCTGCATGATTGGCACAAGGATAACGCACTCTCGCCTACCGGACAAGGCCCGTTACGTATCGCCTGTCTAATCGGGAATCCTCTACCCAAAACAGGGTCCCCCCGCCCGATCATAATGAATCCGACCGTGGATACCGTCCAAGTTCTATACATAAACGCCCCCAGAACAACCTCCCCGTCCATGCTCCGAAGCCATGCCAGCCAGCTGGGCATGCACAACATCCGAGCATCCCTTCATTTATCTACTTATTGATCATGCACAATTTGCCACAATAAACCCCTTACGGCATCCTCCAGGACCTAGCAAGACGCACACAAAAACCTTGCACCTCCAGCTCGTCCGTGCCAATCCCTTGGCAACTTGGCAGTCCACGCCCACCCATGCAGCGAGGAAAAAACATCTTCTCTCGCGGGAGGAGCCGTGCCTCGTGTATCGCACGCATCGATTTGCAATCGACGCCATTTGGTAACTGCTCCCAAGGGACGCCGAAGATGCCCAATTTTGAGTTATTGAGTAAATCATTTACCTCCGAGTCGATCCACGGGCCCACTTGTGGAACCATGACGGGGACATGACAGCGTGCGGCATCACAGGATCAGAGCTCCCCGATACGGTGCTCTCTTCCGTCATGAACTTCGCGCCTGTCCATGTCTACCAGTGCCCGTTGCCCTCGTATGACATACATGCAATGTGATTCAAGGGTGGAATTGAGAGTGTCATATGTTTTACAGCGGGTAGTTCTTCCGCGACGATTTCTCGAGCGCCTGCGTGTGCCGCGGAGGCCCGGATGACCGGCGATCCTCTAAATCAGGAAGGTTCTCTTCCTTTCGGAATTTGTGTTTATCACAAAAAGGAAATCCGAGATGTAAATTTGGCTCGGCTGCCCCCTTGATGACATGATCCTCACTGACACAACAGCCCGCGACTTTGTCAATGCCGGTCTCCACGGAACCCTCATTAACGTTAACTTGTACTAATACCACCAAGAACCATCACGAGTATACACACACCGTATGAATCATCTTGGGGTTTTGGATCCTTCAAGTTGGGCAGGATGCGCGCTAACCACGGGGAGCTACGCCGAGCACCCTGCCCCATGAATGCATACGATCGGCAGACCCGCTTCTTATGAACTCTCTCCGCTTCGAACAAGAACCAGCATCCAAAACAGCGATCCAGTCCGACAATCGGCAGCAACACGTTCGACAGCTGTCTGAAAAGGCGGCGTTTGGCTGTAAATGACATGAACAAATGAACAGAACCTAACTCATTATCCCCATCCCCGTTGCCCTTGCCCTTTTTTGGACTGATTGGCACACACGCCTGCCAGCCTACCGTCGTAATGGGTGCCCCGAAAATGGGTCGCCGCCGCCGCCGAGAAAGAATGCCTTAACGCGGAGCGGAGGGGGACCAAAGAGGGTGGTGCGGAAGAGGCGCCGAAGCGACGAGGCGCGGGGAACGAGCGAACGAAACGCGGGGGGCGCGCATAATTATTAGACGGAATGAAATGCAGACGTTTGATGGGCGACGAACCGACAAAGGGTCGGCAAGGCCACGCCGCCCCGCCTCCTTCCCAGCACCAAGGCTCTTCCTTGACGCGGAGCGCAGCCACCAGCCCTTGCATGGCCAATGGAAGGCGCCGCACAACGCCCCCTAAGATCTGCTTCGGACCGTACACTTGTACATTTGACCTGCTTCTGCGTGCCAACGAGACAATAAGGCGAGCTGACCTTCATTTTTGGCTTGCATTTCTTGAACGTTGCTGTGGAGTTTGTCTTGCACCAGGGCACCCGACGGAGCAGAGCTCGAACATCGCGGTCGCCGCAAGCACGCAGGCCTCCTGAAAATCCGGGCTGGATTCGAGGCAGCCTTGCCAAATTCGGCTACCGGCGGCCGATCGGGAAGGAGAACACGTTTTTTTGCTTCGGGCGTGATGATGCGCCACGGGTGCATTTCAAAAGATTTTCCATGTTCGAAAGCTTCAAACGCGGACGCCCTGGGCAGGCGACGGTAACCCGACGGGATGGATGAGAATGGAGAAGTAAATAAGGTCAAGCTTCAAAATGGTTTGGTCTCAGGATAAGGGCAACTTGTGGTGGGTGTGGATGCAAGGTAGCCGTCCAGCGCAACGAGGCACACGCACATCTCACGCCGGCGATCACTCAAGAGGCCGCGCTGCCGGGCAGGATCAGCGCCCGTAGCGCCAGAAAGGGTAAGCCGCCCTCTGATACCCGCCGATCTCGTCTGGCGCATACTGCACTTAGGAGAATCCTCACATCATCATCAACACCCACCCACGCCGCCCATCCTCTTTGCGGCTCAAACAAACCTTGACCTTGTATGTGCGCTATGTTTAGGTGCGTGGGCATCATGCATCATGTCCCTGGCTTCCTTGGTTTTGCCGCTGTGCCGTGCTCGTCGTCCCGTGATCGCTGCACGGTTCTTCGCTTCCTTGCCTGTCGCGGTAGTGGGCGAAGCGCGCGACAGACATACACCCACGGAGACGCTCGGCGATCTGCCGTGAACGACAGGGTGTATCTAGGGCCCGCCTCAATGACAACGTTCGCCGGGTGGCCGTGGTGTGGGCACCTGGGAACGGCGATCCGCGACGATTGGAGAGGGAAAGGAAAGGAAGGTTTCTGAGGAGGAGATTAAGATTCTGTGGCACGCGCGCAGAGGCGTGTCCGTGGGCAGGCAGACGCAGACAGCTGCAAGACGGATACGGACGAGGATCGTGGATCCTTCGTGGTGCGGTTACGGTTTCAGTTTTGCAATACCAGTACCGGTATGTCGTGTGCGTGCCTTGTGTCCCTTACCCCCCTCCTCCGCTTTGTCTTCTGAGCACGGTCTGCCTAGCTGACTGAACCTTGTACCTTGTTCGTCAACGGATATTCGGGCGCCACATTAATCGTCTCCGAGGGCCGTGGATTTAACGAGTGACTGTATTGTGTAATCGAAAGGATCGCTGCGGTGAGGGATGGGTTTGACAGGTCTTCTCGGATGGAAGCGAAACGCGGCACGGGAGAGGATCCATGGACGAATAGATCTGTGTGGCTGGCTGATCTGCGCGGATAACTGTCTTGGGTTCGTGCAGGTCCGTGTGTGGTGCGTTTGTCCCGCTCGTTGTCCGATCGCTGTCTGCTCGCTGTTTTCTCGCCACCGGCATGCGCACTTACGCATGCGCCGTCCACAGTCACACGCCTTCCGTGCGTTCGTGGGCTCCATGTTGTTCTGAAACGGGTGCTCATATCAGATGGAGCCTGCACTTCACCAAAAGTGTCCGCCGTATGCTGTATGCCATGGAAATCAAGTGAAGCCGAGCGAGCGTCTACCTCGCCGCGAACATCCCATTCGCAAGCTTCAGCATTTCATCTCCACTACTTTCATTTGCGATTTAACATCTTACACCAGGTATCGCTGACAGATTGATCCACGGATGCTGATGCAGATGGGCAATTCGGCAACACCCGTGCCCTCTCCGTGTGTAGCGGCGTTGCAAGACGTCTACAACGATTGGACTAGGTGAGTTAGGGAGCCACGAGCCAGAACGAAGGCTTAACTCTACGCCGGCACCTAATCTTGTTGTGCCACTGCGCAACCTTAGCATTTCACGATTATGTGGGATATCTTGTCGACGTGTTACGTCATGCCTGCGACACCCCAGCTGTCACCCCGCCATCGAGCGCTTGCCATGTCTCTCGCACTTCCGGCTATCAAGATCTTCCCATATCCAATCTCTCATCTCATCTCTCATCGTTCTCATCAGCGCTGACCAGCCCGTGAGCCTCTTCAGGCGAATCGGCCAGACTCCGACGTCGGCTTTGATTATCTATCTAGGGAAACTGGACTATTCCAATTGTTGGATAGCTTCACATATGCGCTGATTCGTACTCACTAGTAACAGCTACTCTGCGTACTCGGAATGGACCGAGCGCCGGCGACTCTCGGCGACTGCAACCAACCTATCTCGACCGTCATGTTACACAAGTTATACCCCATCGGCTATGGTGGCACGCTGGGCGTAACAGGAACGCCTTTACTTGGTACATGATCTTCCCCCCTTTGATCTTGGGCGCGAACGCTGGGGCATCTCATAATCGGGTGAACTCTGCGCTGGTATTGCGCGCGCGTCGAATCTGATTTGCCTTCGGTATCTCCATTTGTCCTGGATCCACGGACGGCGATACTTATGTTCTATTCTTACCACCTCTCTGTACACTTCGTCGGGCGTTCCGAATTTGGTCGTCTTCGTTTCGTCAACCCCATCCAACCCCTAACTAACATTCAGCTTCGTCCATGAAGCCCGAGTCCATTTGCTTGGACCTCGCGTATATCCATGCAGACATAGTGTTTGCGAGAAGAGTTTCAGCATACCCGGATAGTAGGTGAGAACCGGGCCCTAGATTTAGATAACTTCGAGCTTGCAAGGGCGCACGCCGCAAGGCGATCGCGTGCCCACAACTGCCAGAGTAAATACCGAGTACCTTCGCCGCCAGATTCGCGCGAACGCGCTTCTTCTCGGTCTTCCGCGGCTCCTCTATACGTCTATAGGCTGAAATTAGTCTGAGTTATAAGTCCACGCTCCACCTCTTCCGCCCTTGCCAATCGCAGAGAATTCTCCCGGATCCGCTGCCCATCTGTGGCCCGAGTTCTCATGGCCATCTGCCCAGCTATCACCCTCAGAAAAAAGGGTGAGCTACTGCTGTGCCATATCTCTCAGCTCCCGTATTACCCGCAGCTGCACGTGGAATACGTTCCTGCTCCCAGACGGACGAGGGGACGAAGATAGGTCCCGACGGGAAGTCCCGCAGGACAGGAGCCACTGAAGGGTAATGCCCAGTGAGGTGAGATGTGGGCGCCTCCGTTGCCCTTTCTTGGTCTGGCTGCACCCTGCCTCTGTGCCAGCAGTGGGGACCTTCCCTCCGCGAAGTCGGGGCAGTTGCGCCGCCGGGCACGGAAGCTAGGCTAATATCATCTCGCGCGGAGTGAACCGCGAGCCACAACATGCTAACGCTGCTGAATACACGGTATGTATAGTTCGATAACGGTAAGGTTAGAATAGCCACTGACAAAGGATGATTGGCACCTTACTCCATTGCTTTCTCACCTTTGATCTGCGGCTGTCTCTAAAGGCGTTCAATCGTAGGTGGCTTCAAGCGGCGATATAGTTTGCCAGTTCCACTTCGAACCGGGAGCACTTGCACAGTGGATTCTTGCCGCACTGTTTTACCGCCTCACACCTCATCTTCAGCGTGGCGTGCATCTCCCTTCAGACTGCGGTTCCGGCGGGGCCGCCGGGATACTAAATTTACGCCCAGCCAATGAAATACCACCGTTAAATTCTCGGAGCTTTATCTGGCCGGCGGAAGCGATCGACGTTTGTTGGTGGTTCCCCGCTGTCCCATCTCTTGCACTGGCGATGATTTGATTGTATTGTGAGCAGCTGCGCTTTACCTCGACAGCGTGTGCAATAATGCGACTTCGAAAAAGTCGGCAAACGCCGCTCCACATCTCCTCTTTGCGAGAAAGCACGACGGTAACGGAGTACTGACTGCCAAGGGATAGCCATATCCACGGCTTAAGCTGGACACTCCGAGGCTCAAAAGCGTGTGAGAATCCGCAGATCCTTCTTGGGTGCGTTTCTATACTTAAGCGGAGAGAAAGGGACGGTGGCGGGGGGTGCACCATGTGCTCACATGACAGCCTGGCGAGCTGCTGAGGAGCACAGACGCGTAATTGAGCCTCGTGCCACTGCTTCTGGCATTATTTTGGACAAGACCAGAGTGCAGTTCATCCTAAGGGATCCCATCGCATCGGCGGCATCGCATTGCTGCAGTGCCCCATGATCTGCGGGAAGTGAAGGGTGCTTCTTGATTCAGTGTTACAGTAGCCAGGCTCGTATCAACATCTGTCTGTCTACATCTTCATCTATCTAGTGCGGTCATCTGCGCCCTTCGCCTGTATGCAACTGCCAAGCGGCGATCAGGATTGTTAGGCCGTTACCTACAGAGAATGAGGACTCTCTCAGACTGAAGTCGGCGTTCTCTGCTCCAGTGCTGAGGCTTAGAGGAATGTACCCGGATGGCCATATTTATTATTGGAGTGAGATGCTTAGAAAGAAGAGCAGCGCCAACCGCCCATCACCTGAAAAGACAACAGCAGGCAGTGCGAGCTTAGCTCCGCTGATCGTCTTGCTCTTTGGAAGATACCGGTGAGCGGAGAATGCCGTGTGCGTGGATCCACGGTTGAGAACTAGAGCTTACATGGGTGAATGGTTGTCGGTACTCCGACCAAGTATGTTGCGCTGTGAACATCTTAAACATCTGCGTTGGCGTGACGGAGGGGCGAGCCTTAGTATGTCCTGACTCTTCATTTACGTTCGACTAACCTTGACTTTGTTGAGGTAGCAATCAAATAGCAATATTTAATTATTAATGTACACCTTATTATTCCATGTTTTCAACGAACCATTGAGCCTTTAAAAGCCCTACAGCTTGCCAACAACAGCTTTCTGGCGCCTTCTCATTCAACGCCGTTAGACGATCAACAGAGATAGCATTAGGATATCAAGTTGAAGGGCGATGACGCCTAGTCGAAAGCTGGTGAAGAACAGTTGACAAGTGAAGTGTTCCCCTCGCACATATGTTTGGTCACCGAGCACCCTTTTACCGACAGTTAACACTACCACGATGGAAGAGGAACCGAGACGCACGGGCCACTTGGAAGAATTCAGATGGTTGCTATCTGAACGGACTTGTTTTGAGCTCCATCGTTGCAATGTAGATAACGCGAGAAAAGCAACCTACCCGGAGAGTGTAGAAGAAATACGACGGTTCGCAAGACTACCTAAATCGGTTCCAGCCACGCAGGCACTCCGTCGAGTATGCGATGTTTTCCATCCATTTCACAACGGCGAGGAGCCCGCGCTGGGACCAGACTCCTCGGAGCCCAGTAGACGATCGACGAATGTAGTAAACGATGTGCACACCTCGTCCGGCGGGGCCACTCCCGGCGCTGTCTCCGCTCCTGGACGATATTTACCCGTTTTCACTGCGAAGAATGCAGTCAGCATGCGCGTTCCTCGGGTGTTTTAGTAATACAGATGTAGATGGAAGAAAGAACGGAAAGACGCAATGAGGTGGCTGGCAAGAACGCCACCTATCTGACAGAATACTAATCACAATGTGAGTGCGTTCGACCTACACTCACCCAGAATGCGCCAGAGGCCTAGTTCGACTGCGCCATCTCCGAGATCCGCTTGCACGTCGTCGCCGATGACAGCCACTTTTCCTTCCCTCGAGCCCCTGGACGACTCCTCGGGCTGAAAATTCATGATGACGGTCTCAAAGAACGCCCGCATCGGCTTGCCAACGACCTCCGCGTCCCGTCGTGCAGCTGTCTCTAGAGCTGAAACGAACGGTCCTGGACCTAGGGAGAGAGCACCGTCGGAGGATTGAATCGTCCGTGCTTTGTGGAGCGCTATCAGCGGCACATTATTGAATGCCGTGTCTCCGTGGGACTTCTGGCTGGGATGCTCTCCGACGAGGATGCGAAATGCTTCGTTCAGGTGTTCGTAGGACAGAAGAGAGGGGGCGAGGCCTACTATCACTGCATCGTAAGGTACATCAGGCGAGGGATCGTACGTGGATGCTGATGTGCAGTCTTCTCGCGCTGAATCTGACAGCAAGAAATATGGTCTGAAACGCACGGAACGATTTGTCAGAAGTTCATCAGAAGTTTCCATGACATACACGGAACGTGCAACGCGTACCGTTTCAGCCCACGTGTCTCCATCACGCCTCTCACGGCCCCAAGAGACGTCCACAGCTCGCGTCGTCCACCAACTTCGTCCAGACGGACGTCGAACCCAGCGTCACAAAGCCTAGCACGGAGCGCAGCGGTTGATTCTTTGCTCGTGTTGCTACAGAGACGGAAGGGTACGCGAGCATCACGGAGCCTGGCGAGGGCCGCTGCCGCACCAGGGGTCGGCTTCGCCCCGACAAGCAGGGTGCCCGAAATGTCGATAAGGAGTGCACGAATGGCAGGTAGAGAACGTATGGGAGCCATATCGTACGGGATTTCTGATGATGTCAGAAGAGATTTCGCTAAGTTTGCGAGAAATGGAATGTATCCACAGTCGGCGACGTACTTAGTAGCGCCGACTTTGGCTGGGGGGTAAGCTTGTTCCGCTGGCGACGGCGATGTAGTCAACGTCGGTGGCAGAAGAGCTTGATTGAGATCGCACGTGTGACTGAGGGTATAACAGATGTTCTATGTGGCAAGTCATAAGACAGTGACTTTTTTGAAGAAAAGAGTGCTTGATCACTTGGAGATGGAGGTTTGAAGAGAGATAACGGCGAGTCGACGACCAACGATTTGAGTCTGTAACTGGGAAGCAAAGACGTGTTCAGAGGCTGATATGACCTCTCCCAGAATGAGGTCAAGGAGTATGATAGTCGGCCGATCTATTCTTTCGGCCTTAGATGCGGCGAAGGATGGGTGAATGGACCAACACGACAGCGAGCGGAGGCAAAAAAAGAGACACTGCGTCCCTGACAGCAATAGCACGATGACCTCATCCAGGAACAGACCACGTGTTCAATTCGGAGTTTCAATGGCACACCACCAACGTATTCCCCAAGGTATTCCCTGACATTTCCCAAGGACTCATCCCACTCGTCTGTTCTAACACCTTCTCTAACGCTAGGTGGACCAACTATTCAATCAGTAATAAGCGAACTCCGAGTCGGTGACGAAGAATGTTCATCTTACCGTCGGCTCCCACTCAATCTCGACAAACCGGCAGATGGATCAGCGCTTTCCCCGGAGAAGCTAATTATCGCACAACATTGCAAGTTTTTCTTTCTTTGTTCCTGTCAGGGTGGATCAGCGTTTGAAGGAAGATTTGGGCTTGGATCGTGTCGTCCCTGGACGTAACTTACCCCTTTTTACCGCATTGAGCAAATCCTTTTCTCTTTGCTCCTCTTGTTCACACCGCGAGGTATTTAGCTCGGCAAACCTCGACACATGATGTTCATGTTACGCTGTCAGAGCTGCTGCGACGTCGGCCGTCCACAGATATTAAGCTGCTGAGTCAGAGCCGAGGTTTGTACAGGCGGCGTTCTGCTGTCACTCAATCTGTAGGCGCTTCGTCTTTTGGTAGGAATTCGTCCAAAGGTCTAACACTGTCTCAAGGCACATGCTGTGTGGAGAGTCGCAGCCATGCCCATGCTGGTAGACGGTGCTTGCTGTGTAACAAGATAAGGCATTCACATCGTTTCTCTCACGAGGTTTCTTGTTGAATCCCGCCAGAGCATTCGTTCAGAGGAAAGTCCGTAGGGCTCGGGAGGTGTGAGGTATCCTGCATCATGTATCTACTTCTGTTAATCGCCTACGCTGATATAGGGTTTATGCTTGACGAGTGCTTTCTACTTTGCTGCTCATGAGTTTCCATATCGTCAACTTCCGCTATTGAAGGTGGAGGGAAAGTTGCCTGTCACTGCCGTGGTCCAATCGCTGTAGTGAGCGTCTCACAAGTGACCACAGGTTCAATCCCAGAATAGCTGACTTCGCAGTACTGACTGTACTCAGAATAGCTGACACGTGAAGGCATGCTACTCCCGGTAATCGACTTGCCCTGTCCCAGGTCAACAACCCGTTGATCCGCTCGATGATGAATTCTACGGAATTACTTGGTTATTGCGGGTTAGATTACGGACACACTCCGCGCAGGCATTTCCATCAGGTCATAACTGCATTCCTATACGGCAGCCTCCGTGCTATAGTCCGTCGAAATGGATCCATTGCCGCCAGGGCTTTAGTAGCCGCAGCGATATGGCTTCACTGTGAGGTACAAGTTCACGTTGATTGTTACTCAAGATTCAAGGCGCCGTTAGAATGCACGGAGCCAGGCATAGACTAGCTCCGCCTGTGGACCGCAGCAAAAGACTCTTGGTCTATCCAATCATGGTAGCGCAGTTGCTCCACCTCGCTCTCATACAACTGCAGGGGTGCAGAGGTTTGGATGGATGTTATTGACTCTAGATTGAATGCCGATTGCGCCCGGACTAATAGCGACCATCGCAGTGAATAGCCAAGCTCCCTTTATTCCTGCCAGATTAGCATACTCCGTGTAGCCTTATGCCGTATTGTTACACTACATTGCATTTGCGGTGAGAATTGATTCCTATAGAGCTTACCCATACGAAATTGATCTTATCCCAATAACGTAGGAAGTTAATCCTAGTGGACGCCGTATATTTCAACAGCAGAGACTTAATCGTCTTCGAATCGTCGGCGCTCTACAGTCGCGACACCGCATATCCTTCCCGTATATGCTTGGAAAGATGACGTATTAGTTTGCATGAACCTCATCGTTCCGGATCATATACTGACTTCCGTTCTCATGCCCTAATATCTTACATGCCTGTCAAACGTGTATTGCTCCTTCATTTCTATCCTCATACACGCACATGGATACAACCTTTGCGGTACTTGGAGGAAGGGCAGACTTTGCTCCAGCGAAGACCACGGGCATACATTATGATTGGCTCCGTGGCTCCTGGCTTCTACCGGGCGGACATTATTGCGGTCCTGTAGCGCGATTTGACCCTACTCATCCGTATGATCATCTCCCGACGGCTGTCGGATAGCCTTCTTTCACATCAGCCCTCGGCGAACGTCTTTGTGTCATCAGTGGTGCAATCACATTTTCAACTCAGCAATACCTCCGCAGTTTACCTGCGCAATTATTGCTCGTTCCTTGGAAGTCCCCTTTGTGAGTGTTGTCTGTGGGCTTATGTTCTGCTCGAGTTCAGATGATCACATCCTTTATACTCAGGCCTTTCTCCCGGCTGCATTTCAGAAGTATCTTCGTATATCCGTAACATTTGAGTGTCTGAAAGTTTCCGTAGGCAGGACATTCTGGGACGGGTCCAAAAGTTCGAAGAGGGATGAAATCTCCGATGATACAGGATCGACATCGGAGTTTGGCAATATTCATGTACTGCGCAGAAGTGGTGCCCGCGGTAGCAGTCTATGACCCCTATCCTATGTCGGTGGTGCTGATCTCGTCAAAGTTCGATCAGCGTAAAGAGGTACGAACATTGCACCGCGGTCACCAAGATGCGGCACCGTCTCAGATGGAAGGTAGTGGGGATCGTCTCCTTAAATCACAAGCTACAGCTACCTGGCTCAAGGCGACGCGTTGGGGATATGTATAGGGCTGGCGGAGGTTAAAAACCACCGGTGATCTTCATTGTCACCGACGCGACAATGACTCTTCCTTTCGTGGGATGAACGAGCCGTTCTGTCTCCTCTAGGTTTGTGCTGACTCTAAAATTCTGGCAGATATTCTCGGCCCTTCCAAACCCCTGGCGCAGTTGCCTATGTCAAAGGCGTGTTCTGAGTTTGCAATCACCCTCGAGACTTGTGCTGTGAAACTAAGTTAAGCAATATCTCTCTCCAGAACCTGGCCAGTAACCCGGCTAGGAAGCTTCGAACCTAATCGCGGCTCTGGCCGCACCGCATGCTCGTATGCGTCATTCGCGATTGCAAATTTAGGCGCATATGCAATGCAGCTTCAATGCATTGCACTATTCCAAGTTGTGCTTGCTGTTGAGGTGAGGTGTCCAACGTGAGATCGCCGCTCGTAGTCTGAGATCGCCGAGTTCTGGATTTCATCTGCGCGAGCCGAAGAATCGGACAAGGTACGTGTATGAACTACTTACCCTATCCGCTGACGACATGGCTCTGATAAAGTCACTGTCCCTACACGACGGGGTTGTCGAGGAACAGCCCAAGTGGCTCTCTATTGCTGACGAGGGCAGTGGGCAGACTTTACCGTGACTTCTTGGAGAACAGTCCATGACGGGTAAGTGGATTATCCTCGATTTGTGCACGCACAGGAAGCATCAGAAACCGCAGTGCGTGGCTCAACTCCGGTGAGGCCTGACACAACTTAATCTCATCTGCAGATACATATCCCAGTGCGTAGCGTTGCCATTGCACGAAACTCCTCTCTAGTCAATTATGACTCCTTGACGAAAACAGTGACTTCAATGATTTTCGCACGCAGACGAGGCCTTTGCGCATGCTAACTACGAGTAAATGACAGATGAAACCCACTGAATATTTCCGTCGATACATATAATAAAAGACGTTTGGAATGTGAATAAAATGTATTCATGTGCATTGTTTCAACAAGTAACAAGTGCGAACGCTTGAATCTTCCGACTGTAGGGGTAGCGAGGGAAGTTCATGAGGCATAGCACCTACATACAGCTTAGACAAACACTCATCACAAGTAGTGGCCCGGTACGAAGCAACTACAATATCCGTTTTTTGAGAGTGTCATTTAGTTTACGACCATGTTCTCACCGTGGGGGAAGCATGGATGTCACATAAACGCCGCTCTGGGTGATGCTATCTGTATCTTCTGGCAATGACTACGTATGCAAGACGTCACCGCACAACAAGATAATCCGATATCATAAAGGAGGAGAGAAGGAGAGAAGCCTGAGCGTGCAAGAGAAAGGCAAATATGGGTGTACCATGGTAAAACACCACAAAGGAAACATATTGACCAATGAAGACGATCCAAAAGTCAACGGAAAATTTGTTTGTGTCAAGAGAGGAAAGGATTGTCGATCGAAAAACAAAGAGATTCGAAGAGCAGAAGGTAAATGAAGGGTCATTTAAAGAAAACACAAGGGAATAGGGCTGCGAAACCTTGAGGTAGCCACGGGGCGTAGTCTCAGGGAGGGAAGGTCCATAGGTACTCGAGTGAATATATAACTGAAGGAAGGAAAGAAGCGAGTAGCTCGACGCTGGAAGCTCGCGGAGACGACTCACATTAATTCAAACCCTTCGTCCAACTCTCCTTGATCCACCCATAAACAAACGGAACGCGCAAAAGCTTCCGGGCAAATGACGCTCCATCCGTGTCGCATATTCGGCGCCTTGACTAGCGTCATCGTCGTTGCTCCTGCCGGATCTCCGACTCCCTGCCCTTCTACACCTTTCATTCTCTCCACGAACCACTTCGCAGATTCGACGCTATCGCTTGTTGGCAACAAGCCCCCTTTTCCGGCGACAACGACGAGCACTCGTGTTGTAACAGGTCCTTGTGTTTCCATGCTTGTACAGACAGCGTCCGCAACATCGCGCGAGGCCTGGATGTCCCTCTTGCCTTCGTGCGACGTCTGTGAGTCGGGCTCAGGAGCATAGCCATCCATCATTTTTGCCACAAGCCACCGGGGAGTAAGTTTCAAGAGTACCACATCTGTCATCAATATATATGGGACGAGAGGGTAGTACCATGCACGTCGGTTGATCAGTGGAGCGAAACCTGAAGTGAACAGGGAGAGCGTGAGACCCGGGTAGGACGCGGCGAACCCAGCTGAGACATGTGCGCCCAGGCTAAGGCCAACGACGTGCGCTTTGCCAGACTTGGCGTGTGTCGAGACTAGCAGAGAAAGGAGGGTCGTTATAATGCATAGGTCAAAAGTGCGGGGTTGCCCTTTCGAGTCAACGTGTAGACTGGGAATAAGGAGATGATAGGTTGGTGGCATGTGTGAAACCACCTTGTCCCAGTCCGCATGGCTCCCAAAGGCTCCGCGTATGAAGAGGATGGTAATAGGTGCAGAAGGGTTGTGAGAAACAAAGGAAATCTGGGCAGTATCACCTGCGCTGATGTCAGTGGTTGAACTGGGAGTTTTTTGAGCCTGAGATTCCATAGCTTCGGTTTGTTTTTGGAAGACCAGAGAATCTGAGGTTCAATCTTATGCAAGAGGAGGACCGCTGGTACGTCGGTGAGTGCACCATGGCGTTGCAACGGCCCCGACGTACGTATACGGCATTTGAAACGCATCCGATTCTGGCGGTGACGGAGACAGCGCCTAAACAAAAATAAACATCTCAATTTTGGCCCGACATTCTCGGAGTAAGCGCTGGGGACTTGATTTCTGCTGTGTCCATACTTAGCTTAGCGGGCTCAAACGGCCTCGCACCTCTGACATGCAAGGATCAGACCGACCGGTGTACTGTAATACAATTCTAGTATGCGTGAGGGTGATGACTCGATTTAGGTCAGCAAATGCACTCACCATTTCAACAAAAATCATCCCCGTTCCCGCCTTCCATGTATTCAAGTTCCACGCCAATCACTAGCTGAGCTCAGGCGCAGACATATGGTAGATGTAAGTACTTATTAACGACTTTACCACCTCTGGGAAACGCTATAAACTCTCCAAACCTGGTTAAAGAGTACTTACTAAGACCCTTGACATGATTGTTGCGTCTGAAAGGAGTAATATTGACGTTGTAAAGTGAGTGAATAAACAACGTAAGGAGGGAAGAGCAGCATAAGAATCCAATTTTCAAGAACATACAAGAAGATCATGCTCGTAGCAGCACTAAGCTATGCGTAGAATACATCAGTCTCCCAGAAGAGTCTACATTTTACATCACCATACGTCGTATTGATAGTCCACGGCAACCGTTAGACCCTTTCACCCCTCCATCATCCATATTTCAACCAGACCCAAAGATCTGGTCTGGGTCGATCTCCCGTGCACCACTGCTCTGGAGCCGTTGCTCCCTCGCCGCCCTCTCTTGTTCGTACTGCTGATGGTGCGATGCATACGCCGGCGCGTGGCCCTCCTCGGCATCCGGCGGGAGCGCAATGTCTCCGTTTTGCCGTGAGCGGCGCTTACTCATGAAGTGATGGTGTACCAGGGCGCAGAACAGGCCCAGCGGGTGAAGAACAGTGAAGATGATCACCGTAACCTGTCCGCGTCGTCAAATCAGCACCGCAGAAGTGGCGAATTAGGAGGTACGCACATAGACAGGAACGGGCTTGGGCCGTGCGCTCCAAATTGCCGCGCAGATCCAGGTACCGGCGACGGTGAGAACGATGTCGCGCCTCGTGAGGACGACAAGCCACGCGATGAGGTTTGCGCCGAAGACGACGCCGAACCCGGACCATGGGTGCATGCTATATTGCTCCGGGTGGGCAGGATCATAGGTAAGCCCTAGTGTCACGCTGTAAACACGTAGTGACGTCAGCGAAGGAAGGGTGACATCAAGAGGCATGCGGCAAGAGGGAAGTGAAGCACCCACAAGAGCGCGTTTGGAAACATAAGCACCAAAGGCAGAACGAGGAAGAAGCGGAGCGGAGCATGGATAAGGAGCGTGTCGAGCGGGCGATCCTTCGTGGGTGGGTGGTACACGAGCAGGGCAAGGTTGGAGTAAATGAGCATAAGGAGGAGGATGCCGAGCAGGACGGTCGAAACCAGGAACCATTGCATTACCTGCGTGCGTGTCAACTCGGTTTGAGACGTACTGGAATGGGAAGCAGGCGAAAGAGAACGAGGCGTACCCAAGCAATAGCCCAGAATGCCATGAGCCAATTAGCAAACACGAGAGGGTGACCAACAGCCTTCACGAGTGCTTTCTGAGCGTGATGTGCTGGGTCAGCGCCTTTCGTTTGTGCGAAAGAGATATGCACACCTTGGTGTCCTCTTTACGCGCAAGCACAAGCAGTATGCAGTATCCAATCTGTCCGACATAGAGAACGAGCACGTATATAGCGACAACGGCGATGTTCGGTGATATGGACGTCGGATGTTGTGCGGTTACGCGTCCTGGAAAGTTGACAAAGGTTGAACTCACTCAGCGTGATGTGCCAGCAAGGAGAAGAGACGGACCTATCGAAGGGTTGACGACAAAGGTGCATATGAGGACCGTGACGATGTTGATGAGTACCGAGAGCGGTGTGAGCACCTGGAGTCTGTAGTGGGCAGGCCATGTTTAAATGTGTTGGATCGAAGGAACACGATCTCGTGGTAGTGAACCGTACCTTATGAGGGAGAGGTAGTCTCGCACTTCTGGATTTGACGTATCGATGAGCTCGGATATGTCATTTGCCATTTATACTGAAGGTTAGAACGCTGATGTCGTCGAAGAGGAATATGTGGATGGAGGTCAAGGTCAAGGAGCGAAAAACCAAACGGGCTGGCGTTACGGTGTGGATGATGTCATCCATCTGTCAAGGAGCGGGACGAGCACCGCCACTGTCTTACAGTAGTCCAATCAGCATGCGGCATTTTATCTTTTGTTTTTCTCCGTCTTCCGTCCTCTGTTTCTTGATCAAAACAAGCCATCTTCTGCGCTTTGCCCTCGTCGTAGTCTTCTCTAGGCAGACCGTATATCAAAAGATAGTCGTTCTTGACACCCTCATCACGACTTCAACCAGTTCATCGTCTGAAGGCCCACACTGATACCAGCACACTCTCATGCCGAAGCAAGAACGTGTCCCTCGCGCCTTACACTCTGAGCTCACCGAACACGCAGCCCTCCTTCGCGCACTCAAGACGCGCCACCTTCTCGGCTCCTATACCCACGAGCTTGAGAGCGAAGGCAAGAAGCGCCGGTCACGTCCACGTACCCAAGATGTATGGACTACGTGGCCGCTGCCCGACTTCCCCGCGCCAGAGTTTACGCTCCGCGATGAGGTCAGTGTCATCGCTGAACGTACAGTAAGGGAGGTCAGGAGGAGGGGATTCCTTGGAGACGATGGTCGCGTCAAGGTGAAGGGAGAAGTAGATGAGGACGAGCAGGATCAGCTGGAGCAGGACCTTGGTATGGACGAGAACGAGGCGGACAGGAACGAGCTTGACGATGCCGAAGCCTTTGAACTCGGAACGGGCGAGGTCGAACGCCTCGATGGCGCTAGCGCAGACAAAACCTACCACGAGGACGAGGACGATGAAGGAGCTCAGGAGGCAGAAACTAGAGATGTTCATCAAGGTGCCAAGGCGACGGGTGCAGACGATTCCTCTGAGAACTCGGACAACGATGACATAGAACCCGTTTCTACTCCTGCCCTCAACGGGCTTTCCACTGAAAGCGCACACACCATCCTCCGCCTGCTTGCGGAGCTCGCGACTCACCGCGCGCGAGCGGCGGGGAGGAGCTTCAACCGGATGTGGCCATTCGACTGGGAAGATGTGCTTCACGTCGCTGCTGCGCGGGGAATCGTTGAGCCTCAGTGAGTTTTCATCCTCTTCTTACAATATGCTAATCCTTGACGCCTTTTGCATTGTAAACAGCGTCATCGAAGCTGTGTACTCCCGGTTACAAGCCATATACGGCCCGCCTCATACTGGCCAGGAGGTGTCATATCTCACTGGTGAGCCCGCCTCCGGCGTATTCCTCAACATTTATCTGATATCGGACGTATCATGTAGACCTCCGCCCAGTACACAAAGCGCGTGCTACCGCCTCTGCGAAAGCGGCATCCCGCCAGGTCTTTACGCCTGCCTTCGAGAACTCTTTCCTTGATGTCCCTGATATAAGCACAGTACGACGAGGTGAGTCAGCGCACACACGCGTGCAATGGAAATTCGATTGTTTCTAACTCGTGTTCATGTACCAGAACGTCAAGAACCAATTCCGTACTATCCGTCAGCCGAGTTTATCTTGGACTCAGACCTATCCGACGAGTGAGGCCCAGAAAGAAGATACGAACATTGTCCACTCGCTGAGTGGACATCCGATACCGGTGCATAGCCCAACAAGCATTCTCTCATCCGACGTGTTTCCCTGAGAACATCTAGAGAGCAGTGAACGCTCCTTTCGCCTGGGACGCCATCTCGTGGACGAGGGTCCCTGCAATGTCCATGACATATAACGCCCCCGTAGGTCCTTCCATTCCACACACGGTGCCTACTTCCGTGCGTGTCGATCCACCGCTTGCACTTCGCCTCATTTCCTTCTGACCCGAGCTTGTATTTCGGCGCCTCCGACTAAGTACGTATACTATCGTGCTAGACCGTCGTCGCTTCCCTGTGTTTCTCAGCCTTTTCTGATGGTGCCGTTTACGCATAGTGCCGTGCGTAAACGGCTCTGTTCACCGACTTTATCGTTGAGTGCGTGCTGGTTTATATATGAAAATCCCATCTTAAACCATGATAAGCTTTGTTAGTTAATCCACTGTATGCCCGTTGTCCAATGCATACTTTAGTGTTCTAACATGTACAGATTTTGAATTGCTAACTGCGCGTGAGGACCCTCAAATCGTTGTCTTATCGCATGTTGGCTGAGTACGTCGACCAGTACTTCAGGCATCATAAATCAGGTGGGATTGCCCCGGATCAAATCAATCATACCTTTCCGAGCCACCGAGGCGTAATTTCGAAAGTTTTAGGGGGGAAACAACCAAGAAACTTGCGGGAAACATGGGCAAACCTGCATTCTGGGAAGGGCGTTCAATGTTTTGTATCATGTTTCCATATGTTCTCGGTACAAACGCCCGTTGAAATCGCGCCTAGCCCAAGGGCCAATAGGGGTCAACTGAGGTCAACTGTCAACGTTTCAAACCTGTCAATGCCCTTGACATGGACACCTTGACAGGTTCGGCTCCAATCAACACCACCTACAAGTATTTTGACAATCCGCTTTCTCGCGTCCGCGTTATGTCCATGCCCCCATGTCCCTTCGCGCCCTGTACGACGAAGGAGTTGCTTCGGTAAGCATTCTTAGGGTTTCTTCCGCCCTCGCACGCTGAAGAAATGACCATTCCAGTATGTCACTGGTAGGCTCTCAGCATAATGGCTCGTTGCTTTTGCTTATCTCGCGAACTCTGACGGTCTGAGTAGTGGGAATGGCGGCTATGGTGGTGTTTGATGCGCTAGTGTCTCTTGACCGGTGCGTTGCAATGTTTTGGTTCTTTCACGGAGTTTACTGAAGGAGAAACTTTGCTCGTGCATAATAGGGAGGTGAGTCTCTTTGAAATAACTGGCACATAGCTCGGGAGCTGACGTGTTCAAGGTTGAGTACATCTGGGTACGTGCCGCGGGTTGCTCACGGCCGACATAACGAACAATCTACGACCTGTAGAAAAGCCCCCTCTCGTCCGTCAAGGTCCTGTTCTTTGGGATGCGATATGGTACAATCTTGAATAATATGGCGTCTCTCTCCCGTAAGTCTATCGATCTTTGTGTACGTTCCCATTTTCACCCTTTCGACCATCTAGAGGTGTTCGTTCATATATCGTCCACGAAGGTGTGTGTCACCGCCATCGCGTAGGAGGCTCGATATTGAGTTCATGCAGTCATACTTCATTAGCACGAGTGTCCTGACGTGGACATACTTCGTCGAGGGCATTTGTACTTCTTGTGAGTATCCTTCTTCTTCTTGTACGAGAGCTGGAGACTCGCTGATGACGTGTGGTGGTCAGTAATCATGGCTATCCAAACCTGCGCTTTATACAACACGAGCTCGACAACCGTCAAAGTAGTTCAGGGTGCCGCATTGGTACGTGTCTCCTTGTTAGCATATGGCGGTCTAAGATCAATCGTTACCTGACCTGCCATTGGTCAGATCAACATCTGTATTATTGTCGCTCAGCAGATCGCGTCCCAGATTGCTATGTATGGTGAGTTTTTTTGAACGCACTACCCGTTTACATAGTACTTAGTCGGAAGAAAGCGACTATAATGAACGGCGGATACGTGACAACCGAGCTATTAAAGATTACCGTGCTTGGATTCGCAAACCTCCTTTGGTATGAGCTGGTGATATTCGTCATGACGGCTGCGAAGTGCATTGCGCTCAGTACGTGATCTGTGATTTTTCGTATTCGCAGGTCACCTTACTGATTGTTAACTGAAGCGCGAGATACACGTACACGACTCGTCTGGGTCATACTGCGTGCCGCGATCGCTTACTACATCCTCTTGACAACGTAAGCATAATCCTTTCTCATAACGATGGCGGACCATTCTCACCGTTGGCTGACACTAGGCTGACCGTGTTGAACCTGGCCGCCTTCTATACATTTCTTCGAGCGCGGCCGCAGCTCACGGGCATATTCCCAGCCATGCTACGCAGCTTCCAGGCAGTATTCTGTTCGCGGATATTGATCAACCTACGTCAGACCGCGAGCGAGATGGGAGACCCGTCGTTGCTGATCCAGAACTTTTCCATGTATGAACCGCCAAACCAGGACATTAGCCTTGTGTTTCGTCGGGTCGGGTTGGAGAATGACGGTGACTCCGACCATGAGTTTGGTGGACTTGATTTTCCTCGAACGTAGCTGTAATACCTCCTTACGTTACGGATCAAGCGGGATGTATAACGAGTACTTGTCACTCCATCGAACCGCGAGAGCATCTTATCTGGATAATGTTGCCCTCCTAGTCGGACCTGTATTAGAGCAAAAACTAAACGAACACCTCCTCTGTGTTCAACACTAATACACGGTATCTCTGGTCATGGGTCACTGTTGCAGGGAATTGATATTGAGCCTTCAATAAGTTCGACTCGAGATGCAGCAACGGATGTGGTCGAAACCAACATGCCATCGTAAATCACTCCCGCCATTGTGTTTCTACACCAGAACCAAACCCTAAAATGTCTATTTTCCCAAATCAAACATGCACAAAATGCGGTGCTACTCCACAGTCAACGTAGTATTCAAGTACTTAGTATCGCTCGTCCCGACCCAGATCGAGAAATTGCCCGGCTCGACCGCCCACGTCCGATCCACAGTCCATACCGCAAGCTGCTTGCTCCGGACGGGGATTGTCACCGTCTGTGAGGTGCCAGAGCTGCATTACATTATGAACTTAGTTATCAGACTAACTTGAGGATCAAGCGACACGTACCTGATATTAACTTTCTCGAACCCGATGAGCTCCATGGCGGGTGTGACGACCGAGCTGAAGAGGTCGGTCATGTATACCTGTACGACCTCAGCGCCATCGCGCGAGCCAGCGTTGTGTACGGTGACAGTGACATTGAAATCATCGGTTGTGCCAATCGTGTTACTCGACAATTCGAGGTTCGTACTAAGGATCCGCCCTTCAATATTCAGCCCATCTCAACTAGAATCAAAGAACGTACTAGTTGAATGTCGTATAGCTCAGCCCATGGCCAAAGCTCCATGTCGGAACGGGAGTGTCGAGCACGTACTATAGACCCAATGTCATCTAAGGTATTCCTTGTTAGAAGAATGAACGACGCACCTGGCTGCCAAACACCATCGTGAGGTTCTCGGTGATCATGCCCGGGTTGTTGAGAGGCCGACCGCCCTTGTAATAGTTGTAGAATGCAGGAGCAGTGCCTACGTTGCGCGGGAACGACACCGGTAGTCTGCCTATAGGACAGTTTAGATGTCTAGAAGAGAAAGGTGGAACTAAAGAAGGAATAATGAACATACCGGACGGGTTAGCGGCACCAAAGATGACCTCGGCGATGGCCAGACCGCCAAGCTCACCGGGGTAGAATTGCTGGATCACCGCGTCCACGTCTAAAATACGCGATGATTAGCCTGAAGCACGTCAAACAGGAGCGAAGACGATACGCACTCTCCTGTATCCAAGGCTCCGTGACCGGCTTCCCACTCACAAATACGACAACTGTCGGCGTGCCCGTAGCTTGGATCCTCTGCACCAGTTCCATCTGAGCGCCAACGAGCGCCAAATCCGATTCGTCTCTCCCTTCACCAGTCGTGGCGTTCGTTCCCGGCGTCCAGAGCAGCGTCTGGTCGAGACTCCACGTACCAACCATCACGACCGCAACGTCGGAGTTCTGAGCAGCGGAGACGGCGTAGGAGAACTCGTCCTCAGAGTAAGACCAGAGTTTGCATCCTTCGGCGAAGTTGAGAGTGACGGAAGAGTTGATCGAGGCGAGGTAGGTTTGGAAGCCAGTGAGCGGGGAGATCCCGTTGTTGGAGGCGTTGTAGAAGACATAGTCGCCGAGCTGAGAGGTGTGATGGAATGAGAATGTGAAGAGATATAAGAAAGATGTTGGGCTAGGGACTTACAGACACGCGGTCGGACTGAGGTCCGATGAGCGCGACGGAGGAGATGTTCGACCCAAGAGGAAGCAAGTCATTTCTATTCTCGAGCAAGATGATCGCTTCGCGTTCCATCTGGTGTAACAGGTCCCTTGTAGCCTGCGTCCTCAGGGTCTCAGCGTAGTCGGGGTATGGGTATGGATCTATTCCTGACGTCAATGGAAGGAAGGCAGTGATGGGACAAGAGAACTCACTCTCGAACAAGCCCAAGGAGAACTTCGTCCGCAACACCGTCTTCACGGCCTCGTCGACGTAAGAAATATTGACCAGCCCAGCCGAGATTTGATCTATGCGCATGTCAGGCGGACGTCCCGATATATGAAGTCGAGGTTCAGTACGCACCCGGCAGAGTGAGATATGTGTAGGTTCCGCCACCCATTTCCATACTGAGCCCATTCTCAACTACCAGCTTGGCGGCGCACTCGCGCGTCGGGCATACTCCGTGCGTCGTTATGAGCAGGTCGACGGAGCCAGCATCGGTTGTAACGTAGCCTGTCCAGTTCAACTCGTTGCGCAGCTACATCATCTCAGTAAGGACATATCTCTGAAAGAAGAACACTACGTACGACGTCGGTGAGTAGGACTGCATGATGGTAAATAGTAAGAGGTCACGAGTACTGTCTAGTTGACTTAAAGTTCAACGCACACTTGTTCGCCACGAGCGGGACCCCATCGTAACTCGCGTACGCGCTCATGATCGAAAGTGCACCGCCATCAACGCAGGCATACTCGAAAGGCTTGAGGTAGTAGGTCCGCAGATCACGCTCACCGCCATGCACGGGCGCGATGTTCCTGTCCATCGTCAAACCTCGTCAGCATCGCCTAAGAGACTGAGTAAATGCATAATCAAAGACGCACAGACCACCTTGAGGACTCCCGTAGGCCGCGTAGTGCTTACACGTCGCAGCAACGCGTGCGGTTGCAGTGTCACTGACGTTCCGGCGGCGGCCTGTCTGGATACCTTCGACGTATGCCCGTCCCATTTGACTCGTCCTGACCCAAAAGAAAAACGATGTCAGCCCTCATTCATATGCATGACGCTAGCAATAAACGCACAAGAACGGATCTTCTCCATAGTTCTCCTCCACACGTCCCCACCTCAGCTCGCGCGACAAATCCAGAACAGGCGCAAAGAGCTGCGAGTACCCGAGCCCCTCAGCCTCTGTCGCGATTGTCGTAGCCGCTTCTTGCAGGAGGGGTGCATTGAACGAGGCAGCGAGACCGATGGGTGAAGGCCAGGTTGTACCGTTGTCTGTGAAGCCGTGAAGACCTGGGTGTATGCGCAGGCATCAACATAAAGCAACACGTAGGGACACACAACGGGGTTGGAGAGCAGACACTAACTCGGCGTACGTACCTTCAGATTGGACTATCCCAGGGATACCGAGCGTGGTGTTCTCCATGAGGTAGCGTTGTCCAACTTCGATGGCATACACAATCTTGTCCCAAGGAGCGAGGTAGCCCGCCCAGATTGCGCCAGCCTTAGTAGTCAGCATTTCTTCCTAGGTTTACATGTAAGCCTATTCGAACACAGTGGCGAATCGAATGGTTTCTCTCACAAGGCCGGTCGCGTTATACGTGAGGGTATCATCGAGAGGGTCTGACATATTCATCCACCCATCAATGTCGCCCTGCATGCTATGCCGACGTCACCAGCAAATCGTGCGGAAACACAAAACAGACGAACAGCTGTGCGACCTTCTCCTCCACCGTCATACGCGGAAGCAAGTCGTTGATGCGATCCTCGATAGACGCGTTTGCATTCTTGTACGTAGGGGTTGATCCATCATTGTTGGTCGCGCGTGCGTAAAGTGGGAAGTGGAGCTCGTCGCGCACGCTGAGGTCACCGAACACGTTGGCACCGGCGGAGACCGTGGCGGCAAGGATGAAAGCTCCCAAGAGAGTAACACGTCGTGTAGCTCCCATCTTCTTGCAGGGCTTCGCGATGGGGAGTGAACTCGGGGGACGAGCAAAGAGACTCACGAGAAGAACGCATACACCGTTTGCCCGCCTATTATATTGCGTGAACGTTCCTCCGAATATACGACAGTTATTTTCATCGTGGAAGCTTCACCGTACCAGGCATCGTCCCAGGGTGATGAGCAGCGTGATCTGCAGAGACCATCTGACCAGTAAATCTTCTGGAACGGGAGTCAATGGTGAAATGCAACAGGCACTGACGGGCGTCGGCGGGCCGGTTCAAACGATACAACCGATAAATCTCCAGACTTTTATGCGGACATCGGTGTGCGGGCTCGCAGTAACATTTCCGCTGTGAAACTGGCTATAACTAGACCAAGAATAAGCAGAGGGATAACAGGGAGTCGTGAGCTTGCGAAGCTGTACATGCAGTGCTCGGGAGAGAGGGAGCTCGAAGGCCGAGGCGCCGAACGCAATTTACTGTTGGCAAACAATATATTCCCACGGCTTTCCAACTCCCTCAAATTGACTGCCACGGCAACTATCCGGGCTACGGGGCACTCGGGTTCAAAACATTCACAGTACAACGTTAATTCTCTTCTGAAGAAGCCACTATCCGAGGCTAAATAGACAAGCTTGTAGGTTAATGAGATTGAGCCACCAAGGGAAATGACCAGCCTGAGTACTACTGTACCTACACGACCGTAGGTTCAAGGGATTTGTACGTGACATGGAATCAAAATAAGTTCCGGCGAGACCAAAGTTCAAATGTCCGGCGAACGCGTGACTTTGAACCAGGGTTCCAGGCTCAGGTTGGTGACATCATCGAGATATCACTGCCGAAGACAATGAAGGTCAAGAGGACTCTGTTTTATTAAAAGGAGAAACGTTGAAGGAAACACGGATCACCTTTTACAACGTCTGTATTCTTCGTTCATTGGGCTTGTATATAGGCGTCTCAAGCCCTAGCCATCGGGATGACTGAATCATTGAAGCCTTACACAAGTGGGAAGCTCGGCATCCCATCTCAGGTCAACTGTGGGCGCGGTAAGGGTCTCGAAACTCTTGAAAATTCACAGTACAATAAATGCAGAAAACACTCACTGCAGCGAATGGGTTTACTACATCAGAATATAAGAGTCTCAATATTATTATTTTTCGTCACGCGGTGAGGTTCATTGTCTTATGTGATGGGTGACGAACCAGGTCTCAAGTTCATTTTACGGGTCAAGCGTGAGGCCTGACGAACCTACGGTCGTGTAAGTACAGTACAAGAGGGGTGGTGCTTCGAATAGCTAGTGCCATTAATTAGTAGAACTTCAAGATACAGGACACTCAGACGGACACCAATCTCACGTAACCCTTTCCACAACCCACAAACGGGCTTCATTTCGGGGGATGTTCTTGGGCTATAAGACCGGCGCAGTCCATATATACATACACTGCTTTGGTGGGCATCGAATCTTGAGTCCAAACGATGGAAAAGACCAACTAGTGGAGTCTGGGGCCTGAGTGCCACCCAGGACGCACTGGGTTCAACGCCAAGTATACGTATGCCGTTGGCCAGATTGATCAAGGTGGGGCCATAATAAGGTCCCTTATGTGATTGACCCTTGCGTACGCACAGCAGGACACTAGCAGATCACAGCATGTATCGCTGAGATGATCATACATCATAGCAACAGCAGATTCGATGAACGCCACTTGATACTGTTCGTGCCTTTCCTGTATTATATAGACAGGAAGAAAGTCTTCATCCTGACCATCATAATTATCCTGTCGGGGATGAACGTTTCACATGTGGAGTGCTCGGAGAAATATATAACGGGCACAATCTTCAAGCTCACACCCTCGTCCACTTATACTACCCCTCGGCGCTCTGAGTAAGTTCATTGTACGTTCATAGTAAATTGGGTCTAAGCCCTTGATGCTAATGCCGATACTATCTGCTTCAGGCCCTCTGTGCGCTTCGTCAGTGCTTAAAGTCTATCATGTGCGCAAGTTGATTGCTTGCAGGGACGCCGACTGCAACTGATTTGGTACCCTGTCAATGGCTTTCATACTTCAGCTTCATCACAGGCTCGACAGAGATTATGAGTCCCTAGAAATGAATTCCGAGAAGGAAAACACCATTCATCTCCCTGGACCACGGGATTCCCGCTTTGCAGATTCTGAGAGACGGACTCGCCGGCTATGCATGTTATCTCTTGCGGCTGTCCTGTTGGTGGGTCTGGCTTGCATCATGGCAAGCTGCATCATTTATGCGGTCCACATGCATGATCCCTTGATGAACGGTCTCACGGTATATTTTGTATCATACTATGACCCATTACCGGAGGTGGTCACCTTGCTCTTTGCCGCGCTTGTCACCGTTTGCACAGAATGTGTTGGCTTCGTTCACGGCATAGCACTCCGCTCGGCACTGATCTCCGAGAATCGTCATCACTTCAACACAAATGCTCGCCTTTTCACTGCCACTAGAAAACAAAGATGGGCTAGCCCCAACGGAGCACTGTCAAATACAGTGATGGCCGTCCTCCTTATTTTGTCTTCCGTGACTGCTACTTGCATCCTCACTGCATTGAACTATCCTCACCACATTTTCGCTGTTAATATGGTCCCCTTGACTACTCTTGGAGTCTCCCTCATTTTGCAAGTTTTGGTCACCATGCTTGCGCTTCGTATGACACCCATTTACACGTGGAACAACAATGCCTTTCAAACCCTTTCAATCTTGTTGCACCGCCGCATGATCCATCGGGTCATTGGGCGATGTATGTGCAGTGCCTCTGATCCTCAAGATCATACTCTTTGTCCGCAGAGCCCTTCACTCTCGTTACCATCGGCATGGCAGGCTCGCAGGGACGTGCGAAAGGTCATAATTCTGATGTGGCTTCTCACTGGCGCAATCGCCCTTTGCGGAGTAGCTTCCTTTTCGGCGGCAAAGCTCGCTAGCCCCAGCAGATCTCATTACGTTGTTTGGTTGTTTGGATCAGGCATTGAAGACGCATTTACGAGTTTAGAATTCTACTCGCCTTCTACACCTGTATTGTGGATATTCACACTCGGGCTCCTGTTTATCCTCCAAGGCCCACTCGCCATTACTCTTCACCAAGCTGGGGTTGTTACGAACGTGCTACATGATGAACATGTATGGAGACGAGCAGCAACCAAGACAGGTTCTACTCTGGAAATGAGTGTTTTGAACACCAGTACAAGCCCGTATAATCTACTCTTGCTCGTATCAAAACCTTTTCTTCGTGCGTAAAGATTACGTTTTGGGCTATACTATTCTAACAATATCATAACATAGATTGGATGATGAGCTTGGCAAATTTTGTGGATATAACACCTACAAATTTCTCATCGCTACTCAAGGAGACGGGATTATATTTCCCGCAAGGTATTCAAGTCGTGTTTTGGGCTTCCCGTGTATGTGAGACCCCGATTGTTCTGGATTCCATGGTTGATGATCATTCTGTTTTCAGTACTGGAATTTAAGCATTGCCCTTGCGGTTCTCACCTCCGTCTTAACCATTCTTGCTCTGCGTCGTCCACGGGGACTGCAGCCATCAGCATACGGGCACTTTCAGACACTCGCCAACCTCATCGACGAGTGGCCCGAGGAAGCCGGAGGAAATGAGCGCATTTACTGGGGCCACAAGGGTGAGTACGAGGGTCCAGAAGGTCCTGACGACGAGTGGGAGATCGGGGAGAAGTGGTACCACGCTGGGACGAGCGGCAAGCCCCTAGAGTCGATCAAGATGAACGCAATTTACGCGTGAGTTCTCAGATGTTCCTTCATCGTTAGTCAAGCATTGATGTTCAACCAGGTGAGTACATGCGCGCGAGTGTGCCTCACGGGAACCTAGTCCAGTCGATACCCGGGCGTGACGCGGAGATAGGATCAACGCATCAAGCATAACCCCGTCGTTTGGTGACGTCTTGGCGCCTTGCGCCGATGGAAACTTTTATCTAAGAAGATGGTCTGAATGGGGGTGAGAGGAATGAACGGACAGATAGAGAAGAGTGAAGTTTATTGCATCGAGCAATTATCGCAGCTGGTATACAGGCGGAACGTGACATGGCAGGGACAACAACAGAGGTCTATAAGCAAACAGACAAGCCAAAGACAGTAGGAAATATGCAGACCGGACTTTCGAAACCGTACAGGAGGTCAAACGTAACCCTTTCGAGACGAGACGAGCGCAATTCGTGGGCATGTACTAGAGAAAGTTGTACTCACTCACCTGGTCGAGCACATGTGAAGAGGAGAGCCCCTCGGCCTGCTCGGAGCCATCCACAGACATATCTCCTGTCTAAAGCAGAGAAAGTGACGCATAAAAAAGATGAACGGAAACCAGAGTCAAGCCAACTCACCTGATCTCGACTACTCGACGGATGATGCTTCGTCTCCCCACCGCCTCCCCCGGCTTGCGCGATATGGCTCGACGAGGGGCCCGTTCCGGACTGCGAAGTCCCCGGGTGCATGACAGCGAGGCTTTCCTCGCGGGGGACAATGTCGATGAGGAAGTCAAACTGGTCGGACTTGGCAAGTGCCTTGGCGATGTCGGAGCGGGAGAGGGTGCGGCGCTTGTTGGAGTCGGCGATGATGAATGCGCGAGCGGTGATTTCTGAGATGAAGACTGTACATTCAAATCAGACCATGCTATGGGAAATGAGTTAAATGGAGAGGGGAGGTCAACGAACTTTCACAAGCTTTGCAGAAGAGGATGGGCGCTTAGGATAGACGCGTGGGTTGTCAAGTGGCACCTCGGGGAAGGGCAAAGCAGGGCATACCATCTGCTGCTATCATCTATCACATAGCATAAGGATGATTGTAAGCGAGTACGAAAGTGGCACATACTTTGACATCCGGGTCGCTCTTCATAACCTTCTTTATCCGTGCAAGGGGCAAAGGCGGGTGACGATAGTCAGGGGTCTCCTGCTCTGCGGCATCGATCTGGCGCTGCCAGAATGAGCGAAGGAAGTCGCTTAGAGGCTCGCCAGGCTGGACAAAGGGTCTCGGTGGCGGGGGAGACATGGTTGATATGCACGACAGACAGGAGAAGGGGAGAGACGCGTGAGATTGGTTGTGGGTTCAAGTTGTAACCCTAACGGTAGCCCGGCGCGTCGCTCCGATAAACTGCCGAATCTGCCCCTAACCCGAGATTAGGAGCGAGATGGCCGTGGGAGAGTCGACGTGGTAAATCGAACAATGGCCAGCATAACACGCATTCACTCTACTCTCCTACCTTTCTTCACATCTTCTCCTCTCATCCTGGCCTCTTTCTCGTGCACTCCACGATGAGGTTCCTCTCCCTCTCCTCGATGCTGCTGTTTGCAGCATCAGCATTCGCTGACAACACCGACCCAGGCATGGGTGGTTTGGTGCCTCCAGGCTTGCAGCCAATTATCACCCGCGCGGACGCCTTCCTGCAGGCTGGCCTCTGGTCTGACGCAGCCAAGACCTATTCAGAGGCCATCGACCTCTCTCCCACAGACTACCTCCTCTTCTATAAGCGTGCCACGGCCTACTTCTCTGCCAACAGGCACACCCTCGCTCGCGACGACTTCAACAAGGTCCTCGAGCTCACTTCCCCCAACGAGTTCGACAAGGCTCTCCTCATGCTCGCCAAGATACACTCCAAGAGCGCCGAGTGGGATGGTGCTCGGGAGATGCTGGTGAAGTACAAGGCAAAAGTGCCTGAGGACCCGGACGTACCGGAAATGGAGAACGACATGCAGGAAGCGGAGGCGGCTGCCACGAAGGCAAGGAACGCACGGCGCGCGCAGCTCTGGACGGCCTGTTCGGAGTCTGCCACGCAGGCTCTTCGGGTAGCTGGCCTCTCGACCGAACTTCGCGAGGTCCGAGCCGAGTGCAATCTCGCGGCCGGCGAGGTGCAAACTGCCGTCATGGACCTTGGGTGCGTTCTTTTCGGTTCCCTATGATAACTGAAGGTTGACCAACTGTTTGTCTATCCACAGCCGAATAGGACAGCTCACCACTCAGACAACCGACTCCCTCATGCGTATCTTCCGCCTCTCTTACTTCCTCTTGCCACCATCCCCAGCAACGGCCAAGACAAACCACATGACCCCTCTCAAATCCTGCCTGCACCTCGACCCCGACTCGTCCACGTGCCTCCCGGCTCATCGCCTCGTCAAGTCGCTCGACAAGGCTTTCACGAAACTCACAGGGCTCGTAGAGGCTAACGACTGGCGCGGCGTCATCACGCACATTGCAGGCAAGAGCCGCGAGTTCCCCGGTGACGGCCTCTTCTCTACCTTCGACGACGCGCTCGCGAAGCACGCTACCCCGGATAAACTCGCGAGCACCAGCACCGCGCCGGTTCCTGATCCGAAGATGAGCTCGCCCCGGCGTGCGCTCATCCTGGGTGCGGCATGCCGCGCGTTCGTGAAGGTCAACACGCCCAAGAAGGGCGAGGCATGGTGCGATGCGCTCCTCGCTATGGCCGCGGAGACCGTCACGGCGGTGAACGAGGCTCCGGGCGGCTCGAACATCGAGGTAGACGCGTGGGTCGGCAAGGGTGAGGCGCTGCTCCTCAAAGAAGAGTGGGAGGAGGCCGTGCGTGCGTTCGAGCGTGCGTTCGAGGCGAGCGGGCGCGCGGACCGCGAGGTGCTCGGTCGGCTGCAGAAGGCGCAGCGGTTGTTGAAGCAAAGCAAGCAGAAGGATTACTATAAAGTCCTGGATGTCCCGCGCGACGCGGACGCGAGAACGATCAAGAAGGCGTTCCGTAAGGCGGCGATGAAGGCACACCCCGACAAGGGCGGTTCTGAGGCGAAGATGGCGACGGTCAACGAGGCGTACGAGGTGCTCTCGAAACCTGGTGCGTATTTCTTCCCTTTCCCTCATTCTCGATTCTGGATCCTTGCTAATCCACCTCGTCTTTTGCAGAGCTCAGACAACGCTTCGACAACGGCGACGACCCGAACGACCCCTCCTCAGGCGGTGGGCACCCCTTCACCGGTTATGCCAACCCCTTCGGCAGCGGCGGCGGTGGCGGCGGCGGCCACCCATTCGCGCAGTTCTTCCAGCAGGGTGGCGGAGGGTTCCAATCCGGCGGCTCATTCTCGTTCGGCCGGGGCGGACACGGACGCGGACACTAGACCACGTTTTAGCTCTATTCGCACTCTTAGACCTACGTTCGGTCGCGGAACATACCTAACCCGAGTGGCCCTTTTTCATCCCTGCCCATGGCTGGAGTCCGGTATTTTGTTATTAATAGTGTGGCACTATCTGTATACATGGCTAGCGTCGCTTGCACCCGCACATCCATATATTTTGTATCTACTACTCTTTGCATGTTACACGCATGCGAGCATGCAATGATTTGAGGGAACCGATTATGCTGTAAATGGTTTGATTGCACACGTCGTTCGCTTCACAATTCACGCTCGTACGAGGGCTGCTGAGACGTCGGACTGCACCAATCATGAAACCTTGTGCCAATGAATTTAGCGGAAAGCGGTGAGAAGGAATAACCAAGATTGAAAATGTGCTAGTGCGGGTGTTACGTTTGTCCATTAGCCGGGAAGGAGTTCTTGCCCAGTTCCGGAACCAGACGTGGGACGGTAATGTAGGCGCTGGATTCGAGGACTCGACTTGACAAACACCTGTAGAAATCCGACGTGCATATCTATCTAAGACACCGAAGATAGCAAGTGATGATTCCGTGGTAGACCCATTGTCAAGACAGCAATAAGCAATGTTGCAGCAAAGTTAGGTTTGGTTCTAGTACCTGCCAGTGAGAGTACGTGCAGGTTTCCGGACCTATCAGAATCAAGTCCGATTTCGAGCTTCAGATGGCTAAAGCATTTAGTCACGTTAACGTACAGTTCACTCTGCTAAGCCGAACAGCAGCCCTGCCGCGAACGTATGGACTTTGGTCCGGGGAAGAAACGGCAATCTCACGGGGATTCGCTACCGAACAACAAGCGAGTGCTGATATCGAGAATAGTGTAACGTTCCTGGACTGATTCATTTACGTTCCTGTTTAAAACACCACCTGTCAGTGGCGTCTTACGCTTCGCGGGAAGTCAGCAGGCTTGTCAATTTGTCAGAGGAATATAAATATAGCTGCGACGAAACAAAACGGAAGAGAACGTGCTGCCGAAGGCGTTGTGCCAGAGGATAAGAAAAGACCGGCGCTACTGAGCGTCAACCTTGCCATAGACGCCCGGGGACCTTCTCGGGCTGTCGGACCGTTAACTTATCAGAGGTTTTGAAGAAGGATAAAGAGGCATGTCGGCGAGCAAGAACAAGAGAATCTTGTACGAAACACAGCATTCATCCAAAAAAACCTCGTCCTCCAATCCAGTATGATGTAAATCAGACACAAGTGCAGCACAGCACTGTTGTACCTGACGGTGTTCGAGAATTTGAGGAGGAAAATCAAGAGCGTCAATGATACTCGGCACTTTGCCGCTTGCCTCAATTGCGCCACGCTATCGTGTGCTCACAGAGCGTAGTTCAGTTACCCTTCAAAGCAATAATGTTAAGTTGAGCGCCCTTGATCCAATGAGATCGGACTCGTGGACGAAGTCCTTGAAGACACGAGGCTTCTAGCATAAACGGATTAGAAGCCAGTCAATTGAGCAGAGTTTGCCTCTACCCAGTCCTGGAAAGACGCTGAGACCGAGTACGGTAGATCTGCTCTTTCAGGACCCTAGAAAGCGGGGAGCAATAATAAGGAACAGGGAACACGAGGTACACGGAAATAGACGGACACCGAACCTTTTCGCTTTGTGAGCTATGCCTGGGCCATCCTCTTATCTGTTGCTCGTAATTTCGTGTCTGGCAATATTAACAACCGCAAGCTAGCGTTCCATGCATGAGAAAGGAAGACATGTTTGAGCACCCAGAGTAATGGCACTGCGCCCTACGCCACTCGCACCGACACCTTGCGCTGCTGCTAACTATACCTTGAGATCAACCTGCCTTGATGAAGAGTGAGAACTGACAATTAGTATAAGGAAATGGGTTACCCAATGATACAACCATCATGCGCAGCCTGAGGATGCCGCCGGTAAACTGGGCAATCGACTATCCTCGGTTCATGAAACAACACGGTGATTGATACACTTCACCTTACTATTCTCGGTGTATGTGCAGTACCGAAGGTGATGGGGTGGTCGAGAACTGGTCTATTAGCCAACTGCACAGGCTGGGCACAAGGAACATGGTAACGCTGTCGCCATCTCGAGCAGCGCGTCCTGGCAGTTTCCGGTTGGAACCATCGCTCGCTCTCGGGAATCACCGTGCTATTCGCCGGCAGCGCTGTATCGCATATCTTTGCATGTTGATACATCATGGTTGTGGGGAAGACACGTTATTTGGGTTAGCTGTACTTACGCAATGTAACCGTAGTTTCTCGACGCACGATGATCAATGTAATTGACCACGGCGTCCGGGGCGAGCATGCTGCACACTCACAGGGGTCAGCATACCCTCAACCATTGGAGGACATAATTGAATCCACGAGCATCGGGGCTCCTCGACCATGTGCTCTGCACTTTTGCTGTTACCATGTAAATGAATCCTTGTCTAACGCGCACTTACAGTTTATGTTAGCTGGACGAAAGATATCAAGTATGCACTGATGGTCATGTTCCGGGAGCCGTCTGCACAAGCTTGCTGTGGACAGGCTGTAGAGAACTTGTACTGGATATAGCTTGTGAACCCGTGGGCCAGGAATAGCTTCCGTCCGGCGCCTCGAAAGTAAAAGGCGTGGCTTGTGAACTTGGACAATCAAGGGCATCACCTTAGCTCAAGCGCCGACGATAGTGATATCGACTCCGCCAGGATCACATGTCTGGACAGCCTGAGTAAACTTCAGACAGCCATCGTCTATAGAAAGCAAAACAAATGTTTTTCCGTACCTTTGTATAACGAATGTGGTTAGCCTTCGTCACGCAATTCACATGCGTTAGACGCAAAAGGACAAGATACCAATCTAAAGAGGAAAGGTGAACGAGCCCCAGAGCCCAGCACTATCGCTAACTCTCCATAAATAGCGGCGCCGCCCACCCTGATCGTTGACTGACTGACTGATCGTTTATACGCCTGTGCGCGCAATCTAAATCAAAGGATCATTACGTTCTCAACATGAGCACTGGGCCGATGTATGATTGTCAGGGCGACGAGCCGAGCTCTTGGGGGTGGCGTCTATCAAGTTTTGGACGCCTGCGAAGTTGATTGAGATTGTCATGTTTGAGAAGCGACGAAATAAGTAGAGTCATATGTTCGTGCTCACCTGTATCATGCGGACATTGACGATAGGCGCCAACGGTTACGAAGCCGAAGGAACTATGTAAATGCGCAGCGTCTGGTTTGGACGTTATTCTAGAATGTAGGGTCCAAAGCTAACGCACCCATATGGACCTACCAAATGATTAGCTTCAGGCTTGCATAACTGAGAGTCCTCTCAATCACTCCGCTGACCGCCTGGTGTCGGAACGTGTGCGGATCCAAAACGTAGCGAAGACTCGTAGAATGGGGAAGCACCCTGGCAGTTTGTGGAAGAAGAGTACACGCACCCGGTGCTTCTGACGCCTGCATAATTGAAGCTGACGTAGTGGCGCCCGTCATACCGGGCTTATCAGCGTTATAGTTGTGCACGGACGAAAGTTCCGAAGAGAAGCGCTTCGCAGAAACTTCGCGGGCTGGAACGAAACCTTGTGAGCCGCAAGCAAAGCAACATGGAGTTACCTAATGACTTGGATATCGTTCAGCACAGTGTTGAGTTGCGGTTGCGATTTTTCTTCGCTTCCGCACAGCAGCCACAGCACCGCCGCTTCGGGCCCGGTCACAGGTTCTCCGATATGATACGAGTCAGAGGCCCATCACCAAATTTCGTGCTGGCTCACAGCAGTTTTGGATTTGGATCACCATCGATGCTCGTAAGACGCTCCAGCAGCTTGAAAACACAATAGCTGGGAACGCGCGAAGACGAGAGTCGGGGACTGCATATCGGCGAGACGAAGCCCCGGTCGCTTGTGTGCTCGCAAGGAAATACGTCCGCGCGAAGATGCTCTAAGAGGAAAGATTGCCCCCGAGAATCTAAATTTTGAGGTCCAAAAAAAGCACGAAAAAGAAATAAGTCCGCATTTTCAGCGTGAGATCGATTGGAGGCGCTCAGCGCAAGATGCGCAAAGAAAAGTTTGTACCTGGCCGACTTTATGCCAAAGTCAGGGCTGCTGCTCTGCACAGGTGACAGGGATGCGCGCCCGCGTACCTGTTCTTAGTGCTTGTTAGAGATTTTCTTCTTCGTGAATCTTCACGTTACGAAGCAGGAACAGACCCGAAACACCCGGTATGCTGAGCCTGAGTCTCGTCATTATCGGGAAGAAGCGTACACGTGCAGTCAAACTTGGAGAATTGGAGTTATCGCACCTGCCTCAAGGCAGGGAGCCTAGCGCGTCCCATGACACAAATGCGTGCTGTGCGGGACAATCATTCTGGCGTCAGCGTGGCTCAGCCACGCCCTCTGAATACATCTGCATCATTATCAAGGACGCATGTCCCTGTACAATCGATTGTTTCGAATGCAGAGCAATGCTTGCCATACACAGCCCCTGGCCGCCTGAAACCGACGCATGAGATCGCTCGGAGGCGCACGATGCGCCCGTGATCAAACACGAAGGCGGGCTGAGTGCATCGCCGAGGTGAGGTTGCTAGGGACCATGCCGATCAATGTCAAATAGCTGACTATTTCCGGTGGTAATGATCTGAAATGAGATCTTGGAAGGAGGAGCCGAGTGAGTCCGGGAGTGTGTGCGTCTGCAGGTTGACGGCATCTCGACACCGTCATGCGCCCTCAGATGCTCTATATAAGTGCATGGTTTGAGGACGACTCACTTCGTTTCGAACGTTCCATCCTAAGAACGCTTTGTACTATCCTTCCTCCGGCGAATCATTCGCTTCCCCCCTGATCTGATACCTGATTCAGAACAGACGCTCGACATCGCTCGTACCTGCCCCCGCCCAACCCAGGTCCATTCCAAGACTCGCCCGCTCCGATAGGATACCGGTCCACTTGTATGCACACACTAGCACCGCATATAAGAGCAACTCCATCTCACTGGATTGCTGCCATCCCTACAGCAACTTCTCCCCGCATCCGAACCCGCGCCCTAGTCACCTCGAGTCAGACCCTGCCTTCCTCGAATTCCTTATCTACCCCTCGTCCACGAGCACTCCCCAGCTTATCATCACATCGAGTCACCAACAGCATGTCCACTCTCACAGCTACCACCCTCGTATCTCGTCACTCCAAGACGCCCTCGTCTGCGTCCACCACACAGACGCTCATCAATGACGACACCCCATCAACCTCTCGGACTGCAACGCCCAACGAGCACCAGCACGATCAGGGCGTCAAGTGCCCCGTCACCGGGCAGGCGCACGGCTTCTGCCCCGCGCAGAAGACTGACTCGCGCTCGCCATGCCCAGCACTGAATGCACTCGCCAACCATGGCTACCTACCACGCAATGGACAGCACATCCATGTTGGCCAGCTTATCAAGGCGCTTCGCGAGGGGTATAACCTGACCCTGCCGCTCGCAAGTTTCCTCGCCGTCGCTGCATGCATGCTTCTTGGCCAGTTCCGTTCCATTTCCCTCTACGACCTCTCTCGGCATAACCTCATCGAGCATGATGCTTCGGTCGTCCATGCCGATGCTACGCCGGGAAGTGAATACGCACCCACGCAAGTCATGCGCTCCCTCGTCACGCGCCTCATCCGCACAATCGGCCACGAACGCACGGACCGCATGACGCTCGACGACATTGCGAACATCCGTGTCAACCGTGAAGCGGAGACACACGTGCTTGACAAAATGCATGCCGAGATCGCGCGCGGTGAGCTGACGATCGCGTTGGGCGTTCTCGGCGGCAAGAGCGCATACGAGGACGGTGCGGACATCGGCGCGTTCCGCGAGTGGCTCGTCGAAGAGCGCTTCCCCGAGGGCTGGCGGCCCGACCACAAGCAGGGCCTCTGGGGAACGTACCGTGCCACGCGCAGGGTCGATAACAAGATGCAGGAGCTCCGTGCGGCGCTGGCGGAGAAGAAGAAGAGTGTGTCGCGGGAGGGGTCGATGTGCGAGTCCAAGGACTCACCAGCTGTGGCGAAGCTGTGAGCACGTTGCCACCAGTCGCAAAAGGGACGTTTGCGCCCAGTCCAGGTGCCGACGCATCTCCCCCTTCCTCACCTACCCTTCTCCTCCATCCCCTTTGCCTCTTCTGCCTTTCCTCGCTTCTTTCATCTACGCTCTTCATTATTTATTTACCATGAGCTTCATTTTCATACCCCTTCACCTCATGTGCTACCTTAATTATTTGCGCATTCGCACTTGCTTTTCACATCGCATTTCGCCGCACCTCCACAACGCCCTAGTTTAGCTTATTACCCATAAGATATCGAAACCTCTAATACTTAGTTTCCTTTTCTTCTTTGCATAGTCAACGCTCCATATAACGTTTAACCCCAGGACTCTCTTAGCCAGTCTATATGGTCGATGACTTGTTCTTGCATGTAACGTGTACGTACTGGGATGTACGAGTGTACGACTCGGAATGACTTATGACTTCATCGTGTACGTTGCTCCAGAACATGAGGCTGAGGCGCCAATGCAGCGTTTGCAACTCATGTCATGGTTATGACATATGTGATGTCAGCCAAGTGTCAGCTCGATCGGAAGGTGTGCCTCCGGCGAGGGCTCAGCGAGGCGTCTTTGCGGTCTGTCGGGCCTTCTGGATCTGACAAACAAGTAGATGTTGACTGGCGTCCGTGCTTCGCGTTGCCTTCTTATCCAAAGTGGCTTATAGAGGCATACAGACCGGCGTATGCAAGGTGTACGTGGTTTATGGTCGCTGCCCAGGGACTGCCGGGAGCTCTCGGGAGAATGTCCTCCTGAGAGCTGTCGTTGAGTCGGGCCTTCCGAGCCTGTACGATTCTTCCCGCGCTACCCGTCTCCTCGCTGAGTAAAATCCGGCTCTTCCCGACCAAACCAAGGCCGCCCCGCTCCGCCCATGCGCAGACAGGGCTAGGCGAGGAGGTAAAGCATCCGACCCCGCACTGTCGTCCCGTGAGCATCCATGTTCTATTCTTTCGTCAAGACGGCAGTCTCATCAACTATTCATAGCGTTCCGTGGAGTCCCTTTGCCATCCCTACGATGCGCTATATAAAGGAAGGAGAGATACCTTCGTCATTCCTCAGTCTAACAGCGTCTCTACCTCTGATACCTCCTCAACTCACCTGATATCTTACCCCGCATACTTACTATACCATGAAGGTGCGCAAGCGAGGCTCTTATCGACGTTGTCTTTGCCCCCTGACGCCATTGACGTCGTCTCATAGGTCCTTGCCATCCTCTATCGCGGTGCCCAGGCTGCCAAGCAGGAGCCCCGTCTCCTCGGCACCGTCGAGAACAAGGTATGCGACTATACACTCGCTGTCCTCCCGCGCTCCTCACCGATCTCCGCTCCTTTAGCTCGGCATCGCTTCCTGGCTCAAGGACCAGGGCCACGAGTTCATCGTATGTCACGCCTCTTTAGGACTCTGATGACGAGGGCAGCAGCTCATATGGTACGCGCACCATAGGTGACGGATGATAAGGAGGGTCCGAACAGCGACTTCCAAAAGCACATCGAGGATGTACGTTCACTCTTTCCCTTATGCATCTCATTCAACCTTGCTGATTCTGTATTACCCAGGCTGAGGTCCTGATCACCACTCCCTTCCACCCCGGATACCTTACCGAGGATGTTATGGCCAAGGTGCATTCCTTTCTCAGACCCAACTCAGATCGGCCGCTGAAAATGCTACTTTTGCCCACTGCTGGATGTATGCGCGCATATAGGCCAAAAACCTCAAGATCTGTGTCACTGCCGGTGTCGGCTCCGACCACATCGACCTGAATGCGGCAGTGCAGCGCAAGATCCAGGTTCTCGAGGTTACCGGCTCGAACGTGACCTCCGTCGCGGAGCACGTCGTCATGTCGATCTTGCTCCTCGTGCGCAACTTCTTGCCCGCTCACGAGGTGCGTCTCTCCCCATTTTTCGTCCGCTCGGAGAACGCGCTGACAGCAATATTGGCGGTGTGATAGATGATTGAGCGCGGTGACTGGCAAGTCTCGGACGTCGCACGCAATGCGTTCGATCTCGAGGGCAAGGTCATCGGCACGATCGGTGCTGGCCGTATCGGCTACCGCGTCCTACAGCGTCTCCAACCATTCGACCCCAAGGCACTCCTTTACTACGACTACACTGCCCTTCCTGACGCTGTTGCCTCGCAAGTCGGGGCTCGCCGCGTCGAGGACCTCAAGGAGTTTGTGTCTCAGGTATCCTCTTCACCCTACCTTCCAGTTCATCCTCCGTATACTCATCACAACGAACTATCAAACAGTGCGATGTCGTAACCGTCAATGCACCCCTGCACGAAGGCACCCGCAACCTCATCAACACCGACCTCCTCTCGCACTTCAAGAAGGGCGCCTGGCTCGTCAACACCGCCCGCGGCGCGATCTGCGACGCCGACGCCGTCGCGCAGGCCGTCAAGTCGGGCCAGCTGAACGGGTACGCCGGCGACGTGTGGAACGTGCAGCCCGCGCCCAAAGACCACCCGTGGCGGAGCATGAAGAACCCGCTCGGCGGGGGCAACGGGATGGTGCCGCATTACTCGGGCACGACCCTCGATGCGCAGGCAAGGTACGCGTCGGGCGTGAGGAGTATTTTGGAGAACTACTTTGCGGGGAAGCCGCAGGAGCCGGCGAACGTTATTGTTGGCGAGGGAAAGTATGAGAGCAAGGCTTGTGAGTATTTTGCAGTGCTTTGGGCTCCATATGCTGATTGAATGTGCTATAGACGGCCAGCGGTGAACGTGATACCCTTGCCTGCGACGTTTTCGGGTGGAGGTTAGTGGAGCTATGGAAACTTATCTTATTCTCGCCGTTCATTGTACGCTTTCTTTGGCTGTAATATACATAAAAATCTGCAAAATACAGAACGTTTAACCACTCATTGGATTGCTTGATCTCTTCATCATCTGTTGGCTGTTTCCTTCCTAGAAAAACGACACTTGTTCTGCGGGTACGTTTACTGTTATTCTCCGTCACTCTCTGTCTGTATTTGCCTCGCTTTTTCTCGCTTAAAATAATACGATTTACAGCCTCAAGTTACATGTGTAGTATTCCTGTTTTCATTCAAACATGATCACAAAGTTTGTTTACAGCTGGAGTGCTCTTGGAGCTGCTACTGAGACCGACCAGGATCGAATGAATAACAGACCTCTGAGGTTTCCATCTTCGAAATAGTCCTTGTCACCGGCTTGTTTGTCGACATCAAACTACTACCCTCAAGTAGATTGTCTTTCTCGTCCTTGAGGATGGGTTGTTGAAGATATAGACGGCAATTATGCTTGTAGACAATCAGAGATGGCCGTCACAGCTTTGTCATTGCAATGTTCGAACTTCATGCCCTCGCCTGATTCTCGAGATCTCGAGATCCGAAAGTGTACAGACTTGTGGAAACTCAGTCTGATTTGGAAAGTCGACGCTCCATATGTAAACAAAGTCATACTGCCGTAGCTCATACCGTTGTTCCACACCCTTCCTCACCAACTCCCAGCCAACGCCCATTTACTCTTAGTTCTCCCCACCCATCTCACCCAACGCCCTCCTCACGACGTCCTTCGGCACCCTCTGCACAAACCTGACCTTAAATGGTGACGGCCTCGTGACCAGCGTATCCTTCCACGCGTCTATATCGTACACCGTGTCCTTGCTCGGGCGCACAACGTCGAACGCCCAGAAGATGAGCGCGAGATTGAGGAACAGAGAGCGGCTTGCGACGTGTTGCCCGGGGCAGACGCGCCGCCCGAAGCCGTATGTGAAGAAGCGGAGGTCTGTACGGAGCTTTGGAGAAGAGGGCGGAGAAGCAACGGGTTTTTCGAGCCATCGAGAGGGGAGGAAGGAGTCAGGGTTGGGGTACGCGGCGGGGTCGCGCGAGATGGCCCTTGTAGAGTGAGGGGTAAGCGAAGGAGTTTGAGATACAGGAAGAGGGACGGTGCGAACCAGTGAGAGCCGAGGACCATCGTGCCCTCCGGAATGACGTAGCCATTCTGTAATTCATCACGCATTAGCTAGGATCAACGAGGAAAAGGCTGACAAGAATACATACATAATGGACATCTCTGTTCGCCCCGTGGGCAATACCGATAGGTACGATAGGGCGCCAGCGGAGCACTTCTTCGATGAACGCCTGCAGGAGCGGGAGGCTGCCCATGTCGTCGAAGCTGGGCGCTATACCGATGTAGCAGATTAAAGCGCTTGCCCATATAAGCAATGTAGACAAAACGTACCTCGTTCCCGCCCAACGACCTTATCGAGCTCCTCATGCACCTTCTTGAGCTCTTCGGGGAACTCGGCCGCCGCGAGGATGGCAAAGTTAAGGCCAACAGTGGTCTGTTAAAAATTGTCAGAGACACAGCTTCACAAGTCATGGTCAACAAATAACTCACCGTGTCGCTGCCCGCGCTAAAGAGGACGGACGTGACCTCAGCGAGCTCGTAGTCGGGCAGCCTGTGTTCGTCCTGCGTCTCGATCATGTTGCGGAGGAAGGACGGTCCGGCGGTGCCCTCAGCCTATAAGCATTCCACGCTCAGTCAATACTTCGGGCGTTCAGAACCAACCGTGAAATGTTCCGCGCTCACCATCTCCTGCTGCACCCTCCCCATCATTTCGTCTGCCAAGCCCTGCTCGTGCCGCGCCCACCCGGCCATTTCCCACCCGAACGCGCCGAGCACCCTGCCCAGCCACCAGAGCCCTGGTGTGTTCTCAAGCGCGTCGCAGATGTGCTTCATCCCCCTGAGGCGGTGGAGTGGCTTCAAGACGGGCAGCGCCTCAACGATGAAGCGCCCCGGGATCAGGGTGTTACCACCGTTTCGCCCAACTAGCAGGATGCGCTGCACTTCTGGTGAGGTGGCGGAGGTTGGCGTGCATTTGCCGTACATAATTTGGATGGTTACGGAGGAGGCGTAGCTGTGGGACGATAAGAATACAGCGCGTGAGCCCTAATAAGAAGATGGAAGAAAGGGGAGCCCGCACGCCTGGAGGTGATCAGCAAACTTGTCCGGGTCGTCCATAATGTTCAGAATAACGCGGCGAGCATGGTCAATCTGAATCGGTTGGTAGCTCTTCGCTGCTTTAGGCTGCAGCGCGGTATGCACTGCCCTTTCATCCTCTCAGGTCAGCAATACATTCATCACAAAAGCGACGGAAAATGCCACGTACTTGCGCACAGTACGGAAATGGTCTCCGACGCCCTCGAATATCAGACGTCCCGACCGCGCCATGAGCTCACCCCCTACGACCGCGCGCGGACGATCGGCGGTCGAGCCCCCAGCTTTCTCCATGATCTCAAGGGCCGCTTCGTAGCTCGCTACGACAACGAACTTGTTGCTCCCAGCACTCAAAGTGTACGCGCCACCGTATTGGTCTGCCAACGCGGCGAGGTTGCGAGCAACACTAGATTCAAGCAGTCGGGTTAGGATGGGTATAATTTGAGAATAATTGAATGTAAAAGGCACTTACTCCTTAGCCGGGAAAGGGTTCTGCCAAAACCACTTCGTCGGTGGGCCAGGAGGTAGAGGACTCCTCTTCTGGCTGGACGAAGAGGCGTTCTTGATGGAGTACAGGGCGAGGAAAGCGGTGAAGGCGGCGACTGCCCCAATGACCGGAGTCAGGGAGATATGATCCGTAACGGAGGAGGGGAGATATTCAGCAAGCTGGTGGAGGTAATGCATGGGTGATTGCATGTCGGTATTCATATTCGTGATGTTGTGCGCCTTTGGTGCTGGCGGCGACGTGCATATATAGGAGTTCAGAATTCATTGCGCCGCAAGGTAAAATTGCTTACTCTGAGCGTGTATCAATCAGTACTGCTTGATAGTAAGTACGCGTACGGCTGCCTAAACTTGATGAGAATCGGAAGATCGTCGCGGGTTCTACGGCCCCGCCAGGGGCCCGCTGTGTCTAATGCTCTCCTTGTCATCCATCTCCAGTGGGCGTAAACCCCAGAGAATCGTCGCCACAAAGGAACAGAAGCGTAGATAGACGGCTAGCCCGTTTACTCCAGAGATTGTCGTTCATTGGTTCATTGTTGGCGGAATCAATGGGAGGTTGGTTCGAAAGACCGGCTTGCACGGGAAATGCATGCGAAAGCCGAGTTTTAAATGGGTGTTTGTCCTTGTTGAATCCTAAAGGTGATGCATAACGGAGCCAAACAAAGCGAAGGCCGCGGTATTGAACGACTATCAAAGCGGCCATACTCCGAAACCTAAGTGTACTTAAAGGGCATTTAAACTCACGCAGAAGTGTGGGTGCTCTATACTGGTAGCGCTTTGTTTAGACTTACCAGACCCTCGTACTAATAGTTGTTACATTAGAAGTATCTAGTCTAAGTACTCTTTTCTACTACAAAAGCTCACGGATTACTTCATCAATTAAGATACTAATGACGTCCTCCCCCAAGCCTAATGCCGCAGCTTCTGAATCGTGTATTGTTTTATCCGTATGTCTGTAAAATCAGCCTGCTGTTTTCTTTTGGAAGGAATGCGACCTTTCCGTCTATCTCGTGTTCAAATTTTCTCACAGCGTCGGCCGATTATTCATACATGCTGACATGCGCATGAACTCAACGGGCTCTACGGAAGCGTTCACTGGGCCTTGGTGGAGGTCCCCGCTGGGATGAGCACTAATATGGTTAACAGGAAGCAACGCGTACGGGTGAGCTAACCTAAACTCACGTTAGTGTCCCAGACTCCCGGCTGCATCTTCTCGGCGTTTTGACCTTGATCTCGCATTCATGCCGCTCGATAAGTCTCCTCTGAGGTTTCTCAGCCCATCTTCCTCAAAAGGCTGACTTTTCCTCTTCCCTTTGATTCCATGCGTAACACGGTACAGCCTTGTGACGGCCCACAGCTCCCAAACGAGCAAGCTGGTAACGCGACACCAGTTAGTAATTGAATTTCTGATTGTACCTATCATTCATCTGGAGCTGCATCATTGAGTAGGCTGTCGCTTTCATAAGCGGTTCAAAAGCGGTCAGTTCAGGAGTGCTTTGTCAAGCTTAGCCTTGCATGGTGGACACCCAGTAAGTAGTCTGGGAAGGTGGACTAGGACACCGGGCTGGGTAGCAAGGTAGATCACGTTCAACCAGGATTAATGTCCGTGTGCTGTGACCGTAATCTCTGGATTATTCCGGCTTGATTACCTCGTATGACAGAGTACTTAATGATTGAGGTTGATGACTCTACGATGTTTGTTCAATCCCACGTGATGCTTCTGTCTCCAGATGCTCTTAGTGGCCGAGCAGTGCTTTTAACGTTTGTTTTGCCCTGGTGCACAACTTGTTACCGTTCCTTGTCAGCTCCTTGACGCCATTAAATGGCTACATAGAGAGTCGCAAACACGCCCGGGTAACAGCGCAGGCGCAGTGGATGTCCCATCGCCATTAGCACGGGCCGGGTCGCAGGCGCTGACGTAAGCGTTTGGTGTGAAGCGCTTACCTGCGAATTCTCCCCTCGTGTCGCCTACAACCATCTCGACACCGTCCGAAGATGGGGCTCCCTCATCCATGCTCAGAGCTACCCACGAACGCGGCTGACCTTCTGCAGCGTTACAGCATCCACGTCAGAGTTGCTAAGTTCGCTATCAGCGACGCGGAGTATCAAAAGAGCGTAATCTCCAAAGAGGGATGGGACCTGCAGGACAAGTCGGGCGTCGTCATTCCTTACCATGTCTACTGGGGGCCCTTATACCCCCCTGCGGGTGTGGGGCGAGTCGGCGACGTCTTCGTCGACAGCAAAAGTCACTCGCTATGGGCCCGTCTTCGGAGGGGCTGGAAGGAGTGGAGAGGCCCTACGCCAACGGAGGAGACGAGCAAAGTTAACCTGAATGACAAAGGGCGGCAGCAGTTCAATTCGTTTCTCATTGGTCACCCTGATCTTCCGGCAGTTGATCGTTACCTATGGTACCAAGACCAGAAGGCTGGCTGGTTCACTCGTGCGGTCGTTCACAGCAGCAGACGGCAAGACATGCGCCGACTGGGTTTAGGTGGCGAAGCTTGCGAAAAGGAGTATCGTGCCAGTGGCAGGGCCGTGCTGGCGGATACCATCAAAATCCTCGAGAAGCAGACACGAAAGCGAGACAGGGTGGAGGATGTCGCTGATATGAGTATTACTAGCAGGGCTCACAAGAAGCCACGGGTGAGTTTATCCGATGGCCTTTCCTAATAGGACATACTTGACTCATGTCTGCACAGACCTCTGTGGACACTGCAGAGAACACGATAGACCCCGGTGAATCGGCGAGCAAACTCAAAAAGAGCGGGCGTAACGACGAACTTAATGTGGGTCCTATGGAGGATGTGATGAAGGCATTTGGGAAAGGTGTGTCTGCTCCCCCAGGCCTTCATTCACTGACACACGGTAAAGCGATGGAGCAGGCCGTAACGAACCATTCGGACGATGCGCTTCGGGCCGCTGAAGTCAAGATACAGACCATGCAGCAACGGGTTTATGAACGTAAGCTGTCGTATGTATCGTGTCAGCGGTCCAAGTAAGCTTAGTTGTTGTCGACAGTCCAACTTCAGCACGTCACAGAATCGAGCAAGTTCAATACAGAGCTCACAAAAGCTCAAGAGAAGATTGAAAAACTGACAAAAGACAAAGAAGGGCTCGAGGAGCAGCTCTGGATCGAGGCAGAATGTCACAAGAAGACGCAGAAGCGATACGACAAATTGCACGGCAAAGTGCAGCGGATGCATGAGGCAAGTCCATCAGATCCCCTCGAACGAATGTAAGCTGAGTGTCCTCGGAAATTGAAAGACTATGCACGATTTGTTTCCCAAGATGGGACGAGACTCGCGAGAGGGCGAACAAGGGGACGAAAGCGAAGGGCGGTGATTGGCGGAGGCATCGGAGGCGTCGGCGGAGGAAGCCGGCGGTAAAGGAGTGACGTAACAGCAGTTAATGAGCGATCGCGTGGCGCTAATCGATTTTGATGAGCCTCGGCCCTCGACGGAGCTTGACGAGGACACGGACGATTGATGCGAAGACGATGCGCGACATACACATCCAACCAATATGTTGATGTTGCAACGAATGAAGAAGAGGCCGCCAATGTTGACCAATAACATTTGGTTTCTTCCTCCTCGGTCAAGAGCCGGTTTGCTAGCGTTGATTCCCACATAAGGGTCGCTCTCTCGGTCTGACTTGCCTTTAAGAGTGTGGGCACCGCTTTTTTATGATGGTCCAGACCGTCGAGGGCGTTGCGGCTGACCATCTGATCAGCATTTGCGTGGGGAGAAAGGAGTAAAAAAGAGGAAAAACGCGGGGGAGAGCTGGCAACCAGGGTGGATCCACTCCTTGGCGGATTTACATGCTCCGGGCGGTCTAGCACCCTCCTCTAGATGGGGTCACTCTCCCCGCCCTCTCTCACTCTCTTCACCCGCACCTCTGAAGCAAATGAGCGTGCAACCGGAGAGATCAGCCAGACGTGAGTTTTTCTTTCTTTTCTCTTCCTGTCGCCAGCGGGACAGGGCGAATTCCATTGTCTGGATTGCACCGAGGAAGGCTGACAAGTGTCCCTCGCAGAACCCCGGGCAGACGACTCCAACGCCCCCGCTGCGTAGCCCCCTCCTCCTCTTTCCCCTTTGCCCTTCATCCCCTCCTCCTCCGCCCATGGACGATACCTCGATGTCGATGGATTCTTCCCCGTCATACCCCGCAGACGACATGAAGCTCGTGCTCGATCGTGTCGTGGACCTGTTCTCCAATCCCTACACCACCGCGAGCACGCCTCAACTAGAGCCCAAGGAGACATCCAGAATAGACGTCGTGCCCCGCCACAGACCCGAGATGGTGCGTCACCATTATAGAACACTATGTTCTTCTTCATCTAATCTCGCCGACACCGGTGCCTAACCTTGTAGGGCTTCTCGGAGTCTGTGAGCATGGCTGCCGAAATATTCGCTCTCGCTCCCGATGGCGACGTCAAGCTACTCTCCGACCCGCAGAGCGTCCTCTGTTCACTGCCTTTCGTCCCTCCGAAGCTTCGCCCTGGATACCATGATCCCAAGGGGGCATCTACCTCATCTGTCCCTCGCTGCCTGCAAACATACGACTATTTCTATACCGCTCCTTCACCTATACCGCAGCCTACCCGAAACATAGTCGAGGTAGAGGTACGTTTACCCTATTTTTCACCGACATTCCCCGTTCATATGTCCTTCTAGTGGTCATACCAAGAGACAGCACGAATGGTACACAACTCTTTTCCCTGCGCTGATCACGCGATCTAACATGCTTGCTAGCTGTCTGCTTCTCTCGCATTGGAGAGACTACATGATGTCGCTCGCGCAGAACTCGTAAGAGTGGGGTGGACCGACGAACAGTTCGTACCCTCATTCTTTCCCCCAAATTATCACACGTGCTTACTTTTACGTACTTCGCCCGCTAGCGACCCTCACCAACTGCGGCGGTCCTCCCTGCAGCTTAACCCACCGGGCCTGGACCGCGACGAAGACGATCTCGTGCCCGGCCTCCTCGGCGAAGACTCGCTCTTCGCGATCACTTCGCTGCAGAACGCCGACGCGCGCTCCACGATATCCGACGTTGTACCCCCGCCCCGCAGATCATCTCTATTATCCTCTTCGTTCATGCATTCCGCGATACCCCCGCCGTCGTCGGATACCGTTGCATCAGACGTGCGTTCGCTGTATGCGCCAACGCCGCAAAATGAACTACACTGCACGCCTCAGGCGTTCCCGCCATTGCCTAGCCCATTCGCGCTGCACCGTGGCACATCTTCCGCCTCCATTCCGCGGGCCGTCACGTTCACTGATGACTCGCTCGTCGCTTCCTCATCCACATCTGCATCTCCGTCGGGTTCAGGTCCATTCTCGAACCCCGCCCGCCGCCTCGTGCGCAGCCGCTCCACTTCAACTCCCTCCCGCTCCAAGTCACCATTCTCCCTCCTGTCTCCCGCACGTTCAATCCTAGGCAGACGTGTGCGCTCGCCAGAGCTCTCGCCCATGCCCGAGGTGCTGCAGAACCAGGACCCGTTCGACTCCGAGTTTAGGTGCCGCGATTTTTCGTTGCAGAGCTTAGTTATTCCCTCGCCGCCTGCGGTGAGCAGGAGGCCCACTCGGACGCCACCCAGTATGAATTTCTCAGAGCTGCACAGGGCGCAGACTCTCGCAAGCCCTGAGAGTCCTGCAAGTCCCGAGAGCTTTGGAAGTGGAAGCCCAGGCAGCCCCGCCATCAGTCCTATGAGCCCCGCGTCGCCGCTTATGCCCATTACACCGCCGGTCACGTCTTCGTTCGCTGCGTCAGCAGCCTCGGACGATGTTCCCCTGCGCATGTCGCAGTCACCGGAGCCTGTGGTCGAGCTGCATGCTTCGGGGCGGTGTTCTCCATATGCATCACGGCCCGCAAGCCCGCGGATTCGCGCGGCAGGAACAGGATTCGCGTCGCTGACGCCATCACCGTTGGCGGATCCGCCGGCGTCGTCGGAGAAGAAAAAGCAGCACCGGTTCAGGACGCTCGTCAAGCGCGTGCTCAACGGGGACGGGAACGGTAATAGACTCACTAAGCCTGGTCCTCATGGGCGCTTTGCTGAAGCGCGATCGAATACGGCGCCTGCACCTGTGCCCGTGCCGGTTCCGAGGGTGCCCTCGTCGGCGTCTGGTCTTGCTGCGCGGGCTGCGTCGCTTCCTAATGCGCATGCGCATTCGCACCCGGGGAGCATCATCAGTAACGGCACCGAAACCGCCCCCAGATCCGCCAACCTGCATTCTAGCGGCACCGGAGCGGCATCGGGAGGATGGGGCGCCATCGTGCGTCGTGCGAGTACCCGGAGCTCGCGGAGCGCGTTCAGCACGCGCGTGCGCCAGAAGCGCTCGTGGACGACGGGCGCGGCGGCGGGGAGCAGGGTGCCAGTTGTTGAGGCGGAGGCTGAGCGCGAGCATTCGCGTAGTAGCTCGGATGAGGTGGATGTTATGGACGGGTGCGATGCGCGGACGACGACGTCGACTGTTGCGACGAGTGTGGCGGTGCAGGAGCGGGAGAAGGAGAAGAGCTGGGTGATTGCGGGTGCGAGTCCGCCGACGAGCCCTGAGCGTGTGGGCGGGCGGGAGCGGGAGCAGTATCAGGGGAGGAAGGTGGGATTGGGTATTGCGATGGGGAGGTCAGGGAGGGCGAGGGAGAGGCCGGTGAGGGAGGTGTCGGATGTTCCAGCAGACGTGAATGGGGCGGCGGGGCATGCTGCGAAGGGCTCGAGGTGGAGCGGGCTGTGGCATTGATTAGTTCCTCAGTCGCTCGTTGGTGTGTCTCGTTCCGCCGGATGCGAATATGTCGCGGTACACGGCGTTGCGACACCATCCCTTCTTCCATCCATTTAGTCTGCTCCCTTATCTTTCCTTTCGGAGCCCCATCCATACCTCGCATCGTGCATCCGCATACCACGCTATCCCCCGTTTCACGGCACCTTTGCCATCCCCGTACCCATCTATACATCTCTCTCTTTTCTTCTCTTCTCTCCTGGATCTTCCATTCGTCTTTCATTCCCCTTCACCTTCGACTCCGTCTTACCCTCTCCCACACGCCGTTCACGATCCTTCCACGTATCTGATTTATGGTATCTGGGGGTTTAATGTCCATGTACCACCATCAACACCCCATTTTCTTTTATGCATCGCATGCCCCATGTTGCACCACAGCCTATACCGTCATCTTATCCGATATCGTACCTCGTATTCGTACCCTGTCATGCCTTTATACACGATCTTTATATCATAAACGATTTTTTGTGCATATGCTGGTGTACTCTGGTGTACGTGCTACTTACTAGTATGTGGGCGGGAGCGGGGTATTAATCGTATCGTATATACAAGCAGATGGTCGGCTTTTGGTTGCCGTTGCTTGGTTGTAGACTCCTGTGCTCTTCACAGCACCCTCGCTCGCTGCTCCAAAAGACTGAATGCAGGACCGGGGGAAACACTTCCGTACCCGTTTACGAGCTGATATTGAATGCGGGGCTCCTCAGCTCATGCCAACAAGACGACGGGATCGACCGGTTCGTTGAAGCAGAATTGTTCGAGTGTGAATTGTATTGAATGGTAGAATACGTTGACCAATCGGAATGTACGTTGGTGTCCCCTCTGTCGATGTATTTTCAAGATACAGAGCCCTACATCCCCTAACGTCCGAATGTATTCAGACAATCCCCCGATGTGTTAAGCCCCTGGGCTTTTTCATCTACAAGAGTTCGCCCAAATCTTCCAGTCGCCCCTTATCATCATGCGAGTTGTAGCATCCCCACGCACGAGAGCATCGTCGTCGTTGGTCACGAGAATTATCGCCAGGATGATAGGGCGAGCGATGAAACATGTAATGTGCCAGTGGTACAAAAATGATATTGTGTTCCCCTCCATTGCCGTCTAAAGGCCGAAGTATAACTGAGGCGTGTCTTGTGGGGCATTGAGGAGGTGGATGTCTGAGAGTTAAAGTTGTCATGTACCTGAGCATGTGGATGCACTATCTTAGCGCGAGCCTGTCCCAAATCCGGGCTGGTGGCCGCGAAGGCAGGAATTACCAGCGGTTCTTCTTCCACTCCACTCTACTCCACTGCTTGGTGTCGGAGGAGCGGCGTAGTTAGATTGGATGAGGTATTTTGTCCCTCAGTGTTGGTGTGAGATAACTTTGGAGAAAGCGGCATGAAGGCCGCAATCAATACTCGTTTCCACCAATAGGCACGCGTATAAGTTTGTTCTGTTCTTTGGCTGATCCTTCGCTTTGAGTCCGCGAGAATCCCACGAGGAACAAAGTGGTGTAAGTGCAAAAACATCTAATACATTTCGCAGTGTTTACAGGACCCCCCTAGCCTCCCGTAGTACGACTCCTTGTCTACCGGAACATGTGCACAGCGCCCGCACGTCAAGGCTTTCTGCGTTCCGATTTCTGGCTCGTTTTTGAGCTACCTTTAGACTAGACCGACATCTCGGATCAGCAGATTAAGAGCTCTATGGTATGTCACCTTCTGCGTCATCTTCGCTATCATCTTACTTTACCGGTCCCTTGGTGGATTTACGGCCCGAAATTTTACGCTGCGCACTTTCTAAACATGTTATAAGCCCGCCAATTTGCACCAGTAAATCGTTGCACGCCCAGTTCTACCATGCATTTTGTAATCGCTGCATCAGCTGCAGTCCTAGGGCTGGTTTCGGCAAGCATCTTTCGAGTTCGCCATAACTTGCGCAGAAAAGGCCTCCCTCCTGGGCCTGATCCCCTTCCCCTTGTTGGAAACCTTCATCAAGTTGATTCCACATATCCTTGGCTCACGTTCTCCAAGTGGAAACGCGCATATGGTACGGTAAAATTTCAAGTACTAGAGACTCGTTCAGCTCATTGTCGTTTACTAGGCGACCTCGTCTACTGCCAGCTGTTTGGGAGAGATGTCATCGTCGTCAACTCAGAGAAAGTAGCCCAAGATCTGTTTGAGAAGCGCTCGCGAAACTATTCGGACAGGATGGATATGCCAAATATGATGGAACCGTAAGCATCCCAAGCTGTTATGCGAGTACGCTGTGCAAGAAGTTCTGATCGCTTCTGTTACAGGTACGGGTTCACTTTCGACACTGCTTTACTAAACCACGATAGCTTGTGGCGTGGACACCGGCGTGTTTTTCAACAAACGTTGCGCCCTGAGACTATTCCTGCGTATCGGACAATGCAGCTCCGTTGCGTGGCATCCCTGCTAGGAAACTTAGAGAGTACACCTACATCGTGGTGGAAGCATATTCGAACGTCTGTTTGACGTCATTGCCTCTATGTCCTTGACTTAAGCTCACATCCATTACGTCCAGGTTCTCAGCCGCCATCATCATGGGGGCTATGTATGACCACGAGCTTCCGGCCAACCCGGAGGACGATATCACGTACCGCACTATGGTTGAATGTGCCGACGTCATTTTCATAACTTCCTCGGCAGGAATGATCGCGCTTCTTGAGGCGCTCCCTTTCCGTAAGCTGACGTTCAACGTTTCTATCAAAGATTTGACAACATGGCCACTGCCAGTGAAATATGTGCCAACATGGTTTCCTGGCGGACGCTGGGTTAACGCAGTAAACTTTAAACGGATTGTGGAAGAGATGATCGACACACCTTTTCGTATACTGAAGAAACGCATCGTGTGTATCGTATCTTGTGTCAAATATGTGAGCTAACAACATATGACATCTGTCGTATTTCCAGACGACCGGAGAGGCCAGACCGTGTATAGTGTCCGAAGCCTTGGCCAAATTCCAAGACATGGGCAAAGTAGAAGATGCTGAGCGAGTCATTAGAGACGCTTGTGGTACTGGATACATTGGTAGGTATACTCTGAACTTGATGCCAACCACTCCAGTCTGACGTATGCCACCAGCTGGAGAAGATACGGTTGGTGGGAACTACCTATTACTGTGCTGAAAATAACCTTTCGGGAACGTTTCTCAGACCGGGTCGACACTGATCGTGTTCATCCTTGCTATGGTCCTTCACCCACATGTTCAAAAGCGCGCCCAGGAAGAGATTGAGAGAGTTGTGGGAGCTGATCGCCTCCCTGACTTCGACGATAGGCCCACGCTACCTTATCTCGAAGCTGTGGTACGGGAGACAATGAGATGGAGGCCTGTTGTACCACTTGGTACGTGTGCAGCGCCATATACAGCTCCTCCTTTAGTTAGCTCAAGACTGACCAGTGAATACTGTATGTAGGGATACCCCATGCTGCAACAAGCGACGATGTTTATGAAGGTCAATCCATTCCTGCTGGTAAGGTCTTTCAGTACTGTTATATTCCTTTATGCTAACAACTGCATTTAGGCGCCGTTGTGATACCGAACATCTGGTGCGTCTCAGTGTTAGCATCTACGTGATTGCTTATATGAACGAGATTTCAGGAACATAGCTCTGGACCCGGAAATTTACCCTTCCCCAGATACCTTTGATCCTGAAAGATTCCTCGACGCCAACGGTCAGCTTACCAAAGATACGTGCGATTTCGTGTTTGGCTTTGGACGACGCATCTGCCCCGGCAGACATTTTGCGCGCGCGTCTGTTTGGATCGTGATAGCGCAAATACTTGGCACTTTTAAGATAGAAAAAGCGAAAGATGCGTCAGGAAAATCGATTGAGCCGGCTCCCGAGTGGGCTGCAGGAGTCACTTCGTAAGTGTATTTAACGGATCCTGGAATTATGAGAACTGATATGTTTGACGCATTTCTCACGATAGGTATCCCAAATCATTCCCGTGCAACTTCGTGTCTATGCGCAAGTAAGTTATGGAAAACAGAGGAATTACTGTATCCTTTGTGGTTCCGTCTCTCTATGTGCGAGCCATGATAATTTGCCTTTGTACAACCTTGTAGGGGAGAGACGTTCCGTTATAAAAAGTAATTATATCGCTAAAATACATTAAGCGTCAATATATCGCTCTCGCGAAAACGTGATCCGCTGCGTCTTGATGAGCAAATTCATTTGACGTTCTAAGCCCTTCGGTTGTCGACGATAAGTGGCACAAAGGAGGTCTGAATAAAAAACTTTGCGAGGAGGTGGTACTCGACCGCCCTGCAGAGCTTTTGTTATAAGAGTCGAACACCACTAACGGCGGCTTCAGAAATAACAGGAGTTTGAAAAGCAGAATATATTAGAATAGACCCTTCGTCGCGTGCATGTGCTATATAGCGACCACGTGCGATGCAGCTGAATCGTCTTGCACCCTAACTAGCTACGATTCGATTCCACATACCACCTCTTCTTGCAGGCCTCGAATTCTGGCGAAGTGAGAAAATCATCCTGAACCGTGACGCGTATCTTCGGAAACTGCTGCTGTGCCTCCTCTCTCGTGACGGATATATCCCTGTAGTTATTCAAGACGACGAGGGAAGTGGGCTTGCACTTTGAGCGTTCGTAAAGCTTGGAGACGACATCCAGCTGCCCCTTCGAGTGAATCGGAACCAGAAGCGTCTCGAGCTTGGGAAAGCTCATATTGCTCAGGAACCGCGTCTTGCCGCCGTCGATCTCGCGAAGCGACTCCGGTTTCCTGCACTTGATCGGGTTGGTCTGCAGCCCGAGCGCGCGGAGCACGGGGTGCTCGACGGGATCTGGGTCGTCGTGCGCCACGGTGATCTCCTTGGCGTATATGAACAGCTCTTGGAGACGCGGGAAGAAGGTCGGGAGCAGCCGCAGCTCCACGAGGCTTGTGTCCGTGAAGAAGACCACGAGGGACTCAAGGCGCTGCCAGTGCATGCTGAAGAATGTGATAGCGTCTTCTCCACGCGGGAAGATCTGTAGACGACGGAGGTGGTGCCACCAGCTGAGAGGCGTTGTCCGGAGCAGCTTGAGTGACGCTGAGGGCAGCGTTACTTGCTCAACGTGCGGCCAGTCTTTGAAGGCAGGAAGGAACGTGGTAGCCGGCAGAGGTTCGCGAACGAACGCATCATCTGCGAGAATTTCGATAGCGCGGCACGAGTCACGGAACGGAGAGAACAGTTCCTCGCTGCAATTCTTCAAGAACTGCGGGCCGTCCTTTTTGCTGATGTACAGGTACATTGCGGTTTTGAGTGGGCGCGAACGAGACAGAAACTCCAAGGCGAGACTCTGGTTACGCTTCGGAGGCCAATCCATCATGATGTTGTTCCATAACGCAGGGGTCGCAAGAGCTAAGTGACGCCAAAGGCGACAAACCTGCGCAGTTTTGATGGCTGCCTTATTCCTCGCGGAGAGCTGGCGTGCCTTGCGCTCGCCGTTTTGGTCCCAGGGACAGAAATATGGGAGGGAGAGCTCAAGAATATCGATCAAGATCTCCGTCGGGAGACTCAAGAAAGGGGAGACAAGTCTCAAATGGTTGACGTGGGAGTGGAAGAGTATGATCCTGGCGCTGTTCAACGTTACGAGGGCTGCATCCACCCGGTCCAGAGCAGCAGACAGGTCGGAGACAATCCGACGAACTTCGCCTCGCAGCTGAGGCGCAACACAATGAGTGGTGTCTGTGAAAGCTTTGAACCTAGTATCCGTCAGAGTCTGGTGAAGCGAAGGTTAGAACGCGTCACAAGCGTGCGCAAAGCAATCGTACGCGCAATTCCTCATCGACCGAGGGTATCTAAGTCCACGTATCAGATAAATTGAGCATGTCGAGGTTATCACTTGGATGACTCACCAAATTCGCGAGCTGTGATAAAGCCGTCATAGTCGAGGCCTGAGGCCTGAGGAATGGGGGCTGCTGACGGAAACTAGAGTCTATGACGCGCGTTTATCATTTTAGCGCCAATCGCGTCCCGTTCAGGGCCGGCGTGCTAATCGGATAACAAATCGGAGATCGAAATGCCCTTGGTTTGTTGCCACCAACATCCTGACTTTTCTGACAGAGAAATAGTGCTCAAGGAATCAATTCGTGAGTGGGGATATTGTTTAATTACAAAATACACAGAAAGACCATATATAAGTGTGTCTATTCAGCTAGAATAAGCTTAAAGTACTTCTGAACCCCAGATAATCCCGCCACCATGGCACCGACAACCCCATCCGGTCGCACGATCACAACCCGGGGACTATCCTGGGCATAGTAATGTGCATGCGCGTAGTCGTCCTTGTCAACAAGCACTCTAAGATTGACGAGTGTGCTAGTCGGATGAATACCTGCAGGTACAATCGTCACAATGCGAACGATGCCGAGGTTGGAGTGCACCGCAAACGACCGGAAGATTTCTTCAGCCACTTTGACATCCGAGGTAAAGACCATCACTGTGTGGTGAGTCGGCTTGAAGAGCTCGAAGAGTCTAACAGTGCGCTCTCCGTCGACCAAGCCGGGTGCGTCTGGCGCTCTGTCACCAGCGACAAGCTGGCCGCCAATCTCAGCGCCGTATGCGGGCACGATAGGTACTCCGGAGGAGAACTCGTCGAGCACAATCGGGCTTGTGCGGTAGTTGACGCCGAGCATGAACATGACCCTGGATCGACGCCAGGCGCTGTCAGCGGAAACCTGTTTGGGTCCCCACGTCTTGTCTAGGAGAGCAGTAGTCAAGTTGAGCATTTGCGCAATGACGGGGAGACGCTCGGCGGTGTAGGTCTCTAGCAAAGAGAGAGGAGACAAGCCTTTGGCAACTAGTGCGATCTTCCACGCGAGGTGAAACTGCAATTGAAGTTAGTGACTAATACGAAGGTACACTAAACAAGGGCTCACGCCATCCTGAATGCCGGAATTGAGGCCTTGTCCACCAGTGGGGCTATGGACACTAGCCAGCCTATCAGACTTTGTCGCTACTAGATGAGGAAAAACACTAGTGCTCACTGAGCAGCGTCTGGAAGTGAAGATATTAGTCAGTTGATGCAACATATAGATCACCAAAAAGCGTACCACCGGCAACAAAGACCCGCCCGTGTCCGAACTTGTCTGCCATTCTAATATTTGGCCTTAACGGTGGTCAGTATACATATGAAAAGCACAGGTGATCGTACGCTCACCTGAAATACGAGACCCATCCTAGTTCTATGAAATCGACTGGGCAGCCGATGACGTTGCTAATGAGTGAAAATAGTGCCTCCTTGCTAGTGACGAGCTTGTCGGCATCAACCTTGTCGCCAGACATGAGGAACTGCCAGCCATCATCGTCGCCGTACCAGTCGGTGGGCAAGATCAAGAAACTTTAGATACAGTCAGTAAAATATGGTGAGGGGTGGTGGGTATCGTACGTGCTGTTGTTACCATCACTAAAATGATGCATTCGCTACTTGTAGTTAGATTGACTCCTACGCACGTCGTAAACGGATTTCGCACGTACCTCACGAGTCAATGCTGAGCAACTAAAGCGAACATCGCCGGTAAGAACCGTTGTCGCCTCCCGAGTCTCGCCGAGGAAAGTGAGATTAAGAAGCTTCCGTGTAACACCTGCACGTGAGATGTATTAGTCTAAACCGCTAGCGTCACTGGAAAAACTCTTGCCCCGAGCACCGTCAGCGCCGATGAGAAACTGGGACTTGACCATCTCAGGTGCCTCCTCGCCGTTCCGTACCAGAAGCTCTGCGACAACTTCTCTCTCATCTTGTGTGAGCGAACGCAACTCTTTGCCGTACTCCACAGTGCAGTCAAACTTTGCGAGATGAGACATCAAGATTCCCTCCGCAACGTCCTGACCCAAGCCCAAGAGTCTGTTCTATATGCGCCGTTAGATGTTGAATTAAGTTCGAGCCATGTATGGAACTCACGAATGGAATAGATGGCGTAGGATCAGCAGCATCTGGCGTAAAATCGAACTCTTTAAGCACATCGACACTGCCAAACATGTGGGACTGGAACAGCGAAGTCCCTCCTGCCTTCTCTAAGACCTCTGGGACGTCGAGAAAGTTATATACCTCAAGAGTACGAGGCTGACGGGCTTTGTCAGTCTCAATACCCATAGTAAGAAGCAATGCACTCACGTATATCCCTGCTCCTCGTTGTCCCCGACGTGTGGTGAGTTCTTTCTCAATGATACGCACGGCGATGCCGTTCTTCAGCAACGTCAAGGCAGATACAAGTCCAGTGGGCCCAGCGCCAACCTGCGGTAAGATCATTAGTATGAGCAATCGGCGAACGATGAAACAACACGTTTGGGACGTACAATCAGAACAGTGGTCGAGGTGCTCATGCTGAGAACTGAGATGACTGCGAGCGAAAATAGTTACAACATCCCTCATGTTGACTATCTTTTATATATGCAAATCTTCCGCTTTCAGGCTTGAGGCACCTTGCAGCCAATCCACCGCAACAGACCCTTTAGCGAGCCTTCGCGACTCCTTGTCTAACTGATGACATGCAGAAGTAGCAACTGGGAAGGTTTCTAGTCATTACAAACCTTCCCCTGTGCAGGATTCATTTGACGTCGCCGGGCCGGGGCCCGTTGCGTGATGGCGGAGCTACGGCAAGGACGCGCGTCCTCCAAGTCACAGTCGTGCCGCCGACGCCTCCTTATAAATATTGTCCCTACTCCATGTCTTGCGTGTCCATCCGGCGCTCGCCCGACTCGGAGCTTTGGTCGAGCTGAAATCAGTGCGCACATAAGCTCTTTTTCTGACGTAATTCTGGCTTTGAAGGTGTAGACTCAAGGCCCTAGTGGGCACACCTGGACCCGAAGGACGCGTTTGTCTACATAACCACCTCTAGCATGCATCTACTAGTTGCACTGGCCGCGCCCAGGAGAACACATCTGTTGCACAACGAGGCCCATCCTAAGAGTGCTAGGGGGAGATCAATATTTGTGAATAGCACATCAACGGCAGTGGCTAATTACGAGCGAATTATACGTGCTTGTCTACATAACAACCTCTGGTATATATGTACTGAACAATCAGGCCCGCTAGTGGAGGTCGACGGAATGCAAAACAAGACGACCGATATTGGTGCTAAATAACTGTTCATTTTTTTTAAATACAAACCTGGTCATGTTTAGAGGAACGTCATACAAGTCTCGGAAGTGTTGCCACTGTCGGGGCGTCAACGCGTCTGGCCAGGTCCACCGCATTGCGCACATTCAGAGCACCTGACATTAAATGCGCTTTGAGTGGGCGGAATCAGTAAAGAACACATGTAAGTGCTGTCGCAGAGACTGAGACATTGCCAAATTTAGACATAATTCTTGCGGTGCGGGCCATATCAAGGCCTTGGCAGGCATCCCTGGGACCAAAGAGGCTACGGTATCAGACGCTGGACTCATTGGAGTAATCACTGCATTATAGTTATAAACAGGCCAAATTTAAACATGTACAACTACAGTAGAAATGGCACAAATGGTAGACCAAGCCTCCTTAAGAGTGCAGCAAGTGAGGCCCTCTCGTTGAACAAGTGACAAGGTCTGCTCGGAGACTAACTCAAATTATATGCCCCACTAGTGCCCTGTGAAGGATGTTCAGTGTCATGCTGCGGGACATGAAGCACTCCGCCTTATGCCTTGAAAACAAATAAAGCAAATTCTAGATCGCCATTAAACCACTGATGAGCTAGCGCTGATTCCACATGAGAATGGTGAGAATGTAAACCTTAGAGACATCCGTAGACCAATTGGCCAACCTGCAAAGAGGGCGCAAACAGAATCACGAAGCTCATCCTCATCGGGTGGTAGCACCTGACGTATACGAGCAGAGTCCTGTGGTAAGACCGCAACATTTCTCTTTGTGAATCATTGAGATTGGTCTTTGGGGCGGCCAGCATACACACACCACTATTTTTTGCGGGTACACATGCATGATTTGACTAGCACGTGCGCGCGTAATCAACGTCAAATTCGTGGGCAAAGCCTCACGAAAAGCGCATGAAATGTCAGCAGGCAAACATTCATAACAATATTATAAGGAATTTGCCAGAGTTGCCTTGGGTTGTCTTGGAGGATGCTCATGTAATGCAGAGCAACAAATCGGACACACGCGCAGATCGCCATTGTCAGTTAGCCCATGCAAAGAAAAGATTGCGTTATCACATATAGAAATGTCATATGGCTGAGGAAGGGCGTGATGGCAAGTGAGTTTTATGAAGCACATGTAGTGAAACCTATTCCGAGTCAAGAGAATATATGGACAGAGACCTGAACAGAACATCGTGCCCGCACACCACGCAAACCCCATTCCGTGATGAACCATCGGACATGATGTCCTGCCATTCCCACAAAATATGGAAGTCAAGCGCGGGATTAACATCAGGAGGAAACGAGGAAACGTGTTGCTGGTCAAATGTACTCGGTCACTCAGGTCGTGTGGAGTAGAACGGATGAAAGCGGCCCGAAAAGCGGCCCGAGAAAAATCGCGATTACCGAAAAGGAAGGAATTGACGAATTATACCTGGGAGCCTTTGGCCCCAGGAATCCGTGCTCGCGGGCCGCGAGCCGGCATGATCGAAGGGATACGACATTTCTTTCCTTACACCTGGAGTCTTCGGCTCCAGGAACGTGATCAGGTACTTGAAGTCTGGTACTAGCCGCTCTGTTCGGTGGGGAGGTACAAGAAGAGAGAGACAAATTTGATGATGTAATCAAAGAGAGCGAGCGAGAAACAGCTGCGTCTGCCTCAATTAGAAATATAAAGACAATAAACTCAGTCCGTGTTCACTAACAATCGTAACCTTCGTTCACGTTCGCGGTATACTTTGCGTGCCATCTCTTTCTACACGCCCTGTACTCCGGCAAACCGTACAAGCGCCTGTTCTTGGAGACAGATACGCCCAAAATAAGCTTCTTGATAAGACTCGTCTCAAGTAACTCGTGACGATGGCCGTCTTCTGATTCGTAGCCGTCCTCGGACTCGCGGTCGCTATCGGGCTCCTGCTTGCTAGTCGCCAGCATAGTAGAGGTTGCAAGTCGACAGGCAGAACGCTCGAGGAACCTGGCGATTATGTGTACATCATGGCGGAATCTCACAGGAATCATCAACGTGGTGAGCCTCGGCAACGTAACATGCTCGAGAAACATCGTCTCGCTCCCATCGCTATCCGTGGCGCGGGGATAAAAGCCCCCGAGAGTACAAATCCCGAGAAGACGAAGACCAGCGTGTGACACGGGAGCGGCAGGAGGGGGAAAGAACTTCACCGATTTCGTCTCGAGGAACAGCTCCTCAAGACGCGGAAAGTTGTATGGGAGCGATGAGAGGTCCACCTGAGCCTGAGACCCAAGAAAGAGCGTTAGAGACTCGAGGTGTGCCCATCGAAGCCGAAAGAACATGCGACAGTCGTCTCCGCCGGTGAGATGAACATCCAGACGGCGGATATTGTTCACAAAGAGAGGCGCCGTCGTGAGGTAGACGCACGATTTCGGCAGAACGAGCTGCTCAAGGTGCGGCCAATCGCCGAGTGTACTCAAAAGCGAACCCATATCGAGAGTCTGGTCGCTGTCCGCGCCATAAGCGACGACATCCACGATCCGACAAGACTCGCGGAAAGGGGCGAGTAGTCCCTGCTCGCAGGCCGGTCTGAAGCTTGGAGCCCAGCGATTGACGTATACGCAAACGTAGACGGGAAGCGGCCGGGAGCGAGCGACCAGCTCGCGCGAACGGTCGGGGTCGTGATGGGCGGGCCAGTCGATGCGGATCAGGTTCCAGAGCCAAGGGGTGGCTAGTGCCACTTCGCGCCAGCGTTTGCATACATCAGCTAGATTGAGGGCCATACGAAGGCGCTGATAGAGCTGGTAAGGTTTCACGTCCGTTGGGTCACTCAGCACTAGGGAGGGAAGGGCAAGTACGAAGATGTTGCTGAGAGTTTCGTTCGGCAGACCCAGAGGCGACGAAATGAGCTTGAGGTGGTTGCGCCGAGATATGACAGCGGTAGATCGTAGCTGGCGTAAGAGCGATCCTGCTGCGTCTATTTGGCTGACTGCGGTGTCCAGTCCAGAGACGATCCTGCGAACATCTCGGTGGTGCTGTGGTGGTAGAAAGTGGTTGGCGTCTGCGAACTGTTCATATTGCGTCCCCGTGAGTACCTAGTATTCATTCCCCAGACTTTGATATTAGAGACTAGCGAATAGCATGTGCCAATGCTCACGAGAATCTGGTGCTTGATGGAAGGGAGCTACGAAACGCCCATTTCGGGGCGGTCAGATGTAGGATGCCTGGTGACAGGGCTCTCGGGAACGCACCAATTCAACCAGCTGTTCCAACGCTGTTAGAGCCATCTATGCCTCCTGAGACTTGGTCTGCGAATACGAACACAAGGAAGTGACAGCGGCGAGATGGTGGAAGCGCAAGTAGGTGTTGATTCGACTGAAGGGTGGATCAACATCTCGGCAACACCCGAGCACGCGTGGACCCCAGAAACAAGCAAAGCCCTCTTCACGCGTACGCGTCTCGAGTCTCGACCTCCCACCTTTCCTTTCACCCCCTGTTCCCCCATCTACAATGAAGGTCACCTCGACGCCCTCGACGTCCACCACTGTCGCACACAACGCCGTCCCCCCACCCTCGGCATCATCGACGGCACGCTCATCGCGCATAGCGCCTCACTCGCACATCAAAGGGCTCGGGCTCACAGCTGAGGGACTCGCTGCGAGCGATGGAGCTGGGTTCGTTGGACAGGCTAATGCTCGTGAGGTGCGCCATATTATCACCCCATTTCATACTGCGTAACGTGCTGACGAGGAAACGGATGCATAGGCATGCGGTGTGGTCGTCGAGCTCGTCAAAACGCGCAAGTTCTCCGGGCGCGCACTGCTGCTCGTGGGCGCACCAGGCACGGGAAAGACCGCACTGGCGCTCGCGATCTCGCACGAACTGGGCGCGAAGGTGCCGTTCTGCCCGATGGTGGGGAGCGAGGTGTACAGTACGGAGGTGAAGAAGACGGAGGTGCTGGCTGAGGCGTTCAGGAGGGCGATAGGTGCGTTTTGTTTCATTTTATGGTTCCTCGACCTTCCCTTCCATCGCTGCATCCTGAACATTCGCCTTGATTGATACTCATGCGAATGACGCTAGGTCTGCGGATAAAAGAGACGAAGGAGGTGTACGAAGGCGAGGTGACGGAGCTGACGCCAACCGAGGCCGAAAACCCGCTGAGCGGCTACGGCAAGACGGTCTCGCATGTTATCGTGGGGCTCAAGACCGTCCGGGGCACAAAGCAATTGCGGCTCGATCCGACGATATACGAGGCAATTCTGAAAGAGAAGATCGTTGTCGGAGATGTCATCTACATCGAGCAGAACACGGGCGCTGTCAAGGTGTGTCCCTTTTTCCTCTGCTCGTGCTCGCAGCGTGGCTAATATGTACGCTGGGTAGAGGGTAGGCCGCTCAGACGCATATGCATCCTCATACGACCTCGAGAGCGAGACGTACGTCCCACTGCCTAAAGGCGACGTGCACAAGCGCAAGGAGCTTGTTCAGGATGTCACGCTCGGCGATCTCGACGCGGCAAATGCGCGCCCGCAGGGTGGGCAGGACATCATGAGCGTCATGGGCTCGCTCGTCAAGAGCGGGCGTACCGAGGTCACCGACAAGCTGCGCCGCGAGGTCAACAAGGTCGTGAAAGGGTACGTCGACCAGGGCGTCGCAGAAGTGGTGCCTGGGGTGGTGTTTATCGATGAAGTGCGTCTTTTGTTCATTGTTCTTCGTCGTTCGGGCGTGCTCAAAGTACGATAGGTGCACATGCTCGACATCGAATGCTACACATACCTCAACTCGCTCCTCGAGTCGCCCATGGCGCCGACGGTTGTGCTCGCCACGAACCGCGGGCACGCGACCGTGCGCGGCACGACGGACATCATCGCGCCCCACGGCATCCCCGTCGACCTGCTCGACCGCTGCGTCATCGTCAAGACGGACGGCTACTCACGGGATCAGATCGGCAAGGTCGTACAGCTGCGCGCGAACACCGAGGGGCTCAAGTTTGGGCCCGGCGTAGTGGAGAGGTTCGCAGAGGAGGGGGAGAAGTCGTCGATGCGGTGCGTTTTGAGTATCCCTTTACTTTCACCTTGTCCTCTGTCGGGATCAACAGCGTGCTGATGCTTGGTTGACTGTAGGTATGCATTGCAATTGCTCACGCCGGCAGCGATATTGGCGGACATTGCTGGGAGATCACAGATTGAAGCAGAGGACATCAACGAGATGGGCGAGCTGTTCATCGATGCGAAGACATCGGCTGCTATGATTGGGCCGGATGGTGGATTCATTGGAGGGAACTCGTTCTAGACGGCGAATGAGAACTTCCTGCTTGGTATGTTCTACGTCACGCATTTCACAACCATGCCCATGATTGGGACAGGATCAAAAGTAAACTTGTAATGTTTCACGGTACTAATGTTAATGCACAAGTTAACATCGCTTTGGAGCGTCATGCCGCTCCGTCGTTCTACATTCTGATTCATTGATATATAATCGCAACATTTATAGGATATATAGCACGCCGTAAACACTCATCTATCCGGGTCTAACCGAAGTATTCTGGCAGGACAAACGCGAGCTTGTGGATGTCCTCCTCGGGTTGCGCGTCCGACCGGGGCATGATCGAGTTGCGCATGCCGCCGACCTCCTCGTTGAGCAGGTTTTCCTCGAGCGCGTGGTGCAGCTCCTCGAGCACGTACGCGGCGACGTGCTTTGACGTCTCCGCGTTTTGCTTCAGTACCTGGAGGACATCGTGGGCCGTAACGGCGTCGGATTCCATACGCCATGAGTCATAGTCGGTCGCGGTGGCGATGATGGCGTAACTGCGTTAGTAAGAATGTCAAATGTAGCACAGGGGGGAGGGAAGGGATGAACGAGACGACGCACCTGAGCTCGGCCTCACGCGCAAGCTTGGCCTCGGGTAAGGCACTCATGTTGATGAGATCGCCTCCCCAGGCTCTGTACATGTTACTCTCCGCCCTCGTCGAGAACTGCGGACCCTCCATGCACACGAGCGTCTTATCCTTATGCAGCACCGTACCCCGCCCCTCGTCGTCCAGCGCCTTCTGCACCCTCTCCTCGAGCCACTTGACAAACTTCACGCTGACGGGGTCGCCAAACTGCGCGTGCGCGACGACCGATGTGCCCTCGAAGAAGCTCGCGGGGCGGATGCCCTTGGTGCGGTCGATGAGCTGCGTCGGCAGCGCGACGTGCCCCGGCGCGATCTCCTCGCGGAGAGAGCCGACCGCGCTGAACGCGATGATGGCGCGCACGCCGAGGTACTTGAGTGCGGCGATGTTCGCGCGGGAGGGGACGCTGGATGGGGGGATCATGTGGTGCGGGCCGTGGCGCGCGATGAAGGCGACATTGGTGCCTGAGGGGAGGGCGAAGATGGTGATGGCCGAAGACGGGCGTCCCCAGGGCTGTGGTGGGGTGCAGCATCAGATGGACGTGTAGACGCGATGAGCTCGGATGTATGAGGTGCGTACCGTGTCAAGCTCGAGCTTCTTCCTGTGGAGTGGATTGGGCGTTAGTGGATCTTCTCATCTCTGATTCAGCGGACTTACACGAAGGTGAGGTTGTCGAGGTGATACAGGCCACTTCCGCCAATGACGCCAACGAGAGCTGCCCAGCTCTTTTCAGAGAGAGAAAGACACGAGTCCTCTCTCACTCACCTTCGGCCATGGTAGCTGAGAACAAGATGAAGGCGGCAAGGGCGATGGCCGGCCGTTGTTGTCGACCGGCTTGCCCTTGTCCATTTCGTCTCGCAATTCGGATCCAAAGTAGCGCGAGATTAGATAGGGATCAATCACCAAATCAGCTTGTTTGTCTACACCAAATATGAACGTTCTCTTTTTTCTACCTTCTACGTTCTAACTTTCAGGTTTCCGTATGCATCCCAACTACTATGGTTGCCCAGGTGAGTACCCTTAGACGGGGTGCGGGCATTGGTTGCCCTCATGATATAAATGCGATACACCAACCTGGAAACTCCTACTACGATCGGTATCGCATTTAGTACTGTACTAGCTCTGCCGCGGCGTCATCCAACAGGGCCGCAGACAGGCAGCGTACGGACATTTTCTAACGCTCATCAATCTTGTCAAAAAGTGTCCAGAAGGAATTAATGAGGCCGGGTGCATTTATTCAAGTTGGGGCCATAAAGGCAACTACAGCGGAGAGCTAGAAGGAGGAGATGATGGTCGGAGAACAGGGGAGAGATGGTGTCATGTTGGGACGGATGGCAAACCCTTGGAATCCATCAAGGTGAACGCTACTTACGCGTGAAATGTTTTTAAGTGGCTCACTAAGGATCTACTATCTGCTAAATCTTGGTTTGTATACTTAGGTGAGGGCTTTTTTGTAGTACACTGACAGTAGCATATTTTTTTCTCACTATAAGACGAACTGCACTCTATATCTCGTACTGTACTTAATTTTCGTGATTGCTTGCGTTGTGTATACTCTCATGTATATAGCTCGCGGATAGAAGAACTGCTTTGAGGAGGGAAATCCGGTACAGGATCACGCTATGGCGCCGATGTTGCGCAGTTCCACATTGTAAAATACATGCTGGCGATTAAGGCAATGGCTATTTTCTGCTGGTTTTATTGTTCCGGTGCCAATCGCATCATGAGGTGTCGCAGCCTGGTCGTAGGGACATTTTTTATCTGATATGTTCTGAGACCTACTTAGTAAGTAGTCCTGTCGTAGATGGTCGAGTTCTTTACATGATCGCGCTGTGTCGTCACAGCCCCTCTCGATCCCGGTGTCTTCACAATTCACCCTGAAGTCTCACGAAGTGCCCAAACATACAAATGCTTTATGAGGGACCGTTTGTAAAGGCTGCACTGAAGAAACCGAACGAAACCTTGAATTGGAGGTTTGTTTAGTGCCAGCAAGTCGCGAGCGTTTTCTCACGACCTCTCGCCGGCTCCAGAGCGACGCTTGTCGCGGCGAACACCTTTGATGTGTGTCCTTCGTCATCGTCACAATTCGTCTCACAATTGATCAGAAAGCATAGCCTTGGCACCGCACAAGCCGCAAATGATGGGGGTGATTTCCGTAAACACCCAGGGTTCGACGTTCAGCCCTCGGTGGAAGTTGACCTCATCCCTTTTTTCCTGCCACCACATATAACAACTCACGACTTGCGGACGTCATCTCACTCCGCGTTCTCGATACTGTACCCCCCGTCATGGCCCATGACGGCGCCTCTGACCTGAATCAATACCCTTTGTTACCACCACAAGAACGTCAGTCGCTTATCCGACCCTTCCCGGAACATCCCCCTCTCTCAAGATCAGACCTTCTCTCGCGCCGTCTATCCCGTGCTGCTCTGGTCTTCACTTTCATCATAGGCATCGCCTGCATCCTCTCAGGCATATCTCTCATTGCCGTCTATACACGGAAAAGCAGCACGTTAACCCAAGGCGATCCATTCGAGGGGTTTCTATATCTCAACCTTAGCCCCAGATGGTCAGAGGCTACGAATCTATTCCTCAGTATTGTTGTCACCGTATGCACAGAGGCTGTTGGCTATGTCCACGGAATCGCTCTACGTTCCTCCCTCATTGAGGAGCGACGCCTGTACTTCAACACCAATGCTCGTCTCTTCACCGCGACGCGACGGCGGAGATGGGCTGGCCCCAACGGCGTCCCGTGCAATATCCTCATGATGGTGCTTCTGATCATGTCCTTTGCATCTGCGACCACCACTTTTCAGCCGTCCAGCCCATTTCTCGTCGTCAGCGTCGCACCTATGATCACACTTGGCGTCTGCCTCGTACTTCAAGTTTCCATCGCGATGTTCGCTCTCCGCACGACGCGCATCCTAACCTGGAATACCACTGCGCTTGGAACACTTCTCGTCTTGTCCCATTGCAGTCGCGTCCGCCATTTCAGTGGACATTCCATGTGCAGCGTAACCCATATTGGCCACAACCCCCACCCGCAATACCCATCTTCTCGCCAGCCCACTGTGTGGCAGGCACGCAAAGACGTCCGAGCCGTAATCTTCCTGATGTATGCCCTCGCAGTGCTATGCGGTGTGTTCGGTGGTGTCTCCGGGCTCGGCGAGAACACGAATCCCCCAGCCCGTTTGAAGACGTTCCTGTGACGCGTATCTACCCCCTCCCCAGCTCGCCAAGTGCTGCGTGGTTGGCACTCTTCGGGCTGCTATTTGCTGTCCAGGGCTTTCTTGCAGTTACGTTGCATCAAGCTGGAGTCGTCGCGAGCTCAATGTGGGACGAGCAGGTCTGGAGGAGTGCAGGTGGGCGTAAAGGGACTGCGATGGAGCCGAATATTCTGGCGCCGATTGTGGCGCCGATCAACCTCATACTGATGCTGTCGAAGCCAGCTCTTCGTGAGTTGCAACAAATCTCACGTTGAATTCCATGCTGACACTGCGACGCAGACTTCATGATGAGCAGGGCTAACAGCATCACCATAGTTTCCTCCGACTCCACTTCGTCCTCCCGACGAATCGCCATCTACTTCAATGGTGATCAAGTAAGTCCTGCCTTTATCGGAACTTGAGGTATTATTCATGAAGATGCTGTTCTATAGTACACAATTCTTGCCACGATCATCCTCCTGCTCACACTTCTTCTCAATTACCTCATGCTACGCCCACCACGAGGCCCACAGCCTGCGGCATATGGTCATTTCCAGACGCTCGCGAACCTCATCGATGTGTGGCCGGCGGATGGACAAGATAGCATGTACTGGGGTCATAAAGGAGACCATCAAGGCGTGGACGGCAGAGGGATGGAGGGTGATGTCGGAGGGAAGTATTGCCGCGCTGGGACGGGCGGTACGCCCTTGAAACCGGTGGACATGGACGCAATCTATCTGTGAGGTCTATGGGATCATTGCTTCGGTTCGGTATCTGTGCCGTCACGTCGCAAGCTTGATGTCCCTCATTCATATCCAGCACATGCATTCGCGTATGTACTCACTGTTGATAGATGAAGAGTTTCGAACTACGGTAGCCGCTCCTGTTATGGATCTTCGATGAGATGATGTGGACTTAGGGGCCATTTCGGAAGATGCCGAGCGGAGCAACCGCAAGATAGAAAAAGTCGCGACGCAGCGCGACGCAGCGCGACGCAGCGAAGACGCAGTGAACAACCTAGCTGGCATCGGCAGCATCCACATAGTCGCAACGTCGATTGACCGGTGATAGGTGAGCCACAGAAAGCCACTTGGAATCACATCATTTTGACGTTCGACGTTCAGCGCTAACGTCTTTCATAGTAATGCACAGCCTCTAAGACATCTGAATAGTGGAGTCTTGTCATCCCCTTCACCACCCCTGCCCGGTTAGGCTGGCTGTGTCCAGGCACTTCACCGCGACATATATCTCTGTAGCTGGGCGACTTTGCCTGTTTTCCGCCCCCAACGACCTCTGATCATGCCCCGCCGTACCTTCAGTCTGAGTCACGACTATGCAGATTCACTATCTGAGCACGAGTTCCTCATCGAAACGGCCCACAAGATTCCCTCTCACCCTCTCTCGCGGTCTGACATTCTATCACGACGCATATCCATCATCGGTCTGGTCTTCACTCTAGTGGTCGGCATGGCCTGTATCATAACAGGTGCCGCTCTAAACGCCGCTAGCAAGGGCAACCCTCAAACATACTTCGATGACGTTTTGTACGTTTACAGCCAAACCACGCCATTCAACCCCACCCTCCTCGAGATCCCAATCCTTTTGCTCAGCGCACTCGTCACGGTCTGTACGGAGGCTATCGGCTACGTCCACAGCACGGCATTGCGCTCGGAGCTTATGCAGGAGAGGCGCCTCGTGTTCAACACGAACGCGCGTCTTTTCACCGCCACGCGACGACGGCGGTGGACAGGGCCAAACGGCGTTCTGTGCAACGTCTTCATGGCCGTGCTCTTGATCATGTCATTCGTGTCGGCCACCCTCACGTTCACCACCCAACTCCACATCTTCGTCGTCAGCTTCGTCCCTATGGTCTCGCTAGGCGTTTTCCTTATCCTGCAAGTCCTAGTTGCAACTTACGCTCTTTCTGCAACGCACATCCTCACATGGGACAACAACGCGCTCGAAACTCTGACCGTCCTGTCTCGCCAGCGTCTCGTGAAACGCTTCCCGGGGCGTGGCATGTGCAGTGTATCTGATCCGGGAACAGACCCCCATCCTCAGATCCCGTCAGCCCGTCAGCCCTCCACCTGGCAAGCACGCCGCGACATCCGGGTCGTCATCGTCCTTATGTGGGCCTTCACCGCCCTTTGCACTGTGTGGGGTGGTGTTACGTATCTCGCAAGATTTAAGCCACCCCCAGAAGATAATGTGGAAACAAGTTTCCAGTGGACGCTGGAGCCGTCGTACAATTTCTCGCCGTACCTCCAGTGGATCGTCCCGTGGGGGTCTGGAGGGCTCTTGTGGACACAGATCTTTGGCGTCATGTTCATTGTTCAGGGGACACTTGCGACTACGCTGCACCTAGCGGGTCTAGCTGCGAACACGTTGCGCGATGAGCAGATGTGGAGAAGCGCATCCAGTCCGAAAGGCGCAGCGGTGCAGGTGAACGTTCTTTGGTCCATTGTGACACCGCCCAATTTGCTGTTACTCTTAGCAAAGCCGGTTCTTCGTACGTTTAATGACCTTACTTCTGTTGTTTCCTCGCTGACGCAGATTGTTAGATTGGATGATGAGCTTGGCCAATACCGCTGAGATCGACGCAGACGAGGCCAGCGACGGAGGGTCTATCGTCGCTTTTGCGTTCTGGTCTGTACAGGTGAGATTCCTTTTCGATACCACTTCCTAGCTGTGGGAACCCCATTGAACGTTCCAATAGTACTGGAACCTGAGTATCGGTCTCGTCATCCTAACAGCAATCTTCACCTTCCTCGTCATGCGCCGTCCGCGAGGCCCGCAGCCCGCAGCGTACGGACACTTCCAGACGCTCGCGAACCTCATTGACGACTGGCCCGAAGAGGAGGACGGGAAGGAGAGGCTGTATTGGGGGGATAAAGGGTTGTATTTGGATGCTGGGAACGAGTCCGAATCCGAGTGGGACATTGGCGAGAAACGGTGTCATGCTGGTACGAGCGGGTCGCTTCTGGCACCGGTGAACATGAACGCTTTGTACGCATGAGCCTCCCTTTATGACTGTATATACGTGGTTTGTTTGCTGTTGTACTATATCACGAATGTTAATGCGAATGCATGGGTGCACGACCAGATGATTTGCAACCATGAGAGCGCTGATGAAGACTTATCCTGTTTGATCACATCGTGATTGAGATATGCTATTGCTACAAACAATGCAGAATGGTAGAGTACATCGGTATGCGAGGGTATAGTATGGTACGTGAACCGGCAGTTGAATGACGAACACGCTCGTCAGTTGAATGACAGTAGCTAAGCTATAAGCAGATAAGTATACAATAAGACTATACCCTCTGAAGGGAGCTGAAAATACAGTAGAAAGAGTCCAACATCACCTTACACACGACAAACGATCTCACTGTTCATCACCCCGAACCAGCCATCCTCCGCAGCGACCCATTCCTTCCACCCCTGCTCGATCTCCCGCAGCTGCTCATGCGTAGCGATCCCCCCATCGACCGCCATCCCCGCAAAACTCGACTGCACAACCCGCTCGCCCATCATCCCGCCCCAGAACTCCCGCTCCTCCGGCGCGCTGAAACACCACGTGTGGACGCTCGCGCTGATTGCATCGCGCGAAAACCCCGCCTGGATCGCGAGCCCGACAAGCCTCCGCCCCGTGTCCGGCTCGCCGTTGTTCTTCCGCGCGACGGCGATGAAGACACGGCGCCACTCCTCCAGCGCAGGCAGCGCCGGCCACCAGCTCATCGCGTCGATATCGCCCTCGCGCGCCGCGAGCAATCCCCCGCCCGGCCTGACGACGCGCCGGAGCTCGCGCAGCGCGCGCACGGGGTCGCCGACGTGCATGAGCACCTGGTGCACATGCACGACGTCGAACGCGCCGTCCTCAAACGGGAGCGCGAACACGTCCGCCGTGCGGAACTCGACGTTTTTCAAGTTGACGCCGTCGGTGCCTTTGGCTGCCTCGGCGGCGAGGTTCTCCTGAGCCCTGAGAACGACGTCCTCCGCGTAATCCACACCGACGACCGACCCCTGTGGGACATACTTCGCGAGCCCCATCGTGATCGTGCCCGGCCCGCAGCCGACGTCGAGGATGCGCATGTCCGGCTTGAGGTGCGGGAGGAGGTATGCGGCCGAGTTCTCGGCGGTGCGCCATTGGTGCGAGCGCAGTACGGACGGGTGGTAGCCGTGTGGGTATTTAGCGGTGTCGGGCTGTGAGGACATGGATGTGGCGGGACTCAGAGGTGGAGGTGGTATGAAGAAGAGAAAAAAGAGGGGACAAAGGTTTGGGCAGGCGTGATGTCAGAGGCACATTGATGCGCCGTATTTATACGTTCAGGAGTCAAGCCCATCGGGCTGCAAGTCCGAAGCTAGCAAGGGCCAATGGTTACAATTTCATGGGCGCTTGTGGACGTTGACAAGGATCGGCATGCCCATCTCCGCCTAACTGGACAATCAACTTGTGTCATTCGCTACTAAACATCGGAGATCGTCACGTTTTCGACGTCGGTCATACACATGACGTGAAAGAAGGGCGCCTGAAAGTGTGCGCGTGATCTTCATTGCATCTTCAATCTGAAACACAGCGCTTGCAAGGAGGAGCGTCTGAACAACCTTGAGCAGGTCAAAGTCATTCGCACGGCATTACAACACGCAAACATCCCACAGCGAACATTCATGTTGACATAATTATTCCCAGTAGCCGCGTATTGCTACAACACACAAGCAAGCAGATGTACGCTCGCGATTATGTACATATAGCATCCTGGGGGATGAATCGATCGATGAAGGGTAAAGAGGTTGATGTGCGTAATGTGATACAACCGATCGTGAAAGAACCAAGAAAACCCATGCTACATAAAATGACACCGCCTATGCGTACAACCTCTTCGTATATCTGCAGCATCGGATCAGCATAATGAACGACGACGACGACGGGATGAAATGGACTCACGAGTTCATACCGTGCACACCGCCCTCAAGCTGCGCACTCGCCGTCCTGAACTCGACCCGCACCGTGCCCGCCCTGACACCCGCCTGCAGCTCGTCGATGCTCCTCACCCCAATATCCTGCAGCGAATGCTGCACGCCAACATGCAAATACGGCAAGAACTGCTTCACGCTGCCCTTGTCCTGCACATCCCCTGACACACCCTGCGCGACCTTAACCGCCGACGACTCCGAGAAGTACCTCGTCGTCGCCGCGTTCTCGTGAGGTTGACTTGTCGTCACACCCGCATGCTTCGTCGTGCCTGGCTTCCCGTTCGCCTGCGCCGCGCCCGGTCTGCCCTGCTCCATCGCCTCGAGCGAGCCCATGCCGCGGTACGCCTTGACGCGCTTGCCGTCATGGTAAAAGTACTCGCCCGGCGCCTCGGTCGTGCCCGCGAGGAGCCCGCCCATCATCACCGCGCTCGCACCGAGAGCGATGGCCTTGACAATGTGCCCTACGTTGCCAATACCGCCGTCGGCGATGACTGGCACACCGAACTTGCGCGCGAACTCCGCGACGGAGTACACCGCCGTCGCTTGCGGGCGGCCGACGGCCATGACCTCTTGCGTGATGCAGATCGAGCCCGAGCCCATGCCAATGCGCAGACCGTCCGCGCCCGCAGCAATCAGGCTCGCTGCCTGCTCGCGCGTGACGACGTTGCCGGCGATGACCTCGAGCTTGGGGAACTCCTGCTTGATCCACTGGATCATCTCGACCTGGTAGATCGAGTTGCCCTGCGACGAGTCGAGGATGACGATGTCCAGGCCCGCGTCGACGAGCAGACGCAGGCGCTCGCGGTCGTTCGGGCGCGTGCCGATGGCGGCGGCGGCGTAGAGCTGCTTCGTCTCAGGATCCTTGGACGCGTAGGGAAAGTTCTGGTTCTTCAGCAGGTCGGAGCGGGCGAGGAGGGAGACGAGGCAGCCCTGGGTGTTGACGATAGGGAGTTTACCCTTTTTGGAGTCGCGGAGAATGTGGTTGGCCTCGGCGAGGGTGACACCCTGCGGGGCGGTGATGAGGTCGGTGACCATGACATCGCGCAAGGGAGTAGTAGAGTCGCGGAATTGGACGTCACGCGAGGTGACGATGCCGACGAGTTTGGCGCCGAGCTTGCCGTTCTCTGTCAAAGGATCGTGTCAGCATTGGATGAGGCGAAACCGGAAGGGGTAGAAAGAAGGAAAGTTCAGAGCGATTCTGATAGTTGGACTCCGCATGTCACACGCTAAAGCGCGTTACTCGGAAGAACGAAGGTTGATTTTTCATCGTATAAAAAAACCAGCCCTGACTAAGACCGCTGACTCACCGGTGATAGGAATCCCACAGAACCCAAGGCGCGCCTTGATATCCAGTACATCCGAGACGATATGTTCAGGCGAGAACACCACCGGGTCAGTGATGAACCCGTTCTCGTGGCGCTTGACCGCGCGAACCATCGCCGCCTGGCTCTCGGCCGACTGGTTATGGTGGATAACACCAATCCCACCAAGGAGCGCCAGGCTGATTGCCATGTCTGTCTCCGTAACCGTGTCCATCGGAGAGCTGAAGAAGGGCGTCTTGAGGACGACATTGCGCGTGACGCGCGTGTCGGTGACGACGTCGCTCGCAGGGAAGTCGATCTTGCCGGGGAGCATGAGGAAGTCGTTGTAGGTCAGTCCGCCACGGATGGTGGAGTCCATGAGGTCGGCGATGGACAGGCCGTCCGAGCGGGGGTAGGTGGCCAGGTGCGCGAGGGCATCCTTGGCGTCGAGGAGCTGCTCAGAAGTTTTGGTGGAGGGGGCGGCGGGCATTTTAGCCAGCTAGAAGATTAAAATTTGAGCTTGTTTATATAGTCTTATTTTAAGCGGAGTTTGAAACCTTTATCTTGCCAAGATCCGTCACTTGGCTGCACCTGACGGAAACCTGCAGGCTTCGTCTCAACATTGGATGTGGTCTCATGCATTTATCTTTACGTTTATGGCACATATAGAGGAATTATGGACCTTGGAACTGGATGCGCAGCATTGAGATCGCCCTAGATAACCGTGGCGGTTAGTCAGGAAGCCAACACGCTTAATAGCCCCTATTTGAGCCATGTCAGCCTCCCCGTCCAGTTCTGACCGACGAGTCCTGGACGGAGAGCCCAGAATAAGGTCCGAGGGTGGAATTCGTCACTGGTCTACCTATGATATTGTCATAGACCGATTTCGAATCCTCGTCCACTCATAAGGCCTGCGAGCCTTCCCTCTTCTCCATCATTCGACCTTCATCTCCCCGCCCCGACAACCTACATTCGTTTATCTTGCCAGTCACCGGTGAGTTCTTATGACAATGATATCGCGACCTTCTGACACAGACGTGCAGTATGCATACCCTGCTCCAGCCCATCTCCACCATCCTCCGACGCCTGCTCGACGTCCCAGCCACGCTCCTTGATCCATCCTACTCCTTCATATACGAACACATCCTCGACGAGACCTTCCCCGAAACCATGATGAACGTCAAGGTAGCCTATGCACGCTCCCGTATGGCCGCCTCGGCCAGCCATGACCGGGCCCTCACCCGGCGGATGCAGCACTGCCCAAAGCGCGCCTCGCTCGTCGAGCGAATCAGGGCCGAGCTTCAACTTGTCCCAAGGCTCGTTGAACGTTACGCTGCAGCGGCCAGCGGACCCGGACCTGGTCCGAAGCGCGAGTTTGAGGACATCGGCGCGGATGCATCCGCGATCGAGTCGACGCCCACGAAGCCTTGTGCGAAGGGGAGGAGGCATGTGCGTGGACAGCAGCCGTTCATCGAGCCGGCGACGTTCGAGGAGCTGCACGAGCCTTTCGCGTGCAGCCTGCCAGCGATCTTAGCTATGCCGGTGATTCCTGCGAATCCGAACGTGGATGCAGTATGCATAGTGGCTTCGAAGCACGGTGAGCTGCCTGAAAAGGTCTCCGAGCAGACTGAGGATACGACGTCGGCCGACCTGGGACGCTTCGAAGACGCTCCCGAGGACGTCGAGGTTGCACATCTCTGCATCAGCGATCTCGAAGGAGACGACGGCAACCCGTTCGACGTGCAAGCAGACGACATCGGAGACAGCCGCGTTCTCGTGGCCTCCGAGAGCCTCTTGACCCCTCTTGACCCCGCCGTTGTCGCCATCGATGAGGCTATGCGTTGTCTGTCCCTCAACGACACGAAGGCGGCACCAGGCAAGACCAAAGTGAAGTCGCGTGCGATCCGGCCGCGGACCGAGTTCGACTTGTTTTTCGACTCGCCCAGCGCCTCGAGTTCTGCACGTTCCTCCCCTGTGCCTGTTGATAGCAGGCTCGAGCTCTCGACTGAGTGGGTTGGAAAGGCTAGACCGCGCCTCCGCCGGTGCCAGCTGGTGTCGATGGGATCGCCTTCGCCCCGTGACGGACGGTTGCCGGTGGCGATCGGAGCGAGAGGCGAAAGCAAGATGCGAGAATCGGTGGGCTTGACATTCAGATTGTGACGATGGGATAATGTAGTTATCAGACGACGGAGGCCATGAGGATAGGGGCGGAGCCGATGGCGACGGAAGGAGGGATAGGGTGGTTGTTAGGGAAACGCGGGATTATATTATTATCGTGCAATTAGAGTATTTCTCTGTCCTGAATTTATCGACCCGTTCCTTGCCCTCCCCACGACCCTCACGTCGAAGCTGGTCTTTTGGCGCAATCTCATCTCCCTCTCTCACCTGTACAACAACAACCAGCATCTTCTTTCCGATCCAAAAACTCAACACTAGAAACCGTGACAACCACCTAGAACAGACAAACGATCATTTCCATAATGGCACACTCAACGCAGACATTGGGTACGTGTCATCCCACATCAACCACTCTAATTGTTCTCACTCCATCCGTCACCAGAGCACTCAGGAGCCCTCAACCTCGGGGCAGAGTCCTCCACCGCTTTCCCCTCCCCAGGCTCCTCTTTCCTTCCTCCACCCAAGCCTGGTCCCATCGAGCTCGCCCGTCCGCCCTCGGGAAGACGATCGTCCAAGAAAGACCTCTCTAACCCTGCTGGAGACTCGGACCGCAGAAGCAGCACACCCTCCATCACTACGGGCTCAAGTTCAACCAACGGTCTAGTGAGTACCGCTTCATCTCTCTTCATTCGCTCCCTCCCTACTCCATAACCATTCGCTACTCTTCTAATCATGCACCGCGCTTTATCTAGGACGTCAACGCAAAGACGCCAACAATGCCATCTGGCCTCGGATCTGCCGCGCCGCGAAGCGCCAACACAGACCCGGGCACGCCCACACCGCGATCGCCCACCCCAACAGACCGCTTCGCCCACCTCCCGCCTGCTTCTCCGCCCGCCAAACCACCCTCGCCCACAGCCGTAATCACCTCCCCCGTCATCCCCCCGCCCATCCAGCTCCCAGATCACCTTGTCGAAGAGGCAGATGACAGACCCTCCTTCCCGTCACCCACACCGTCACCAGGATTCGGATCTATGATCTCGCAAGCGGCGAACAACCCCAACAGGCTGAGCACGCAGAGCGCTCGGAGCACCACGTCGCTCACATCCTCGCGCCCCGCCCCGCCTTCCCCGGCCGTCTCCAGACGCGGCTCGGCGTACTCACGCGGTGGCTCGCGCCCCGTCTCGGGCACGAGCTCGCACGCGCACTCGCGGCCCACGTCCGGGCTCAACTCACCGTCGTACCCCAGCTTTACGTCCACGTCGGTACCGCTGGCTGACATTACCGGGGCGAGCCCTGCCACGCCTGCCTCTTGGACGTCGAATCCGAAGCGGGATAAGCAGCACCTCAGCATGTCGTCTATCAACAACATCAACCCTTCTTCTATCTCCGCTACTCCCACTTCCACCTCTGCTGAGCCAGCTGTCGTACCAGCGCCGGTACAGCGCATGAAGATTCGGGACTACGGTTTCCCCGCCTCCGATCCGCGCTATACCGGCGAAGGACCGCTCGCGCCCCGCCCAAATAAACCCAAAGTGCTCGAACGTCGACTCGATCCTACCGCCGGACCTTCGTCGTCTGCTTCCAGCGCATCAGAAAGCGAAGACGACGAGAGGTGGGAGGACGAAGCCGACGACGATGGAGATGACGACGGTGTGGGCGTGGGCGGAGGCAGCTGGGGGCGGTTTAGCTGGGGCTTTAACCAGCTGCAGTCGAGCTGGCGGGCTGCGGACCAGCAGGCGCAGGTGAGCCGGGGGGATCTGGAGAGGAATTTCGGGGATGGGGACGTGGAAGAGGAGGAGGATGAAGATGACGACCGGTTTGAGGCGGACGAGGTTGGGTATGGTGAGGAGGATTATGAGGACGGGGACGGGGATGGGGATGGGGATGGGGAGGAGGGCGAGTCGCTGCTTCCTGGGCTGTATCGGGCGCTGTATGCGTTCGATCCCGAGGGTACGGCGGAGATGCGGCTGGATGAAGATCAGATTGTGCGTGTTATTGGGCGGGGAGGCGGGGTTGGGTGGGCTGTCGTTGTGCGTGAGGGTACGGGGGATGGGAACGAGCACGCGCTTGTGCCGGAGAGCTATCTCGAGCCTGTCAAGCTCGACGTGGACGACGAGGCGGATTGACCTTGACCCATCGATCATCTTTGGTCGGTCGTCTGATACATCTTGTCTTGTTTTGCCGTGTTCGGTGCGCGGTGTTTGTGCCTCTACCCATGTAACGACTGCTTTCTTGTGCTTCGTCTCACGATGTTGTTTACTATGCTTTGTATGCACGCGGATTTCGTTACTCTTATAATACGTTTATTACTCTCAATGTCTGTTGCCTTTACATTCAGAAGCGCTGAAATCACTAGCTGCCGGCTGGAACAAGTGATTCGCGGCTCTCTTGACGGAGATGTGTAAAAAAAACACTACGGTTCAATTGCATGAGCTATATATCTTGATCGAACTAAGAAAGACAAAACAAAACATGCTCAAAACACACGGCGTGACCTTCCTACCTCTTGAATCAATAATTCATACGATAGGGTGCTTCCTGGGCAGCCCGCTTGGCAAGCTTATCTGCCGCCTTATTCTGCTTCCTAGGTAAAAACCAGAGACTTACTCGACTCCCTTCTTCATTCAGCCTCTGGACCTCAGCGTCAATTGTCGGAAAAACCTGTTTTGCAAAATTACGCATTATTATGCATTCATATGGGTTCGCCCCCCATTGTTACGCGTTGGCAACGCGAATTGCGTTTCAATGCCATTCAAACGGCGTTGCAACGCCGTTTACACTCGCCCTTAATGGCGAGCCACCAATGAGAATGCATTACTAGCACCGAACTCCGTCACCACGGCATTTTAACAGCATTCTCTCGGCATTATAGGGATCAACTTACGTAGTCGTAGGGCATTATTGTGCATTCCCATGGTAAAATCGGTCCGGCGTTGGAACGCCCCTTTCAAGTTTTCCGACAATGGACTCCAGCACATCTAAATGAGGGCCGCGATTCTGTCCAAGACCGGCGTGATCTCTGTCTGTTAGTGATAGCCGCCGAGGACGAAGGTCCATTGATAGGGGCGCACCTCGTCAGCCGAAGTCATTCTCCCCCAGACGTACTTTGAATCCGTCACCACTACCCAATGAGACTCTTGGGATCGCTCTGCTCCATCCTTGCAAACAGAGAGCTCAGCCTTCGCGTCGCGTATCTTCTCTAAAGCGCATCGAAGCGCAAGAGCTTCTATCCTATGATTATCAACGTCTGTCTCTCGTTCGTCTACGGTGTCGTCGATCGGCACACTCCATCGATGTTCGCTTTGGCCCATGACAATGCCAACGCCACACTGGATCATCCGGTGCTGGCCTTGGCCTAGGCATGAGCCGTCGACAAAGAGGACTCTCATGTCTGTGCATGGAGTGGCGGAAGGCTTTCCGGGCGACAGGTGGAGGTAGCCGCAGTTGGCGCATTGCGTGGTGACCGTACCGACATTCAAGCGCGACTGCAGTTCTATGCCAGGGGAAAACCTTTGGCAAGTCGGAGGGGAGTTCATCTTCATGCCAGATAATATCATCATAACCGCAGCGCCCATTATGGGCGGTGTTAGAAGTGGGTCACTGACCTTCAAGTGACTCGTCAAAACTACGAGATTGAATGATGCTTTAGTCTCAAAACCCGTTGACACGTTTCTAAGCATCATCTACCTTTAGGTGTCAAAGTGAGTGGTAAGGAAATGGTCTCTCGACAGTAGGTTGAAGAGGTCGCTGTTAACATCGCTCGAAGTCAGCACCCAGCATCCTTCTGAGACAAAAGGTGCGCTATGACGCATTGGGGCGTATGTCGTAACTGAAGACAACAGCCCTTTCAGGACACGCACAGGGGTAGATCATCTGGCATGACTCATCGCTCTGGTGGCGCAGTCTCCTGCACTGACCGTTCGGCGTTTCCCGACCGAGTTCAGTGTTTGTTGCCGTATCAGGCTCTTCCTTAGCATCTTCGCAAAACAGTCACTTTTTTTCGGCGTATATTCTTCGCAAGTGGTCAAGGTCTATGTATCAAGATTTAAGCCATCCTTCAAAGGATCCCGGTTACTTCTTTTCCAACGACTTCTTCGCTGCATCTCGCGCCAGAAGATCAGCGGCACGATTCTGGACGCGCCCGATATGCCAGAAGTCCACCCGGCTGCCCTTTTTCTTAAGCTTCTGGAGCTCCGACTTGATTTTCTCGAGAACGTCCTCATGCTTGTCCGCTCCTTTATATAGGAAAAAAGATGCGCTGAATACGTAGTCTCTGCTTGAGTTTGAGTATGACCCGTACGCACTAGGGTACTCGTCATCCGCTGTATGCCGTACTGGGAGTCGGTTGCAACGACCCAGTTCGTATGGATGCCGACGCTGTCGCGCGGGCACTCGCTTTCCGCTAACGCCTGACATCTTCCTTAGTGCTTCCAAGAGTGCAAGGGCCTCGATGCGATTGCTATCGGCACATTGTACCCAGCGCGCATCTCTCCCCATGACAATCCCAATCGCAGACCTGGTGCCAGCGCCAGAACCATGTCCAAGACAGGACCCGTCTATGAAAACCAAACGGGAACGACAACCAAAGCACCGGGTGGAACGGTCGATAAACTGAAGACGTGAGCACGTTAGAAGCGGAAAACCGCAGCGTCGGAACCGCTGGCCGTATAGTCATAGTGTCAAAACGAAACCGGCAGCGTCTCTTGGGTGCATCATGACCTCATGCTTGTTTTACTTTGTCAAAAGTACGCATGCACACGCAGACTGCGGTGGCACGTCATCCGATCTCAGGTTAGGAGTCTGATCCACACAACGCGTTCGCGCTTGTCAAAAAGCACATTTCTGGTCCAAACCTAATTCATGCAGGAGTCTTCTTAACGGAGATTCGTTTGGAAGAACACACAGTTTGTACGAATACATATTTCGAACCTGTCGCCTAAAAATCAAGCTAATATGATCACAATATATCGTCTGGCCTTCCTACCTCTTGAATCAATTGTGCATACGATGCGGCGCTTTCTTGGCAGCCCGCTTGGCAAGCTTATCTGCTGCCTTATTTTGCTCCCTAGGTACGAAGCAGAGGCTTACCCGAATCCCCTCTTCATTCAACCTCCGAACCTCAGCGTAAATGGACTCCATTATATCTGCATTCGGGCCACGATGCTGCCCAAGACCAGCGCGCGTGATCTTAGTGATAGATCTAGACGCGAAGACGAGGTTAAATAGGTGCGCACCTCTCCAGCCGAAGCCATTTTTCCCCACACGTACTTCGAGTCCACCCCAACCGCCAAATGAGACTCTTGAGCTCGCTCGGCTTCATCCTCGCAAGCAAAGATCTCATCCTTCGCATCGTAGATCCTCTTTAAGGTACGTCGAACCCCAAGGGCTTCTACTCTGTTATTGTCAATACCCGTCTCTTGTTCGTCTACGGCGTCGTCGACAGGTAGGCTCCACTGATGTTCGGCGTCGTCCATGACTATGCCAACGCCAGACTGGACGGGCCGGTGCTGGCCTTGACCCAGGCATGAGCCATCGACGAACACGATCCTAGTCGGTTCGGTACACTCAGTAGTGGCAGATTGGTTTTTAGCGGGAAAGTGGAGACATCCACAATTGGCACATTGCGTGGTGGATGTGCCAACTGTGCAGGCCGCACTTTTCAAACGCGATTGGAGTTCGATGCCGGGTGAGAACCTTTGGCAAGCAGGGGCGGAGTCCATCTTGGTGCCAGATGATCGTTCGCAGCGCCAAATACGAGTGGTGAAAGTGGGTAACTCACCTTAGCTCGGCGAAACTGCGAGACTGAACAGTGTTTAAGTCTCAATGTCGTTGACACGTTTCTAAGCATCATCTACCTTCAGATGTCAAAGTGAGTGATCAGGGGAGACGGGGTAGTGGCAGGTTAAAGAGGCAACTGTAATTAGCATCGCTCGAAGTCTGCATCCAGCGTCCTTCTGAGACAAAAGGTACGTTATGACGCATGAGCGTGTACATCGTAACTGAATAGAACAGCCCTTTTAGGACACGCATAGGGGACGAGTGGCGGGGTCTTTGACATTCGGCGTTTCCCGACTGAGTTCACGGTGCGCCGGTGTTTGTTTGTTGCTTTCGTTTCGTCAGGCTCTTCGCAAAACAGTCACTTCTTTTCGGCACACCTCCACCACAAGTGGAAAGCAGTACGTGTCAACATATATAATCTCTCCCAAATTATCTCAGTTACACCCCTTGCATCGACATCTTGGCTGCACCTCGAGCTAGAAGATCTGCGGTGTGATTCTGGGCGCGTTTGATGAGCCAGAATTGGATCTTGCTACCGTACTTGACCTCGAGCTTCTGGAGCTCTAAGCTAATCCTCTTGAAAACGTCTTGGTTACATCTCGCTTTCTGTCATCGTCAGCGCCGAGTGCTTAGCATCTTTGCTGTGTGGTGTACGCACTATGGTATCTGTGATCCGGTCTACGACGTACTGTGAGTCCGTCGCGACGATCCAGCTCAGAGGAGGAGTTTTGCCGTTTTTGCGTGCTTTGCTCTTACCGCACGCTGAACCCTTCTTAATAACAGTTCCGATCATGCTCAGCGCTACCAAGACAGCGAGAGCTTCGATGCGGTGGTTATCGGGGTGAGCTGCGGAGTCCAGCCTGCCGTCGACCGGCACTCCCCAGCGAGCGTCTTGCCCCATTACCACTCCCACCCCAGACTTGACGCGAGATCCTGAACCATGACCAAGGCATGATCCATCGGCGAGAACTAGCCTCCCATGAGTCGGTCGGCAGCAAGAGCATGTAGAAGAGCGCTCATCCGGCTGAGGAGATGAGCACGCCAGATGAAGGAAACCGCAATGCGAGTAGCTGGGTGTGGCAGACGCCAGGTCCGTTTTTGACTGGGCTTCTTTGCAGGGTTTGAATCTCAGGCTCTGACGAAATCCGCGTTGCATCTCTTTATGAACTACACCAGATTAAACATAGCTAGAGCCTCGAATGGTCAAGACACGGACGTACCTTCAAGGTTAGCTCAGGTTCAGGTGGTGGACGAAATGATCTCTCAGGCGCACTATCCCTTGGCTCAGGTATTTAACGTCGCCCGCTGTCGATACATCGGCGATGTCTGTGAGTGACCCCCATTACATTCTTGAGCTTGATGGATTCTATCTGCGTTCACGTTCAGACTTTGATGTTCGCCAACTACACGTGTTTCAACGAGACCTCAAGGCTGCTGAACGACGAATTTTGAACGCAGGGCGGATCCGACGCGGTACGGCGACGACTCGGGAAGCCAAAGCCTCAAAAACGCTGATGACGTGTATGTACTATGAGCTTCCGTTTAAGTCTCAGGTACAAGGTAAAGCAAAGGTCAGGAACACGTGTATTGCTGGTTCGCTTGCAAGGTAGCTAGAACAGAAAATCGACTCAAGAAGTCTTTTCGAGCTTCCTACTCTATATACTGATGTTATTCGCCTCAGCGGCACGGCGCTTCTTTCGCTGCATGTCTAGCCAGATGATCCGCCTCTTTGTTAAGTTTCCGCGGGAGAAACCATAGGTCAATGTGGTGACCCTGCTTATTCATCTCCTTCAATTCGTCGTTCACAGGTTCCAAAACATCTAGGTTCGCCCCTCGATTCTGCGCGGATAAACTAGTATAAGTCGCCATGATCGAGAAACAAAGGAAACGTTACAGGCCTCCAACGTCTTCGTCAGCCTCCCCAAAATGTACTTTGAGTCGGTGATGACTACCCAGTCATGACCCTTCTTATCGTGTTCACAAGAAAAACGTTTTTCGTCGATATCCTTGATCTTATCCAGCGCCTCACGCAGTGCGAGAACTTCAATCCGGTGATTGTCGATTTCAACCTCTGGCGTGTCAAGATTGTCATCAACCGGGAAACTCCATCGGTGCTCTTCGTCTCCCATCATGATACCGACTCCAGACTTGGTGAAGGGCATCTTCCCATATCCGAGGCAAGATCCGTCGATGAACAGAACCCTCGTCTCGCTGCATTTGGAGCAACGCCTCTCGTTTCCTGGACAAAGAAAGAGACAGCCACAGATAGGACATGTCTCTGTTAGTGAGCCACCGTTCACACATTGTTGAAGCTCGGGGCAGGGCGAAAATCTCTCGCAAGCCGGATAGTTCATCTGCGCAAAATCACGATGAGCCGACGTCCCTGCATTTGAACTAACTGAGTGGGCGACCACCTTAAGCCTCTACAATACTGATAATATTGGAATAGCTAGCTTCCGGTAAGGAAGTGCGCTTAGTGAAGAACAATGGTGCTGGACACTATGCTTACATTGACTCGTCAGAAAATGCTCAAAGGCGTCGTAAATTTGGGTTCGCGTTGGCTTTTCGCCATCAAGTACCCCTCTTTTTATCTGCTCTGCATGCTCTCTTGACGGTCCGTCCGCAGACGTCATTGCGACGTCAACTCGTTGATCGATAGACAGAGGCCAGAGCGGCACATGAATCAATTGATACGATCACTGTACGGTACACCTATTCGCAAAACTACTAAGATTTACCCCTGAATGGCCTTGGCCTAGCCTGACTACTCGCCACTAGTACCGATCAAGTCGAGATAAGCGTGCATACTTAGGGCTTTACGGGTTTTTCTCTCTCTCACGGCGCACACACACGCACAGACGTCATGAGTTCGGAGATACCATCCGACACTGTAGGCAGCAGTCGCCATCGTGGGAACTTGGTAGCAGGGAGATGTTAATTCGATACGCCAATATCGAAGAAAAAGATCCCAACGTCTCTAAGCCTGTCAACGTGCAATCCTAATATCCAAGAACAATGACGGAACTACTAAGGTGAAGCGCGAGGCAACGTTGCATCAGCCTCATGCATTGGACGATCCTGCGGATCCTTCACATCGAACTTCGAGCTCGACTTCTTATGACGAAAAGCAGAGAGTGAAGGGAAGGAAGAATTTATTTGTGACGAGTCAATTGCGACAATTTCTCAGCAACTCGACAACTGAATAAGCTAGCGCCCACAACACCAAAGCCTAGTAAACCCATTAATACCCCCATGCACAAGGCACAGAGATCCGGTAACTTTGATGCAAGGAAATCGAGTGCGACGATCTTGTGACTCGATCGTAAATCTGACGGACCATTTGCCGAGTTCGTCGACCTGTCGAGAAAACGCTGCCAACTCACTGAACTCAACTCAAACAAGCTCATCGGTTCTTTCTTAGATCCCAGCATATAACGGTGGCGCTACCGCCACTGATTGGCGCTTCTATTCTTGGTTCGCCCCGCTGTCAAATCGAGATACCGCTATGCCCGAAATCGCCCTGTCCAATTGTTCTTGATATTAATGGGTGACGGGAAAAGCTAGAAGCACTCGGGGCAAGGCCTTCGACTTCTGTTTTGACACGACACGCGCTTGGCCGCGTCGGAGGGTCGGCGGAGCTGACGGCCGGGTCGCGCATGAGTCCATTCAGACAGAACCTTGTTGTTTCTGGATGAACTTTGTCGTGTTTTCACTAAGTGATCACCGAGATGAAGTCACCAAGAAGTCGCGTCCGTCATATCGAAGTCTCTGCTTCGACTAGGCCTGCAAGGAAGCAACATCGAAATAGGACATGCGGCTCCGCCACACTTCGAAGTAGTCAGGCAGGCGAGGCGCACCAGCGCATCCATCTACATCTATCCCGAGGCGTGTTTTCATACGATCCAGCAGAAGTTGAACTCAGGAGCAAAACGATCATATAGTGCATTCGATATTGATTCGATAACTTCAGAAGAGACAGCATAACACAAGTAAAAGCGTAATTTATGTAAGTAGCTACAGCAAGTATTCAAGTATTTGAGACACGTTTGGTTCGTTGGTTCGTTGGTTCGTTGTGGACAGCAGCAGCACATCATATCTAAACGTAAACGTCGACGGCCAATGTAAAAAAAAATGAAGAAGCGAAGATTCTGTAAGAATGTATCCCGGTGGTTATGGCTATAGAGGTGAATGTGCAGGTTCGAGTGGATCAAAGAATTAGTGCAAAGTATCCGTACGATTGGAAGTTTTTCTTCTCTTTTTCCGTCAAGGAGTGGATAGCGCCATAAGTTACGTATAGGAAGGCAGTAAAAGCAAGGTTGTTGGAAAGCTGGGGATACGCGGAATCTGTCCTATGGTCGCATCGCATCATGCGAGCGTATCGCGAGACGAGAGTCGATCAATCGGCCATGTCCTCGTCCTTGAACGATTTCGACTGCTCGGCAGCGTCGACGGCGGCGAGAATGTCATCGTCTGCGTCCACGTCGCCCTCTGCGTCGCCGTCCGCGTCCGCGCTGCGGTTGCTGAGCGGCGGCGAGGCTCGTTTTGCGCCTAGATATCAGCAGTCGCTGATGAGCACATCATTCCTCACACACATGAAACATAAAAAACAACAAGCAACTCACCATATGCACCAGGCCCCACGCGCGGTGAATCCCGCGCAGACGTCGACCGGACATGCGACTCCCTCGGCGGCTTCTCGTCCGTGCCCTCGCTCTCATTCTCATTCTCGTTCTCGTCCTCTCCGTCCGCGTCTGCATGTGGCTGCAGCGTCGCGATCGCCGGTGGACTCGGCGGCGTCCGCCGCGTGCCGCTGCCCCCGCTGCCCGCACCGCTGGCAGCCGACCCAGGCCTGGGACCGCCGGCCTCGCGGCTATCCCGGCTCCGTTCCCTATCCCGCAACTCGCGCTCGCGACTATGCTCGTCCTCCTTGCGCAGATGCTCCACCCTCGAGCGCGTCTGCTCTCTCGAGCGCTCGGAGCGCTCGCGGTCGTACGGCCCAGGCGCAGACGAGAGGAGCTGCGTGCCGCCGGGGCCGATGCCGCCGCCGTGCGAGACGGGCATGGTGTCCGAGCGGGCAATACCCCGCTCTCGTTCGCGGTCGACAGAGGGCGCGGTGACCTGGGCCTGCAGCGGATGCGGCGGGCGCGCGGAGGGGTGGTGGGACGGGAGGGTCTGCGACTGTGACTGCTGCGCGGCGAGCTGCTGCTGCGACTCGAGCGTGCCTCTGCGCTCGACGCGTTTCATCTTCTTGCGACACCTGTGTCGGTCGATTATCGATTCATCGATCAAGCCATTTGCGTATTCGCGCATCGCATTTCGCGTGGCCACCGAGGAGTTCCGAGAGCACAAAGTCGCGTGGGTGGGGAGGGCGCAAAGACAATTTTTAGACGTTGGGGATTTTGGACGGACCGAGAAGATACGACGAGTGCGGAGAGCCGGAAAAGAAAATCAGGAGAGTTGAGTCAGAAACATGCTGTGTGCCATTCGACTCCAAAGCAAAACCTACGTACCGGTCGCAGACAGTACCTGGCCCCTCTGGCCCCGGACCCCATTTTTCGACGCACTTGCCGTCCTTGTAGCGTCCGGGAAGCCCGCACTGCCGACATATCCGCTGGCCTTGTGCGTTGGTGCCCGGGAAAGTCGATCCTGTGCGGACAGGCTCGCTCGCTACCTCCGCTAGCGGAGCAGAGACCGTCACAGCCGGTGGTGCGGTGGGGATTTGCGCGAGGCTGGGCGGACTTTCGAGCGTGGGTTGGCTAGCTGATCCTGTAGGGGTTGCAAAAAGCGTCGTTAGCAGAGTTCAGGTGTCTTAGACTTGGATGGTCGTCCTTGAGAATGTAATGTAGGAAAAGACGGGGTCGAGGAATGGGTGTAAGATAAAGCAAGATCGAACTTACCAAGCGGAAGCTTGGACCTTCTCATTGCGCCTGGTGCGCCTGTGACGGGCGGAGCGAATACGTGCGTCTGGTACGTGCTCATCTGGCCAGGTTGGGGTAGCGGGCCCGACTCAGGGGGACCGCCATGGCGGGACCAGAACTTGTGCTCGGTATCGTCCTTGCTGCCCGTTGCAGCATCCAACAGCATGTCGTCGACGCTCATCGAGCCGTCAGACGTGCGCGAGCGCGAACGAGAGCGTGCGCGTGGTGCGGACGGGGGTACGCCAGGGCCGGCGGGAATGCCAGGCGCGGAAGGGGCGCCGCGCAGGGCCGCGTGGGCGTGGCCGCTGTGACCATGCGGCTGGTCGTCGTGCGGGGCACGGCGTGAGTGGTGTTGCTGTTGTTGAGCGAACAACAAGACATGAAACGAACGTGCGTGAGACAAGAGCGCTCTGGGAGCACGCGCCACGCGGACACGGGTCGGCGGGCGGAGCTAACATTGATGGATGGACTTACCGAGGGGGGTCGCTCGTAGTCGCGGTCGTTGCGTGGCCGCTTCAGGGGCGGCTGGGGGGGTGCGAGGTGCGTGTCCTCGATGCTGTTTGCACGGGGACGGCGTTGAGCACCGTAGGGCGGCGGGTGTGCCAGCGAGGGGGAAGGAATTGTGCCGCTGGAGCGGGTGTGGCGGTGCCCCTCGTAGAAGACACCCTGGGGAGCGAGTGAGACACCGCCCGAGAGTGGGAACCTGGGTGCTGGTGGGAGCTCCTGAGGGAGGAGGATGGCACGTCCCTCGGCGACGACTCGACTGAAGCTAGCGCGAGCGTCTGACATGCGGGCCTCAACAGAGACAAGGTAGTGTTCAATTTCCCGCCATGCCTCTGCAAAGAGGCGGAGACGCGATTCGGCAGCCTCACGGTCGCGCTCTGCGGTTTCTGCACGACGCTCAAAATCTGCTATGATGCGGTTATATGAGCCATTGGCCTGGTCCGTCTGTTGTAAAGCGTGGACGACACGATCCGAGTTTTCGAGGCGTTTGCGGGTGGCAGCGAGTTCTGCCTTGAGAGATTCGGACTCGCGGTAGCTAGCGGATAGGAGGGTTGCGAGCTGGGCATTTGAGGGGGACGCTGGAGGGGCAGCGCCGTTAGCGGAGGGGGAATAGCGGGTGGGTGGCGACGTCATTGAAGGGTGGGGGGAGGCGGACATGGGATATGTGCGCCAGAGAGGGAGTCGGTGTCGCAGAGGACGACGGGGAGGACGGGGAGGTTGTTCCTTGGGGGAAATTGGGGGAAGGGGGTCGGGCTGTGAAATGTTGCATCGGGCAAGGGTTGATAAGACGATGAGGCAAGGGCGGCAACGGCACGCTCGCTAGCCTTGGCCGTCCACGAATCGGCCGGCGTTACTTTCCGCAGCGCCCAACATGGTAACAACACGCGTCTCAATCCTCCCATATCCAGCGCCGCATCTCGCACCTCCCACTGTCACTTGACGCGCACAGACCTCTGCCACCCCCTCATCCCGCCTCAAAATAATGCTGGGCGACACTGCAGCCCGTCGACGCCCACCAGCCACGCTCCCTACGCACCGCCAGATCCCTCATCCCCGATCCTGCGATCCCGATCCTGCATGCCAATGTCATGGCGTCACCCGTCCATCCCGTGCTCCCGGGGTCCGCCTCGTGTCGGCGCTCCCACTCGTGTGCGCGTCGCCTGTCGGACGCTTTGAAAGAGCCCCTGATAATCAATCTGTCTCCCGCCGCATGCCCTTCGCGAAGACACCCCCTGCCTTTTCCAGCTGCCTCCCGCTCTCCCCGGCACGCACCAACCTTCCACCATATCGGTTGCCCCTGGGCCATTGGCCACTCACGCCGCCTCGTGGCCCTGCTACTTCCAGCCTCCTTCGACAATCTTCGAATATGGCCAATCGCCCATAGGTCTGCAGAAGGTCTCGGGGTCGAGCCCTTTGCTGCTTCGCTGATCGCCCTTGCAGACAAATGCGAAGCGGTGCTCATGGGTGATGTCAACATGCGGTGCCGTAAGGGCGGTCCTCCGAGGCGTTCCAACACTCGCCAAGGTTTGTTGCTGGCCGCCCGTGGGAATAGCCGCCGCAGCGGGAGTCCCTCGATGTCGTCACCCCCTGATCTTCCCCGCTTCGGTCTGCTTCGGTCCGCTTTCGTTGCTAGACGTCCGTCGGATATGGTAAACTGCCGGTTCGAGATCACCCGCTCCCTGCCGCGCCCGAACAACGCGCTCAACGCGTGGACTGCCAACACACGCTCCCCCACACAACCCCACGCATATGTTTTCTTGCACTTTCTCGCACCTGTGCCTTGCAACATTCAATGCGCCCTTGCAACCGGGCGAAATCCTCGAGACGTCGCGCAGACCACGGGAGGCTCGCCTCTTGCCGGATGGCGTGCGCCACGTCCGCATCGCCGCCCCGCCGCTCGCGCATCAACATCTCCCGCACAGCCTGGTCACACCGACCCGCCCGTCTGGATTTCTGATCTCCCTCCTTCCCGCGGCAGACTCCATGGCGCCCGGATCCTGCCGCGCAAACACGGCCCGGGGCGCGCGGGGTGCCAGTGGACATAGTAGTGGACATGTATCATCCACCCCTCGCATCTCTCGTGCGGTTAGTTATACATCATGCGTCAGGCCCTCGTCCAATCCCATCTCTTCCTTCATCGGTCTCGGTCTGACCTTCTCGGACCCATTCTCATTCTGGCAGCGCATATCCCAATTTACACCACGAACGAAACAAAACGCCCCCGCCTCGTGTTCGCCTTTCTCCACTTGTAGCTTGTTGCTCTCGCGGCGCTTCCCTGTCTGGGGCTGGACTCGGTCGGCCTGACCTGACCTGTGTATGCCCTATGATCATGGCTGATTTCATCGATTACGAGATCAATCAGCCGCACGGCCATCGTTGGGTCAACCTCCATCCACTAACGTTCTGCGTCGTGTCGCTGTTCTCTCCGGACTTTCTTCTCTTGGGACAGAACGGACGCTGACGGATGACCGCCCCTTTCCTTTTTTCTTCGCCTTCCGTCCACGTCCAAATCCTTCGTTCATATCCGCGCGTCAGGGCATCTTCTTCATCGCGTCTTCGGTCTCCTCGGACTCGTTTGTCCCGCATCATCATCATGACCACGAAATTGACACCTACACCATCCGGCCTGCAGAATCATTACTCCGACCGACCCCGCTCTTTTCCCCGGCCAATGCCGTGGACTCTTCCGTTTGCCCCGCACGCACGCGTGTGCATCGCGCGCGAACACAAATGAAAACTAGCTTTTCTCGGTGCTCGTTGTACTTTACCTCGCAACAGTCACTTCACGCACCACCCCTCGCGCTGCTTCGTTTTGTTCTTA